AGGACGGTTAAACGGGGGTCCTGGTCCTAGTCCTGGCAGGTAGGCAGCCTTGCTAGGTTGAGTGAGATATATCATAAATGGTAGACCACACCGGCTGTACGGCATGGGGGAAGTTGGATTTTGGATCGGTTGTTTAGGCGATGTGGGCGATTTACGAATGTGCGAGACAAGCTTTTTTCGCCTTTGTTGTTTTGGGTGGTGTCCTTGTTCTCACTTGTGAGGATAGCTGTGGAGAGGCTCCCGATGTGGAAGGGGAAGGTGGGAGGGTTTTGGATGCTATGTCTGATGGAGTTGGTAGAGGCTAGTAGGGAGGGCTCTGCAGCCTGCCTTGGGGGTCAGATGACTAAGTAGGTGGGTTGGTTCATGTTGGTTCATGTGATGTCTTGACTAGATCGAAACACCATCCCGATATCGTGATGATTGATACGTGGATGCCTGGGATGTTGGTATCTGGCGTGCCTTAACCAAACATCAGTTTCTAACCCCCCAAATACACTTCTCGTCAAAACTTTTCAAAATTCCGTTATCGAAACACGTGAAAACAAAGCTGACAAGACTTTGCTGTGCTCATCCCTACTCCCAAACAAATGAAGACGGGCTAGCTGGGCGATGGGAAGAGCAGAGAGGCATAAGAGAGCTCGGTCAGCAGACCAACGATTGTTTTATTATTTTTACCAAACTGCTTGTATTGCATCCACATAGTTCTCTGTACGAGTGGTTTCCTTGGCAGAACATATTGATCAAGACTAGCGCTTGGGATTTCATACCATATAATCCCGTCCATCTGGCCATACTTCACTGCAAAGACATGTCACCAACGAGGCATTGCGCGGCCCTTTTAATCCTGCATATCTACCCATTCGTACGTCCTCGCATGTCCTCGTATGTCCTCGTCCCGAGGTTGCTTTTTCTCATCTCCGCAGAGTTGAGTATCCCGGATGTACATACTCTTGGCTCTCTAAATGGCGTGTACATCCTGCTCCCCATTCCCTCCGCAAGCTTCTTCTTGATCTCTGGAACATTCGATCTCGAGAGCTAAACCATCAGCCAAACATGTTAAGGCGTCCCGTTTAGTTAGAACTCTGTAGAAGAAGTAGGAGCAGGAAGCGGGAAGTATGAAGCATTGATCGAACAACCCACGGGGACCAGTCACAGCGATGATGTTGGCAATATAAGAGAGAAAGTGTACAATAAATAAAAGTTCCATCTACATCTATTCGATGCTTTGCTTTTTTTTATATCTACCTTAGTAACCCTTACACAAGAAAGAGATTTCAGACCGAGAGGACAAGTAGCGCCGAAGAAGACCGAGATGATGTGCGGTATATGCAGACTAAACTTGGATCGTGGATGGCACCCTCGTCGAGCAGGTTGGGAGATGGTTGTAGGACAACGACTGGCTGGCTGGCTGAACATCTTCAGATTAACAGCAGCAGCTCCGACAACTCGTATCCCACACGCCCTCGCCTCCTCCCCCCAAGTCCACCGGATCTTGCCCGACCAGTTCCTTCTCTTCACCGTTTTTTTTCTTGAACATCCCCTTACAAACAAGGTACCTCAGACACCCTTCACCTCTCCCATTCATTGGTACCAAAGTACCTCGCAGGAAGATCCACCTCCCAAATAGGCCTCTCAACAAGAACAGCCTCAAGCGAAGGAGTCTCAGTCTTCTCTCCTTCGGCATCCGCAGCAGCAGCACCACCACCAGCAAGGGGCGCTATGCCCAAAATGGGACGGTACTTGTACGTATACCACCACCTCGTCTTCCCCTCGGCGCCCGCCTCCGTCTGCGTCTCGCGGTTCCGGTTCCGCAGGGCAGCGAGCTCGCCGCCCTCGCTATCACTAGCATTCTCCCGCTCGTTGTCGTCGTCGTCGTCGTCGCTCGACTCGTCGGCGCCGTCAACGTCCATGGCGTCCTCGTCCTTGGCGGGGGCATTCTTCTCAATGTCATCCTGCCATTCTTTGCCAATGGCCTTGGAGCCGATGAAGCGGTCGACTTGCTGCGGGACGATGGCGCCGATCTCCATCCGGGCACCGGCTCCGCTTTCGGGTCCACCTCTGCGCTTGCGCTTCGTGCCGGCGCCCCCCGCGTGCGGTACGAGAGCGGTGGCGGGGTCCTGGTCCGATGAGCCGGAGGGGATGCCGAGATCTTGGGAGAGGTCGAGCATGAAGAGGAAGGAGACGCCGTAGATCCAGATGCGGGGACCTTGCCAGAGGAGACCCTTTGCCAGGTCGCGGGTGTCGCGGATGGTGGCGGGGAGTCTGGAGATGGGGTTGCGGCGGGACCAGGAGGTGAGGGAGCCGGCGACGGGGTGGAAGGCGAGGATGTGCCAGGCCGTCGTGACGGCGACGAGAGTGTAGTCTGTTGATGGGGCGGCGTCGGTGGCGGCGACGGTCTCGTCTGAGAAGGAGAGGACCACGGGCGGTGCGGGGAGTCTGGGGATGAGGGATGCGCGGGGGTTGCGAATCCAGATCTCGGTTGAACAGGAGGTGTCGTCCTCGTTTGACGAGTCTTCGCTGTCAGAGGACGATGACGCGGCTTCGTCGTCGTCGTCTTCTAAGGTGGTGTCCAGCGGGTTTCCGAGGACCCAGGTGTCGATGTAGCCGGTCAGATCCGCGGCTGCGAGCATACGGCTGTCGGGGGAGAAGGCGAGCTGGGTGATGGTCCTCTCGTAGTTGCCGAGGCCGACCTGGGGTTGCTGCTTGGAAGTCTTGCGGTCCAGGCGACGGACGACGCGAGGCTTCTGGATGGAGATGGTGTTGTCGTCGTCGTCGTCGTCGCTGCGGACGACCTTGGCGACGAGGACCTTGGACCCCTTTTGGACGGCGGCGATGTAGCTGCCGTTGGGCGACAGGATGATCTTGCTAGCACCGTTGGAGAAGGTCTTGGGCATAGCGACCGAGGCAAGCTTCACGTCCGAGGGCTTTGTGGGATTCTGGTGCTGCAGGTGGAAGGCCTTGACGTCGGTGCCGGTGGCGGCTACGAGGAGTGAGCCGTCCGCGGTGATTGCGGCCGAAGTGATGTTGGACTCGCCCTTGAAGAGGATGGTCTTGAGGAGCTTGCGGTTGTTCTCGAGGTTGGCGTCAGCATTGGCCTCGGCACCGTCCTCGCCGTAGAGGCCGTCAAAGGACTTTTGCAGCTTCCAGATGTGAATCTCTCTGTCCCACCAACCCACGACCAATCTTGCTGCCGGGGCGCTGGTGAGAGGCGGTGACTGGGGGAGACTGGAGAGGGTTCTGTGGTTCTCGCGGCCGAGCTCCTTGAAGGGAAGGACGACGGGGGAAGCGTCAGGGCCTTTTAAAACTAGTTAGCAGGTGTATAACGCAACTTTTGAGAATGATGCTTCGTACCTCCTGAAATGACAATGCTCATCTTGTTGCTCTCAAAAGAAGCCATGGCCTTGACGTCGTGCTCGTGGTACTTTCTGCTCCAAACCTTGCCCCAACGGGCGCCAGAGCCACCAGAAGTCTTCTTGTACAGAACGGTGCGACGGTCCATGCCACCGCTCATGACGGCGCTGCCATCAGCGCTGGTGGCAAGGCTGAGAACGTCCTGCTTGTGGCTCTGGATGCGCTGCATCTGCGTGTACGTCTTGCCGTCCCAGATGCAGACCTGGCCGGTCGAGTCGGCCGAGACAATATCCCCAGAAGGCAGAACCTTGACGCTCCACACGATGATGTCCTTGGCGCCTCCAGCCAAGTCGGCGCCGAGGGTCATGGTCCGCACCTTGTTGCCGTTGCGCATGTCGTAGGCGCAGATGGTGGAGTTGGAGCAACCGACAACCACAATATGGCGCGACTGGAAGGCGATGCTGACCATCTGGACCTTCTTGCTGGGAGACTTGACAATCATACGCTGGAAGCGCAGGTCGTTGTCCTCGATGGAGTACAGGGCGAGCATGCCGTCAATGGTACCAGCGACAAGGCGCTTGACGGGTTCGGAAGGGGAAGCGGGAGGCTGGGCAGCGAGGCACCAGATGTCGCCGTGCTGGCCGCTGGCGTGGCGCATGGGACGGCCGGTCTCGAGGTCCCATTCGGTGACGGCGGAGGTGTATCCGATGCTGAAGAGACGCGAGGGCGAGGCGGCGTCGGGATCGTTGGCCCAGACGAGGCCGTCGACGGAGCGGTCTGAGCCGGAGCGGAGGACGGTCTCCTGGAGCCAGGAGCCGCTTAGCGGGTTCCAGATCTCAATGTCGCCATTTGCGCGACCGACTGCGAGGCGGGAGGCGGTCGCTTGGGCCTTTGAGCGGGTGGAGGGGTGGGAGAAGGCGAGGGCGTTGATGGCGGAGGGCGGGTAGGGGACGAAGCGGCAGCGATGGAGGTCCATTGCAAAGGGAATGTGGGTGGCCTCGAGGCCTTGCGATCGAGGGTGTCGGTGGTCAATTGGAAGCCAAGAGCAATTGGACCTATCGATCTCGAGAGGGGGGAGCTGTTGAAGACAAGCTCGTGGACTTCGGTGAGGTGGTGGTGGTGGTGAGGCTGGCGAGGTTTGGCGGCTGCTCGTCCTGCTTTGGCAAAATAAAAATAAAAATAAAAATCCCACGGCTGCCAAAAAGTTTTGTCGGCGGTCGGAGGATGCAAAAATAATTAAGGTGTGGTCTGTGCTCAATGTGCTCCTCCACCCCGCTGGCGGCACGCATCTGAGAGGACGAGAGCGCCAAGTCGGTACGAAGTGTGCATCTCTTGAGTTGAACGTGTTGGTTGCGGAATGATGATGGTGATCATTCTATACGCTGCTTGATTAGATTTCTATTTTTGCTTTAGTTCTCATTATATGAAGAGTACTTGTTGTGTGGTTCCATACGTACCTTGCTCTACCTTACTAGCTATATACCTTAAGGTAAGGTGGAATGTCCTGCTGCTGCTCATGTCATACTCTCGCTTACATAAGTCCACCTCAGAGGCATAGCCACGGCGTCTTCCGCATCGGCACCTCAGAAACTTCCCTAAAGCGTCATAGAGCATCATTGGCTGCAATCATGGCTGGACCCCTTCCATCTGCAGAGACTAACGTGGTGATTGCGCGCCAGTAAGATGGTACGATGGCTGTTAGGTTGCTTGTTCTGGTCGTGGGAAGCGCGGGACCCGTCAAATTTGATGCGCCGGCCAACTCCGACGAGTGTCTACCTACATGTAGCTTCTGCTCTTTCTCTCTGCTTTGGGTTCAACTTGAATGTGTTTCTTGTTGTATACGGTATATGTTCAATGGATCAATGAAAAGAAACTCAGAACATTCCATTGATCAAGGCAGGTATACTCCGTACACAGCAGACGTGCCAAGCAGGAAGTCAATTACCTTGATGGACCCAACTTCCAAGGGATCCCATGGCTCTTTTTTTGCCCCTCATTCACCCCCCGTCTCTGAGTCGAAACTGCGACAACAACTGTGTAAAAATCGCATGGGAACTTTAGCAACCCCTGCCCATCTGCTCGCCCATTTCCAGTTGACAGTGTGAAGTGCACCTTATCAATCAGCTTCCGTCCCATCACATTCGGGCATGAAAGCTTGCTGGTTTTAGGAGTGTCGTGCAGGTGCTGCCAAAGTCCCACAGATTCGTCATCCTCCCATTCACAAGTACACAACCCCTCCCCCTCCCCCTCACCCTCCTCCTCCTTGCTCCGAGCTTTGTCACGATCGCGCCGTTGTAACACGCGCATTCCGACCTCGCCTGCAGACTACTTTTTTTTTCTTTTCTGCCGATTATTAGTTGCAACCAACTCAGCCCTCTATTTTCTTGTTTAATTGCGTCGCATTGCAACCGCGACACCCACATCGTAGCCCATTGCGCGGAATCCAACCACCACCACTACCACCGACACACCACAGCAATCCGCGACCATGGATTTCAACAGCTCATCGCCTTTCCCCGAGGGCATCATATCCTTCCTGGATACTGATCTCTACAAGCTGACGATGCAATGCGCCGTCTTTAAGTACTTCAAAGACGTCCCAGTCACCTACGCATTCACGAACCGCACACCCGAGAAGAAGCTCTCGAGAGCTGCCTTTAAGTGGCTCCAAGAGCAGATCCGAAGTGAGTCAAAGAGGGAGAGAGAACCTCTCCAACCCCCCGCCCACCACTATCGAGACGCGGAACACCTGTGACTGACGCACTCATGCGGCACCCTGAACAGAACTCGGCTACATCTCCCTCTCCGACGAAGAATACCGCTTCCTCAAGACCCACTGCACCTACCTGACAGACGAATACATCCAGTTCCTCAAGGAATTCCGCCTGTCGCCGAGAGAACAGGCCGTCGCGACCTTCCACCCTGTCGGCGACGACACGGGCGCCGACTCGGACATTGGCGACCTCCACGTCGAGATCAAGGGCGCCTGGCTCGACACAATCCTCTACGAGATCCCCCTCCTCGCCCTCACCTCCGAGGCCTACTTCCGCTTCATGGACACGGACTGGAGCTACGAGGGCCAGGAGGACCAGGCCTTCGGCAAGGGCATGCGCCTGCTCGAGGCCGGCTGCACCTTTTCCGAGTTTGGCACCCGTCGCCGGCGCGATTACCACACCCAGGCCCTCGTGTTCCGCGGCCTCGTCAAGGCGAGCAAGGAAGGGGAGAAGAAGGGCTTCAAGGGCAAGCTGACGGGGACGAGCAACGTGCACCTGGCCATGCGGTTCGGGATCCCGCCCGTGGGTACTGTTGCGCACGAGTGGTTTATGGGCATTGCTGCCATTCACAACGATTACAAGGCTGCGACGGAGCTGGCGCTGCGGTACTGGGTCGGCTGCTTCGGCGGTAAGCTCGGTATTGCGCTGACGGATACGTTTGGCACGCAGGAGTTTTTGAGGTCGTTTAGTCAGCCGGTGCACGCTCTTGATGGCGACGAGAGCAAGTTCAAGACGGCGGATGGGAGTAGATTGTTGACGTACGCCGAGTTGTTCCAGGGCGTGCGTCAGGATAGTGGCGACCCGGCTGATTATGTCAAGATGCTGCGGACGTACTACGACAGCCAGGGGATCAAGGACAAGAAGACAATGGTGTTTTCCGACTCGCTTGATATTGAAAAGTGCTTGGAGTACCAGGCCATCTCCGAGGCGGCGGGCTTCACGCCTACGTTTGGTGTTGGTACGTTTTTGACGAATGATTTTACGCATTTGAAGACGGGTACCAAGTCGGTGCCGTTGAATATTGTTATCAAGCTGAGTTCCGCCAACGGAAACCCAGCAATCAAGATCAGGTCAGTTCCATCTCTTGTTTTTTCGACTGAAAACTTGGCGCCACGTACTAATTGGACCTTGCAGCGACAATATTGGCAAGAACACGGGTGACAAGGAGACGGTGAACAAGGTCAAGGGCGAGCTTGGCTACATCGAGAAGGAGTGGAAGGGCGGTGACGAGACCCAGCGTTGGGGCAAGGACGAAGGCAAGGCATAGACGGCTGGTGCCACGTAGAGCTCGTCTGGCGACAGATTATGGAGGAGCCAAGAGGGAGGAACACATTGCAGCAAGTACCTAGATGGGCATTATGAGACAAGGGTGGGAAGGCATGGTGGAATTGGAAAGGCATTGATAATGACGGTAGCAGGTATAGACCTTGCGAGATACCTATTGAATAAATGAAGCAGTGGCGTGTGGCCATGAAGATTCGCAGATGCTTCTTCGTCCTCTGTCAACAGTGTGGCTCTTGGGCCTCGGGTAAGTGAACGCGGACACGAGCTGATCTCCTACGTAAGGTAGTTCACGTCTCGCTCCGGTGATGGAGGTTCTTACTCCATGATCCATGAGCAAAGGAATAGGCAAGTGTGGGAATTGTAATGCCTTTCCACGGGAAAGCAAAACCGTGTTCGTGGTTACTGTTGTCCAACTTCCCGGCTGCCTTCTTAAGGGTGGTTTAAAGGCATGCCTGGTCATCTCTCACTTGAAGGAACAGGTTGTGCTTTCCCGGGCCATAATTCGGGATCATGTCCCCGGCAAGCTGTGAGAGAAGAACACCGCCGGTCCTTCCCACGAGCAAGGAAAGTCACATTCTCCCAGTCGTAAGGCGCATCTTCCGAGATACCTACTTTACTTGGAAAGGAAAACTGACATCTTGATATCAGGCAAGTAGCTTGATCACATACTTTGCCTGAGGCAGGTGAGTATTTCCAAAGACAGCTCCACCAGCGCCTTCCCATCCCCATGTGCCTCCTTCCCATAGAGGGTACTTAAGGGGTCTAATCACCATTCTCGTCACTAGCACAGCAGCGCCCGTCTAGGTCGGCGAGGTCAGGTCAAGCTGTGTGCGAGGTGGTTGAATGGTTAATAAACTAAATACTCCAGTGAAGTCAGAGATTCTGGGTTGACTGAGGGGCGCGCTGTTCGAATCCGGGCAGGGGCGCGAATTATAAGGTTAGTATTCCCCCTCCATATTCCCTTTCTTTTTTTTTTCTTTTTTTTCTTTTTTTCGGTTATTCATTCTAGTATTTTTGGGCTGAGAATAAAGGGATACTGCTGCTTCTGATTTTCGAGCTTCTTGGTAGGAAGGCATCTAACCTTCTGGACCGAGCCTTGACTTGCCCAAATGGAAGTGGTGAGCGTAGAAGGTGCATGTTAGACGACGAGGCTTCGTGTCAATGCCTACCGGCGTACTATTCTTTCCCACAAATGACTCCAGATGATATGAGAGATCCATCACTTCCTGCTCTCTTGGGTCTCTGACTGGGAATTTGGAAGGCCCTCTTGTCACTCTTCCTCCACCACTTGCTTCCTACTTTTCACCTCTTCCTGAAGGAGCAGCAGTAGCATGCCCAGCATGACGAGCCACATATAATCCCCTCGTCCCCATCCCATTCCAACTTCAACCTCTTCTTCTCTTCCATCCACCTCGCACACATCTCATTCTCTGCACCATCACACTCTCGCTTCTGTTTTGGCTCATTTTCTTGGAACCCAAGTTTTGGAACCTTCATTTCCTCGGGTAGTGCTCTACACACAACACATCTCGTCATTCCACTCTTTCTATTCTCGTGCGTTTCTAGCAACAAAACACCATCATCATGCGGCTCCCTGGGCCCTCGATGCCCTCACAACGCCAAAGTCAGACGGCAGCTGGCATTGCCCTCGTCGTCTTGGCCTTCTTCACAGCCTTTGCTATGACCCAGGCCGTTCGACCAATCCAGGACGAGCCCACCCTGACCAAGAGGAACACCAACGTCGAAGCCAGGCAGTTTCTTCCGTGGATCTTTGGTGGCGGTCAAACTACCACCGCTGCCAATCCTGCTCAACCCGTCATCACCACTCCCCTTCCTGCGGCTGCACCAGTCACTCCCAGTGACCAGCAACAGCAAGGTCCTCTTGGTGGTGTTATTCCCCAAGTTGGCCATGTCATTCCCAGTTTACTCGCTTCTTTGACTTCAGCACTTGCGGCCGTGATAACTCCAGTTCCATCCATCCTCAACCCCAACCCCGGAAATGTCGTACCAGTTCTCACCAATTTTGAGCCCGCGGTGGTTGAATCCATACTCCAAACCGTTATTCCGACAGCCATCCCGAATATCGAAGGATCCAATGGTGGATTACTGGATCCGGTCCAGAGTGTTATCAACAGCATCGTCGGTGTTGGTGGCTCTGTTCTACCCCTGCCTGCCGGGTCTGGACTATCCGTGCCTCTTCCGACACAAGTCGTTGGCGGAATTCCGGTTTCTGAAGTTACTGCGGCCATTGGCAACGGCGCCTCTATCATCACCAACATCCCAGAAGTACTTGTCAGCGTTGTCTCCTCCATCGTTGACCACGTTCCTTCGGCGATTGGCGCATCTGACATCGCCGGTGCCACCGCAGCCATCCCAGGTCTCTCGTCTTTAGTTGCAGCCATTCCCACTGGACTCAGCGACTCCATCATCTCAAGCATCGAAAATATGATACATTCCGCTTCAGTTGTTGTACCGCTTCCAACAACAGCTCCCCAGCTCCCCGGCGACTTGCTAACCGACGGTGGTCTTTGCACTGTCGTCAAGATTGAGAGTGGGATTCCCACTTTCCTCGCAACCCCTTGCCCCGAGGGCGTTCCTCCTCCATTCACACAGGCGGCGTCTTCGTCTGACGTCCCAGCTTCAAATTCTGGAGCCGGCCCGGTCAGCCCTCCTGTATCCTCTCAAGCTCTCTCTTCCACACCTGCGGCGGCTCCGGCAGCTGAACCTCCGCAGTCCCCCTCAGCAGCCTCCCCTCCAGCTGGTGGCGCGAATGCTACTCCTCCTGCCAACAATCCTTCGACGCAAGCTGGAGCCGGGAGCCCTGGCAACAATGGCCAACCACACAACACTGCTCCAGCAGGTCAGGCTCAACCACCTGTGCAATCTCCAAGCCCTACAAATCCCTCGCCAGGTAAGAGACAGTTTATCTTGGCTTACACAGTGTACTGACGTATCTTTTCAGCCAACCCCCCACCTGCTGCCACTCAAGCACCCAATCAGGCAACTAGCGGTGCAGGAAGTCCGTCGCCGGCATCAGCTCCCGCAGCCAGCCCCCTGACAACGTTGACCATCGCTGCCGGAACACCTGCCTCGAATCCAACCGGCGTGTCAGCCAACGGCGGAAACAGCCAGAGCCCCTCTCCGACCTCACAAACAGGCGGCTCGATCTTCGGAGTTGACGAAGGACAAGACCCTTCCTCTGGGAACAACATCCCACCAGGCACACCAGTCATTCCCATTTCCGATTGCCCCGCCGTTGTCCAGTGTCCTGCATGCCCGGCTTCTCCTGCAAAGCCTCCTGCCGGCTCATGTCCATGCCCTGGTCGAGGCTACTCTTGCTCCGAGTGTCTCAATGGATGGTTCTGTCCCCCGGAGGAAACACCAATGCTGCCGGCGCCCTGCGGGATGGGATGGCCTTGCTATCACTGCAAAGGTGGCTGGTACTGTGCTCCCGAAAGCAACAACATGGCGCCCGCTGGGGCAAATGATCCTCCCGTCGTTGTCATCAAAACCGTGACAGCTTTTGTTGCTGCCCAACCCACTGGAGCTGGCAACGGCGGCACTGGAGATGGTGGCAACAACAATGGTTCTGGCGGCGGTGGTAATGGCAACGGAGGCAACGGCAATGGAACACCTGGCAACGGAACGCCTGGCAATGGCGACTCTGGCAGCGGAAACTCTGGCAATGGCGACTCTGGCAATGGTGGCTCTCCGGCTGTATCTACTACGCCTTGTACAACAGCGAACAATGGTCAGTATACTGGTCCTCCAGGAAATGGTGCTGGCTCAGCCCCCAATCCAAGCCCGGACAACTCTGGCAATGGCAATGGCAACGGCAACGGAAACAACGATCCTGGCAACGGAGCTGCTCCAGGAGCCGGCGATCCTGGAAACGCCGCATCAACGCCTTGCACAACCACTGGCGGCCAACCCACGAGTCCATCTGGACCCAACGGTAGCTCTGGAAATGTTTCTGGTAGCGGCGGTCCTGCCAACGTTCCCGAACCACCGGCTGTGTCTCCTGCCCCACCTCCCTCTAATACCAACCCTACAGCCAACCCTGGACACCCTCCCAGTCCCGTCTCACCGGCACCTAATGGCAATCCAGATCCTGGTTCCGGGAATGGACAAGGCAACCCCGGTGCCGGCAATCCTCCAGCTGGCTACGGTAATTCTCCCACGGGCCCTGCCAATGGCAACCCCAACAACGGGCCTGGATCAAACAATGGCTCTGGGAGCGGCTCGGGTAACGGCTCAGGCTCAGGTGCACCAAGCGGCGACGGAGCCCCTGGCAACACCGGACCTTCAAGTCCGGCACCTGGAAGCAATGCAGGTGCAGGTTCTGGTAACGGGTCTCCGAGCAACAACGGACCTGAAGCCGCTCCTGACGTCACTGGCTGGGAGTACCTTGGATGCTTCAAGGACTCTGCCGTTCGAACACTCGACGGCGACCCGTCCATATACTTCACAGGAGGCATGTCAAATGAGAAGTGTATTGCACACTGTGGCTCGATGGGATTCCAGCTTGCCGGCACGGAGTACGGCAAGGAGTGCTGGTGTGGCACTGCGTTCCAGCTGGCCGTACGCATCCCGGAAGAGCAGTGCAACGAAGTCTGCGATGGCAAGTCAACCGATATCTGTGGAGGTGACTGGGCTGTCACCGTTTACAGCAGAACCGGCCAGGCTATGAGCTTGCCGTCTGATGACGATGTTGCCAATGGCACCGGCGCTGGCAACAGTAACGGCAATGGCAACGTCAATGGCAACGGCGACGGCAATGGTGGATCTGGCGCGGGAAACAATGGAGGTACCGGGAATCCACCATCGGCCCCTCAAAATCCAGCACCGGCACCTCCGGCGGCACCTCCTGCGGCACCTCCTGCGGGTCCTCCTACAGGACCTCCTGCCGCACCGCCGGCATCACCCCCTCAGACACCAGGTCAAGGTCAGTCCTCGCCACCTCCGGCAGGAAATCCCCAAGACAGCAGCACTCCTCCGGCGTCTCCGAACCCTGCACCGCAGCCTCAGATCGACATTGCTTCTCTCATACAGAGCATCATCAATGCGCTACCCAAGAGTAGCCCTGATGGCGCGTACGGCAGCGGTCTGGGAGCAAGGGACTCTGGGGCGTCTGGCAACAATGGACCTGCGACTCCAGCCGACTCTAGTGTTCCCAATGGTGGTGCAGGAGGTTCGCCAATGATGGGACCAGGCCCTTTCAACCCTCCGGAAGGACTCGACCGCTATGGTGTCGAAAAGAGAGAGGTGGCAAGCCGGAACATGAAGCGCAGCAGCATCATAGGGCGGCGAGCGGCCGCGAAGTTTGACGGTGTTATCTGCGATGGAGAAGATGAGTATGAAGGCGATTGTTTGGCGAAGGCGCAAGTTTAGAAGGAAAGGGGTCCATGTTATCACGACGTTACCATGATGTATGACTTATGATCATGGATGCTGGGCTCTCGTCTCAGCACTTGCGGTTACTCGAGGTTTTTTTCTTTCTGTTCTTTTTGGAGAGGCGGGCTACTACGTATGAATATTGCCTGAGCTCAGATAATGTAATGGAACATGGCTTTGAAGGTTCAAACTTTGCAATTTCTGTGTGGTCGATGGACAAGCCTGCTCACTTTGATATCTGCGATTATGCGATGTCCAGTGAGGAGGAAGTGTTGGTAGAGTATAGGGCCACTTTCTTGGCCAAGAGGCAGACCAGGGTGCTCAGCTAGCTCTTATGCGCTAACACTAAACACCGCAGCTCGATTGCGGCGTCTTTCGGGGCTGAGAGCCTCAGCTGAGATTTCATGAGGCATGCTTGTCAACTTACATGGTCTATTGCTCACGAAATGATGATCCTCTGCCCGACAGCAAGCGAAACAGTCGCTTTTTATTTTATGGAATTTTTGTTGTAAATTGATTGGCATACAGACCAAATACATTATCCCCCTTGCAGGTTGACGGAATATCGCGTGCTTTTCTCTCCATGGTCTGCTATTATTTGCTAGACTAGCTGTCTTCGGCCTTGCTGTGTTTGCCGAGTATCGTAAAGTTGTGGCGTGGTAGTGTGGGTGAAAGTCGTGGTGTGATTTCATTATGTCGATCGGCCGTTTGTCTCCTCATGTCTAGAAACTCATAGCCCAGCCATGTCAATTTCCATGGCCCTTGTTTTCATGACCCTTGTTTCCTCTTGCTCAAATGTCTGCTCTTTTCTTCTTAAATCTGAAGAGCGCCGAAAGTCGCAGCAGAGAGAAGCAGAGCGCCAATAGTCAGCCCAAGCGTGTTCACCCCAGCAGGGACATGCACACCCGCCGCCGCCGCATTCGCCGACGAAGTCGAGCTCGAACTGCTCCCGCTCCCACTCGCCGAAGACGAACCTCCTCCGGACCCGGACCCCGAACCACCGGAAGCAACGACGCTAGCCTTTGCCGAAGCGGGCGGGTCGACGTTGCCCGTCGCCGTGGCGGAGGCGTTCACGTTGCCGTTGTCGCGGCAGAAGACGTCGGTGTAGCCTGCTCCTTGCTCAAACAGGCAGTCTTGGAGGTCTTTGACGGATTGGTCTAGGGCGAGGCAGTAGAGGCCGCAGCCACGGGGGCTGGGCTGCTGCCCGGCAACCGGCAACCGGGGAGGTAAGGGAGGGGAGGCACTAACAATTACGGATACTTGGTTGCATCCAATGGACTCGGGGTTCGGGAGCGGCTCTTGATTCGATAGCAGCATCCCACCGGTGGTCGCATTCTCGAGACTCAGTGTGGTGCGAGGCTTCCCGGGAGGGAGCCGGGCGGTACCCCGCGTGCACCGAGGTGCCCGGGCTTTGCGGCGGGATGTGTCTGTCGAGTTTATTGGGTGGCCAATTAGATGGTTCTGCGATGCGAGGGAGGAGTCGTCATCTGAGACCTTGTTTGGGAGAAGAGAAAGCCCTGGAGATTCAGCTGGATGAGAGCTGGCTGAGAGGTAACAGCTGGCGATGCAGAGTGTGGCTTGATGTCGACGGGGTAAGGTAACTCGTAGTCTGAGGCGGTCAAGCGTTGGCTCTTTTCGGGCGCCAGAGTTTGCGACGAGAAAACTCGTTTGGTTGAGTAACAGACACAATCACGCTTTTACTACATCGTCAGCCACATTACTGGGTCGAATTCTCTCTCTCGCCTTAGAAGTCCGCAATGATGCGCCGTGTATCGTAGTTTTTGCGGAATGCCTTCAACATCGATTAAACTCGTCGAGGCAAGTACGTACCTACCCAGTGTCTCCTGTCTTGTTCCACCCTTGGCATGTGTCTACTCCGCACGCTGACATCCCTCCGGATCCCCTACCTTTCACTGCAATTTTAACTCACTCAAAAGTGTCTTCGACATGTCTAGAGGATAGATAGCAAGAGTCAGCGTAGGTGCTGTGAATGATGATTTCCCCCTCACCAAGACAACAAGGGTCTGGGGGGGGGGGCGTGTAGCATGAGAAGATGCTCTACGATGGTAGAAGATGGTATGATTAGATGTACGCCGCTTCAAGGGCTTCTTCTTCTGGCGATTAGACATCCCTATCGCGAATTAGGACCTACTCTACGGATACACACTTGTTCACCGCCAAACTGGTTGACATTTTCGGCACTTGTGTTGCAGAGCCTGATTCGGCGACTTCACTGCAAAAAAAATTTTTAAACTCACTCAGAGGATATCAATCCTTCGTGTCGTTCGGGCGAGAAAAGTTACAATCGACGGCTGTAACTTGAACTCAAGTCTCTTGTCCCTCGACTTGCCAGCGGAGGCCTCCCTCTCCATTACACGGCGACCGGAGCCGGCTGCCGATTAAGTGGGTCCTTAGCACCACCGGATCCCCACGGCCGGCTCGCTGCTCAAGCATCATGGCACTGGAGTCGCGGGAGCTCAGTCCAGACTAAAATACACAAGGTAAATTCAGAAATTTTTTTTCTTTGGTGCAATTAATAGACCCGAATAACTAGCTGAGAACCACAGTCATGCAACTTGGAGAGGGCAGAGGACCTTGTAACCCAGCTGGCTGCGACGCGACGCGAGTAAAGCAAAGACTGGCGGCGGCTGAAGAGCATGGCATGATGTAGACATAACTGGTGATCTATCCGAGTACAAGAAGTTCAAAACAGACACACAACGGATGGGATTTTGGCATAAAACATAGTCGTACATGGCAAAGCCGTACCTCAGTGGCCGAACGAACGCTTCCTTCTCCCACCAAGTCTGCCAAAGTCATCCGCGTACCATACAGCCTCGGTCATCGCCGAGACTAGGCGTCCAAGGCAATGTATCAACTTTTAGGCGCCACCTGCACTGCATTGTTAACTCGCCCAAAGGGCGGGCGGGCGAAGGGTGTGGCTACAGCAAATGCACTGCATTCTTAACTCATGCAGAGGGTCTTCAACACACCACCTCCCAACAGGTCAAGGACAAGAGTTGGCGGCGGATTCCTCCAAATTTGACCATCTTCCCAAGGCGTCCAGAATATGATAATATTTTGCAAATTAAATAAACAAGAAGAGTGACCAAGAATGAATGTCGCTACGAGGGCTTGGTATGCTGCGGTTTCGAGCTCATTCTCGCCCGCCAGTCGTTATGATTTGAACGTTGATGCACCTTACTAGTTTTTACACTTGATTTACTCACCTCTCCTCTGAAGCCAATAAGAAGGGCGCCTCTATGTACACTGCAATCTTTACTCACGCCAAGGGTCTTGGAATGCCCAGGTGAGACAATTGCGCACAATTACGCACAAAGCCTGCACTTAATTTAACTCGTCCAGAGGACGCATACCTACTTAGTTGACTTGCTCCAGCTAACCAACCCCCCCCTTGGAGAGGTACTTAGCAGCAGTACGAAAAAGGGAGGCTCAGGCGACTTACCAGTGAATGCGTCTCAGCTCGGGGCCGGGGATTGTCCCCGGATCCGACTACCAGTAAAAGTGGGCCACCCGGCCGCCGGCTCTTGAAATGATCTGCCTGCCCTCACCTAAACATGAAATCCGTTGACAACCATCATTTGGAGTAACAAAACGTAAATAAATGGGAAGCCGAACATCAGACGATCTAATCAAGAACGGGAGGCTCTTGGCCTGACTTTAAGTACCTTGTCCGGCATGCCGGACAAGACAGTGCTGTAGGAGTAGGTAGCCATAGCCATAGCCATAGCCAGAGAAGGAGAGAGAGAGAGAGAGAGAGAGACCCTCGAGCAGCCAGAGTGGGTCTCGTTGCGTACGAATCTCTCGGATTTGGTGATATAGGGCTAAGAAAGGCTGGTGTAGCTACCGGAGTGTATGCCATCATGGCTGTTATCGTTACTCGCTCGTAAACTGCTCTCCGTGTTATTCTCTCAAGAAAGGACACCGCATTGCAGGGCATCTGATGACCTGAAGTTGTGTGCATCGTCAATCCAAAGAGTTAAAGGCTATCCGCGCCCTCTGTACAGTTCTATTAAATCAGTCACCGCTCGCAAACGTTGAAAGTAACAATCGTCACACAACCTTCTTTCCACAACCCGTGATGAGGGGGGAAGCGGGTGCTACCGTACGGGACCCAGCTTACGAAGCAACATAATCCAACATAGTCGAAACATCATCAAAAAAAAAAAACACTGGTGCAACATGGCCAGGATACCCGTGCCATCCAATGACTCCGAATATATCCCCGCGGACGTGTCAATATTCTCCAACTCTTCGACGAGAGCCGCAACTTACACTCAGAAGACAATCAAGACGTCACGTCAAAAGCTCCGTCTTCACATGGATGCTAAGACGGGTAGAAAACAATTGTGGTTCGTCAATACAGAATTTCATTTTCTAGCTCGGGGTATTCCTGAAAGATAACTAAAGGAGCTCGCGCTCCTGTGCCCATTTATCATTAATAAAAACAAAGAGATATCCTGCAAAACGTTGTCCCGGCCGTTGAACGCCTTGCTCGGTGACCATGATTGTTTTGGTGCATCAGGCCCAATTAAATCGACCCAAAAAATGACTCCGTCGCTCATAACTGGTGAAAGCAGCCTTTCGAGCAGTCGCGATGAAGACTGGTGGTGTAGTCCATAATGACTACTCGAGATGCTCGCTTTCGTCTAATATCCAAATCAACCCTTTTTTGGGTCGCGCTTTGTCGATGTAATCACATCGATTCGAAGAAATAGATCGATTTATTGAAATCGAAATCGGCATTGCGCCGATGCAATTGTCCTCGACCAAATAGTTCATCCCACAGACTTCAGTAATGTCGAGTCGATGATGACTCTCTAGATCGGATCTACGGATCTAGTGTTCTGCAGCAACGTTTGTGAAACCGCAATGCTGAAACTGGACGCCATCAGAGAGCCCTACGCAGAACGGGAGTCTCAGGCGTATCGAATCCTCCTCCCATTCCGCCACAGCGTCGAGGCTCAAAGGGTTGAGACAGCCGCACGACGGATTGTGGCGTAAGAAAGGTGGAGGAGAGGAGGCGTTCAACCGATTTCTTTTAGGGTTTCCCATCCAGCGACAGATCTAGCGATTGGGTGATGTGTGGCGTCTCTTAGTCGTCATCCAAGCTTCGCCCGCCGCATCACCGCTCGGTTCTGTCTGAGCGTGGTCGGGGTCCACCTTAGCCAGACAAAGGTGCCTCGGCTGTATGGTCTCGAGTGTAGTGCGCTTGATCAGTAACCCCTCTTGCAGGTGTCTTTGGGCCACGATCCAATCTTCGCAATCGTCGTCGGCAGGGTGGGGTCCTCGTCGCAATTCGTGCCGTCCCAAATCTTTGTGCTAAATTCTTGCGTAGCCCACGGGGCTTGAATGTTTGGTAGTGCCAGTGACTTTTGAGCCGCCGTGAGCGGTGGCATCGAGAGCCCCTTGATCGACGAATCGTCCTCAAAGTTGGTGATATCGAAAGAGTCGTCGAGGGTGAGCTGGCTTGCCTGGCTCGCACTGGCTTGGTGGCCCTGAGTGGGAGAAACCCTTTCGATTTCGACAACTACCTCTCGTGTCCTGTAAATCGCCATCTTGGGCTGTCCGTCTGCGTCGGTAGCGTTCGCGGCACCTATCGAAGGTCTCCGGCTGCTGGATCCCGAGCTGACGGCGGCGACGTTGACTCCTCGCAATGCGGGTATCTTCGGCTTCGTAACGTTGTTTAGTTCGATGGGATTCGGGGGTTGGCTGCTGATCGTAGCGTCGATTCCGCCGACAGGGCGTCCTCTCGCGTAAGTAGGTAACTGTAAGCTGCACTCGGATGGCTGATATGAGTCTCGGGTGCCGTTAAAGTCGGCGGCAGATAGAATGCCGAGATCGCGTTTCCGTGCAACCTTTCCAATCAGTTCAGCCATCGACATCTCGATCTTCAGCTTGACCATGTAAGCTAAGGGGTGGAATTGCATGTAACTAAAGATCAATGTTAGTACGCCATGCACACCCACCCAAACCCCGTCGCCATGTCGACGACGAGAGTTTGGAAATTCTCGCAAGACCACCTACACAAATGTGTTGTTGAGACTCATCATCGCAATAATGAGTACGTCCATGCTAAGAGAAAAACCAATGATGAACATGTTGAACTGTGTCAGTCGCTTGTACTTGGTGAGGCCGTGGGTAACCAAGTTCTTCTGGACGATGCGGACGAAGTAAATGTTGAGCGCTCCGTCAACGATGAGGTAAATAACCTTTTCGCAGCGATCCCACCACTCGTTGATTTCGATATATCTCTCTGATACCTGTAATCGAGCCGGCACCCAAATGTTGTAGACGGAGATGTTGATGGCGGTGATAAGCACAGCGACGCCCACTTTCAGCCGCCATGCCCGCTTCTGGTTGGTAAGGAGAATGGCGCATCGATTGATGATAATTTGAAGAAGAAATTGAACCTGGAGAGCCCAAGTGGTCACTGTGGTAGTTAGTAAACGGCTTGGCGAGCAAGGTAGTAGTAAGAGACTTACAGATGCAAAAGTAAAATGCGAAGCTGAAGACGACGGCAGTCAGCATCAATTCGACACCATCCTGAAGTAGTGCTGGTGACTCACCTTGGCGGTATGATGCCTTTGAGATGCAACCAGCAAATGGTGCTGAAGATGGTACACACGAGGATCTCCAGCCAGATCATCCAAATGTATGAGTTCCGGTAAATGCGATCGCCTTGCCGCCTATACATGGCGGTGGTCTGCTTGATCGCCGTCCATGCTGTGAGCCAGCCGAACCCGAGAGTGAATCCCCAGGCCAGGGATGCAATGACCATATCATCTTCGGAGACCTCTTCGAGCTTGAAGTGCGGGGAGAGGAGGGTCATCATGATTGACCAGCCAGAACATCGTAGCAGCGAGGCTGAGACATCAACAGATATTATTCCGTATTTTGCTTCATGGTCGGAAGAGATGGGTGTTAGTGGGGAGTTGAGATGAGAAGGAAAAGGAACTGACAAAAGGGATTAAACAACAGAACTTACCGAGAGCATGGTCAATAAACAGTGGTTTCACGACGTCATGCACAAATGGAAATGAAAAATCGAAAATGTCCAGGGTCCCGATCTGGCTTTACAAAAAAGTTGGGCTCGTTCGTGGTCGGTTCAAGAACGGAGAGCGGACGAGCATAGGAGGGGGGCTGAGAGTTAGAATACGCAGAGGGCTGGTGTTTTTGAGGCGAGTCCTTTTGGCTAGCAGCAAACACTCAGAGTAGCGTTGCGATCGGACCCAAGACGTCGTGTTTCATGGGCGAGTCAGGGAACGGTACACGAACAACGGTACGGATGGCGTCGCCTTGAACGAGCCAACACACACTAGCACTAGAACGTTTTGCACCGCAGTATGGAAGAAAACCAGCCTTCTGCCGCAGGTAACCCACGCTGGAAGCAAACGGCGGCTTCATCCTTCCAAGGCGAGGCCCAGTCGGGGTAAGCGTCAACGCGAGAGAAGAAACCATGCAGCGCCGGCCATTCCGATGGGAGATGAGGATCAGAAGTAACGTTCGCTAGTGGGTGCTGTTTCCCCCCCTAATCGCGAAAACGCAAAGCATGTGAGCAAAATGGTCAATCTGGTTAGGGCGATTCCAGTCTCCTGCTGAAAGGAGATGGCCCTTGCTGAATGACAACGTGGAGGAGCAGCAGAACTCTGCTGATGGTGCCAGTGGAGAGCAAAGCCAAATATTGAACGACATGGAATGCGAGAGCGGCAGAAGATCGGCCATGGAAGTGGCGAGGGACATGTCTGCAGCTGTTAAGGCGCCGATCCCTGGCAAGGTGTCATTGGGACATGACTTGGTCGTCGGCATTAGGGCGGGCGACTTTACCCAAAAAGACACTTTCGTGGCTGCGAAGCTGAGGGATGAGAGGCCCAGCGAAGGGAGGGAGTGGGCAGAAAGAAGAAAGCTTGGCATCTGATCTTCGCTGCGAATTCTGCGCTTAGGGACCGTCTTCTCGCCAGCGTAGAAACATACATGGACGAATCGAAGACGAGATGCTGCTGTTCGCTCCGGGATCATCCAAGCCGGCCTTTTCTTCGATTTCAAAGTCCGCAGTCAAAAGAAGTGTGGTGAGCACGTGGCTCGTGCATCTGGGGCGAAGAAGCTGCTCGGATTAGCCCTGGTTTGGCGGAGGTGGCCGACAACCTCCTGTATGTTGAAGACAAAGCAGAGTTTCTTGATGCTTCGCTTGAAACTCCAACCCAAGATTGGCAACCTATGCTCCTCAGGAGTTAATCTGGTTCTGCAAGAAGACGGCGGGAATGCTGCGGGCGCCTTGTAACCATCTCGAGATTTTCTGATCAAACCCCGTGAAGCCTCATGGGTAAGCCATAGTAGTGGTGCCGGATGTTGCACTCCGGGCATTGGAAATTGTCCAAGTAAGAGCCATTTCATGTTAACAACACTTCGTATTCAACCAGGCCTTGGAATACATGGATGTGCTTGTCGGAAGTAACTGCGTAGGTTTCGACCCAAATCTATCCCATGAACCGTGCGCCGACTATCGTCTTGGTAATTGGAAAATGGAATCCGAGGTTGCTCGGGGTTGGAAAAGATGAAAAGCTTCCATTGCATTTGCCGTCGTCCTGGCTCCGCTGACGCATAACTTATATCGGATATTGGAGATTTCGGGCAATTATCTTAGAGCACGTCGCCCGCATCCTTGACATGAGGGCATATTGGTGTGGGAGGACGGCTTTTCGTTGGAAGGATGTAAACGCGCGTTCTGGAAACGTTCCATCAGAGAGACGGGATGCATGGATCAGAGAGCTGGCGCGGATCTCATCTCCTTCTTTCTCTTAGGTCTGGAGATTCGGTGGAGTTTGGCATCTCGCAGCGTTGCAGTAAGGCGCAAATGTGGTGCTGACGAAAGACACATGTCTTGACAACCGCATGCTGCAGTGATACCGAAAGTTGTCGGCATAATTAGCCCTCCTTCCAAAAAGTCCATGTCCGGAATGTACTCGAGTCATCGTTTGCGGGGCATCCGAAGGTTAGTGGCATGCAAAAGACGGGCAGCGCACCGGGGCCAGAACATCACGTAATGGTTTGTGATGTCGTTGTGAGTTTAGGTCGCACCGAGGCTGTGGTTCCTTTCCCGCAATATCTTCGGCTAGAGGCTGATTGGCAAGAAGAAAGCTGCGGCATTGAGCCCTTGAGGAGCGGGTCGTCCGCAAATCTTCTCGAAGCCGGGTTTCACGATAGGGCTAGTTCTCCCATCTTGGCTCCAAGATTAGCTCGAGGTCCCAACGCATGGGAATGACATCTCCTCGGTTGTTGGCCGCAGCAGCCTAGCGGAGAGACTGGCAGCGACGTCGGCAGCGATACCGGTAGGGTTATCGTGCATGCGTGGGGGAACCAACACTGCCCGAATGTTGAATCGAGTCGTGATGATTTTGTTCGATGGACAATACACGTGGGAAAGGTGGGTATCGAGATAAGCCCAGTTGCTTGGCCGGTGTAAAATATCTTCTCCCGCCTTTGTCGGAGCCGATTTGTCGACCGTCAGTCCTTCAACCCGGCAGCCGGTAAGAATTTCGGCGAATTACGAGAAGCTTCTCGTTGACGTTCCGGTGGCATAACTCTGAATGTATGGGAATAAGAAGGAGCAGGCAGATGTTGGCGAGTCATTGGGCCTTAGTCTAGCTGTCTGCGAGCCTCCAAGTGGTCTGGCGAGATGGGACGGACAAAACGACAACGCAGAAGGTTTCCTAAGCGTCCCCACCATCATCGAATGGTGCACCGAGAGCCGCGAGGGTTGGTCGTCAGTCGTGAATGAGGTAGCTTTCAGGGAAAACTCCGGCCTCTCCCAACTGCCGTATCGCGAGGAGCCCGGATCTGTCATCTCCGTTTCGAGTATGCACGGCGGCAGCATGTACTACAATTAGTTAGTAATCTTCGGGCCGCGGCCAACTAGGCAGTTTCAGTAACGGGCTTTGAATCTGAAGGTTCGACGTCCCATCCGAGGCCTTCGCTCGTCGTCTCCAGGAACTCGGTTGCCATCCAATGTTGTGGTCCAAGTGACCAAGTCAGCCAAAAAGGAGGTAGTTGCAATTCGAGAGTAAGCGTATACGTGCGTAGCAAGGCAGTGAAGTTCGAATATCGGATCTGCGATGTGCAGTGAGTGGCTGGGATGGACGGAGTGGAACGTGGGAGGCTGTGGAGTTGTGGAGGAAGATCCCGGCAGGTGGAGAGTGGTATCTGTGCCCACTGCCCGCTGCCCGGGGAAGAGATACCCATGACATCCTCCCATCTCACGTGATAGCCTCTCTGAGAGTCTTGTAGGGACAGACGCGACGCCGAATACAAGTTTCTTTGCCATATAATATGTTTCACCGTTAGTTGCGAGATTCCTCGCCAGCACCCGCGAATGACATTAATCTGTTGTATTACTATGGTGTCATTCCTTCTCATTTACAAACGCGCCGAAGATATCTACTTAATGTACTTGACCCCACGTTCCGTTCTCGAAAATCAACTGCAAATGCCATATCCGGGTTGGCAACCAGCACCACAATAAAGATCCGAATTACCACACCATCCATTCGAGCTGCAGCATTGGTAGTCACCGTTGCCTCGGCACGTAGCTACTCCTGCACCACACGCTCCATCTCTTGCGATAGGCAGCCCTGAGCTCCCGCCGCTGCCTGAGCTACCACCAGAGCTGCCACCGGAGCTGCCACCAGAGCTGCCTCCTGAACTACCTCCCGAGCTGTCTCCCGCGCTGCATGTACCGAAGCCCGGCTGACACCCGGTTCCGCAGTAAGCACTTGTCGTTCCGCAGTATCCATACGCACTGCAGCAGTATCCGCTGCCGCAAGGCCCAATACCGGAACCGCAAGAACCAGGCGCGCCGGGATTGGGCTGTGTCGGTGTTGTCGGCTGGGTGGAAGATGCTGTCGTTGTTGTTGGTGCCTGCTTGATTGTTAGCTGAGTGGTATTCTCTTTGAACTTCGTTCACCTACTTGGCAGCTCGCGAGTCGTGTGTCTGCTGCAGCTCCCTGCAGCCAAATCTTCATGGTGGCCTGGAAAGACTTGCCGTTATAAGGGTTGCTGTCACCGCGTGTTGCCTCCCAAACAGCTACGCCTCCGAACGATGGCCTGCAGTAGTACGCGCTGATGAGATTATCTGCCTGTTGGTGGGTAATGTAGTTCCCAGCATTGGCGGCATCTGAGGAACCAGGCAGCGTGATGAACACCTTTGCGTCTCTGCTGGGGGTGTTCGATAGCCATTGAACCCAGGCATCAAAGGTGAACCCCGCTTCCTGATATGTTGCACCAGGGGTGTAAGACGGATTGCTAGCCACCCATGTCGCAGCTGAGCAACTCGGGGTGTTGTAGAACTGCACAAAGATCATGTCGAACTTAGCGGCAGAGATCATGGCAGCCATATTGGCATCCGGAACGACGCATTGAGGGGCGCCAGTCAGGTAGTATTGCTTCGTAGCTGTTGCGTAGAATGTACGCAGAAGCGTGACCAGGGCAATGTAGCCTTCCGAGTTGTCTGTGGGTAACTGAGCATTAGCCAACAGTCGTGAAATTCATAACGGCAAAAGCGCTGGCGTACCTGTGGATGGATGCTCTATATCCATGTCAAAGCCGTCAACCTCGACGGCTTGGCCGTTGTAGTCGAACGGGCGAGGGCCTGTCCAGTTGGGATCTTTTGGTCCGAACATGTGCCACAGGTAAGTTGCTAGGAGTTCACCCTCGTTTCTGCCTGTGAGCTGATACGATACTACGCCACCCCCGAGAGAGAGCAAGATCTTCTTGCCATACTGCTGTTGGCATACTGGGATCTGGGCGTTTAGACTCGGGCAGTTGGACTGCAACTGATCCTTTGAAGGGTCGAGGACACCGTTGAAGCCCGGACCAGGGTAAACTTGGCCGCCGCACCGATTACCAAAGTTCGTTCCAGGGTACCCATTTGCCTGAGCTGGGAACAAATGCACGAACGAGAGGATAATCACATCGATCTCGGGCTGCTGGCATTGGTTGATCAGGTCGCCCTGGTTCGGACCTTGTCCCTGTCGTGTTGTCAGCCACAGAATCATGTCAATGGTGAGAAAGTGCGATTCCTTACGTAGTAGACGACAACATTGTTTTTCGAAGTTGGGTCGAAAGTTGCAGAACACCATGAGATTCCTATGCTCAGCAAGACGAGCAGATTGAACAGCGCCATCGCAGCGAAGTAGTATATGGGAGTATCAAAGACAGACAAGTGGGATGCAAAGAGACAGAGTAAGTCGACACCTTTCTAACAGCTGGCGTTGGCTGCGACGTTGGCTCATAGACGAGGGTATTCGTGATGTCGGAGGTAAGGAGAACTTCAGTAACAATGACGTCGGTGCCCAGGTCTAGGAAACTGGGAAGGCGAGTGACTTGCTGGCTGCTTCTCCATGACGAGAGCATTTTAAGGGTTCTTCTTTCTCTAAATAACATCTGGAAAGTACAGGGACAATCGCATCTCCCATATCCTCCATCTTCCATCTCCCAAGAGCCAGGCGCGAACCCCTCCATCACGACCCCTCCTTCTCCTGCGGTCCTGCTGTGGGCGGGAAGTGTCGAGAAAAGAAATGCGGTGGAAATAGTCCTCCCTCCCCGCTGGGCGTTATTGCGATGCAGAATTCCGCAACAGAGTCCGATGGCGTCGTCAATCCAACTTTCCCCGTCACGTTCCCTCTTTTCTGCAAGGGCGACTGTTACCCCTTGACTCAACCTGCCACCAAAACCGATAAAGGGCAAGATCGCGTGAAGAGGGGGTTGGGACTTCCGCTGCGCGACGCGTCACAAATGTGCAGATTCTACTGGATTAGTTATCGAGATCGATTGCAGCGTCATTTCTCATGGTTCAAGGACCATTTTCTTTTGCATTGCGAGACCCCACGAATGCCCCACCGAGACCGCCGACCGAGACCTGAAGACTCCGGTCGCACGCTTGCTGCTGCCTGCTTCCATCAAAACTTAAAAGAAAGTCGGTTCATGATATTCTGATGTGAGTCCATCTCAGAAGTCATCGCATTCAGAATAACTGACATCAGATATGGTCCTCCTCCCTCAGACGATGCGCTCTCTCGTCGCGCCGAAGCACTGCAGCCCAGCCGGCTGGGAAGTAGCTGAGGTGCCGGTGCCAACCAATACCGACCCCACGGACATAATAATTCGGGTAAAAGCTGGAGCCGTTATGACGGGCGACTGCCAGAGAGCAAAAGGTTCTCCCATCGTCACACTCCGCAAAGAAAGGTACGTTCATCGCTAGGCCCGTGGTTGAACCCTTGCATGCAGAATTAACAACGTTTCGTCTTCAGTTTCCCCCTCAAAATTGGCTGCGAGGGCTCAGGAATCGTCGCAGCTGTCGGCACCGAGGTCAAAAACCTCAAAGTCGGCGACGCAGTGTACGGGCTGTGCTTCACCCGACCAGCCTCCAGCATCCCCGACCCAGGCTTCTGCTCCGAGTACGCTATTGGGCCGGAGAGGTTTTTCCTAAGCCACCGCACATGAGCTTTGAAGAGGCCGCCTCTCTTCCGGGCTACACCGTCACGGCGTACCAAACCATCAAACGCGGGCTTGTTCTTGCCAGGGAAGAATCGCTGGAAGGAAAGACTGTCTTCGTCCCCGGAGCCCTGAGCGGGGGAGGCTTCAGCGCGATCCAAGTTGCCCTGAACGTCTTTGGCGCCAAGAAGATCATCTCTACGGTTTCGACTCCGAAGATGGGCCTCGTGGAGCAGTACCTGCCAGGGATGGTTGATCAACTGATTGACTACACTACGACGGATGTAGGGTCTGTGGTTCCCAAAGGAAGCGTAGACTTCATGTTTAACACGCAGTGGAATACTATGGGCCCTGGCATACCACTTCTCACCCCCGAGACGGGCATACTCATGTCTATCGCATCTATTCCTCCGCCAACCTTGATGAAAGAGGTCTTGGGGCCCTCGATGGTTCCCTTCTGGGTTGGCTGGTTGCTGAACTTGGCTCAGCTTTGGTACTTGTTCTTGTTACGCGGCACGAATATCAAGCATGAATTCGTGTCTGGTAATCCCGAGATCAGGGAGGATTTGGAGAAGGCCGGGGAGTTCATTGCCACCGGTAAGGTGAAAGGCGTCTTTAGAGTGGTGGACCTGGCGGAATTGAAGTCGGTAAGGGATGAGTGTGAAAAGGTGAACAGCGGGAAGGGAGGGATCGGGAGATACATAGTAAGGGTCGAGTCCTAAAATAAGGTACTCTCTGTTTTGGAGTACTGTCACGAGTTATGGCACGTAGCAATGGGCATATGAAGTGTGGTAAAAGTGGCTTATATTAACCCAAATAGAATCGAGCAAGGAAAGGTGCTATATAGGAACAAATGAGAGAAGCACGTGATAACACACGTGATGGGCTGATTACAGAGTGCTGATGCTATTCCTATTTCGTGACAAGTAGCTCCGTGGAAACATCCACGCCAAGCACACACTCACACACACACACACAGTCCAATGCAGATGTATGGACGAAGAACCAGCCATCTCATGTCACCATATTATTTCATCACTCCCGATTAATGCGATTTATTCGATTGCGAATCATCAGCCCTGTATCCCATACTTGCAATCCAACGGCCGTCGACAAACAGAGAAACTGTCATTGGCCTGGTGCCGAAGAATTCGCGTACGTAATCGCGTTGCATCCCCAGATGTGGCTCATGTGGCGCCTGCAACCAGTCAGACTACTCCAACATCCAGTCAGCTCTCTATCAGAACATAATCTGAGGCCGTAAATAGTTCGAAACGTCCATAACTAGACTCTCCGTAGTTGCAATCATGTCAAAAGACCAATCTCTCCTCCTCCCAGACGGCCGCACCCTCAGCTACACCACATTCGGCATCACCCCACAACCGAACCAACCAACAATCTTCCACTTCCACGGCCTCCCAGGCTCCCATCACGAAGGCCAACCCGTTCAAGAAGAAGCCATCAAGCGCAACATCTGTGTCGTCGCCGTAACGCGCCCAGGTTACGGCGGCTCAACCTTCCAGAACGATCCTTTCGTTCCCGCAAGATGTCCTTCACCTAGCAGACCACCTCAAAGTCCAGCGCTTCGCCGTGCTAGGAATATCCGGCGGTGCTCCGTGCGCCCTTGTATGCATCCACTCTATCCCAGCACCACGGCTCGCCGGTGCGGCCATCGTCTCCGGGATGTTCCCGTCGGAGCTGGGTTTGGGCGGCATGATGCTCATGAACCGCCTGCTCTTCAACATTGCACCATGGTCGCCAGGCCTCATCGAGCTCATTGCCGACTGGGAAGTCGGGAAGCTCGCTCGGGACTCAGAGCACCCGGATAGGCTTGCTCAATCAACGGCTGACGCCTTCAAAAGTCGTCCTGTTGAGGATCAGGAAGCGCTGTATGCCGATGACGGCAAGATCTTGCGAGTTCTCGAGCAGAGCACGCGTGAGGCATTTCGTGTGAGTAGCCGTGGATTTGCATGGGAAGCGAAACTCTTCGGAAGTTCTTGGGGGTTCGACTTAAAGGATCTAGTTGTTCAGGAAGGGAAGTTGGTTATCTGGCATGCGGGCAAGGATGTCAACGTCCCATTGCGGATGGCCGAGGAGACAGCGAAGATGATTCAAGGCGCGGACCTCAGAGTCATGCGGGAGGAGGCACACATAAGCTTGATCGCGCGTATGATGGGAGAAGTAGTTGGCACGCTTGCAGACATATTGGAGGCGTAAAGTTTAGTACGTCTCATGAAAGACCTGAGTCTTTTTCTCAACTTTTCATCGCTGCTATTGTCTGGGCAATGCGATCAGTGGCTGAGATTCCTTACTACTGCCATCGCATGTGATTGTTTCCTCACCAGCCCTGCCACATGCGGGGATAAGCTCAATTCCGTAGTCCTGTTAGTCGCTTTTCGGCCGTCCGCATTCACGCATGTTGGCTGCGCCGTTGGAGAGTCCCGCTGTGAGGAAACTAGTAGGGTTTTGATTTGCCCCCTATCCTTGTTCCATGCAAGGAAATGGAACCGGGTAAGTGAGATAGCATCGTATAAGTGATGTTGCATGCATATTCCAGGCGTTCGCGCCAACAACGGTTTCTCCTCCGACGAGGGACTCGCAACCCTTGAGAACCCCTCTTTACCCATCGATCTCGTCTACTTAAGAAACAGACTGCTCGTTGTTACTTTCAACCTGGTCTTTGACGGCGCTTGTCCTTTCGAAAAATCCTGTAGCAAACCAGTAACAATTGACGGCAAAGATGACCAATTCTTCAACCAGCCCGGCGGCAGCGAATGACAGGTCACAGACAGCATCGCCGACTCGCGAACAGCCTCTTGCCACAGCTAATGAAACTGCCACTCTAGAGGTTGGTGATGCAGCCAGTCTTCGTAACTTTGATTATTGAACCGTTCTAGTTGGGTAAACTGACTTGGAAACTACCTTAGGTTGATGGGACGGCCTCCAGTATCAGCGACCAAATGTAGAGACTACTTATAATCCTGGTGACGCAACACTAACGACGCAACTAGCTCAACCTACACAGCATCTTTGACTTCCAGTGTGGTAGACTATCCCACAGAATACGGCCGACGATATCATGCATTCCGTGCGGGAGGTAAGTAACTCGATCCACCTGCGCCAGTCTGATGGCGCTGCAACTAGCCCGGGGGTAAAATGATACTATCAGTGACTGACAGAAAACCAGCATACTTGGGCCCGAATGATGAGGTACTGCAAGACTCGGAAATAGACGCGCCCAGAAAGCAAGGACAGTTATTGACTATGTACTTCGAATCCGCAGTTAGAGATGGACCGACTCGACTTTCATCATACCTACATGGTGAAGATCCTTGGCAGGAAGCTATTCTTGGCTCCAATTCCATCCGAAACCACCCATAGAATTCTTGACGTTGGCACCGGCACCGGCATTTGTATTCAACACCTGATATCGAGTTGATTGAGTATCGCTAATCGACCCCAGGGGCCATCGAGGCAGCAGACGTCTTTCCCAACGCAGAGGTACACGATCCACTGTGCATGTGTCCATGACCAACTCATTGCTCACCAAACTCGCTTCTTCGCAGATCTTAGGAAACGATTTGAGCGCGATTCAACCATCTTGGTAGGTGCGTTGGATTTGAGGCACTAGTTCTCACTAACAAACCTTTAGGGTTCCGCCGAACGTCAAATTCGAGGTTGACGACGTTGAAAGCTCCTGGGTAAACGAGCAGAAATTCGACTTTATCTTTTGTCGATACATGGCCGGATCCATTGTTGATTGGCCCAAGCTCATGAAACAAATCTACGCGTATGTCCCTACCAAACTGCCTGCAGGGCAATACTGACAAGAGTTCCAGAAACCTCAAACCCGGAGGCTGGGTCGAATTCCAAGACTACGATATCAACAATGTGTCGGAAGATGGAACCCTGACTGAAGAGCACCAAACCGACCGGTGGAGCAAACTCTTGATCGAGGCCTGCAGAAAGATTGGTCGTGATCCTTGCATCGGGCCGCTGCTCGAAGGCTGGGTCAAAGACACAGGATTCGTCGATGTCGTCCATCAAAAGTTCAAGTTGCCCATTGGACCATGGGCCAAAGACCCTTACTACAAAGAAATCGGCATGATGAACCTCATCCAAATGTTGGACGGTTTGGAGGCATTCAGTCTGAGGACCTTCTGTGGCGTTCATGGATGGACCAGGGAGGAGGTTTTGGTCCTGCTAGCCGAAGTGCGCAAGGAGCTGAAGGCTGGGAGCTTCCATGCCCACACTGCGATGTAAGTCGCCTTTCTCTTTCCTCAGATCTACCTGTAAATATGCCTGCTGACAGTCTTCTCTAGCCATGTGGTTTATGCACAAAAGCCTGAAGAAGAGGAGGAAACCTCGTGATCGCGGAGGAGTAGATGGCGGTAGATGCTTGCTCGTGGTAATGAGTGGGGCTGAACACTTTCCCGGGGTTTACTTGCACTCAATTCTGTTCGAGCGCAACTAGAGTCTTTAGTAAAAGAACGATCATAATTACGAAACTCAATCTTGTGCCACAGTGTGGCTCACATGTCATTGCCCGGCGCACAATCGCCTAGCAATTGCGCGCGATCGAGCTCAGAATGCGGGTGAACTAGCGTCTGCCCAGGGTAAGACATCACATCTGCTAACGGGATCTGTATGATGCTCATTTATAGGTACCGGATGGAACCGATGAAGATCCCGCTCCGGCCAACTAGGCTCTATGCGGCTTCAAGCCCGCTCCCGCTCAATCCCTCCGGCTGATTCTCCAAGCCATCGACGCCCTCGTCGCTATTCGACAAGAGTCTCGCCCCAGACACCTCACCTCAACCGAAATTTGGGGGCCGAAATTAAGCGAGACTGTCAGCCTGGGGAGGTGGCCCTTTGAACAGCCACGCCGCCGAGATGGACCCTTTTGCAGCCATGTCTCGTGGGCTTCTTGTCTGGAATTTGTGGTCCTCGTTGCCAGAGTGCAACAGGCAGATGGTTTTAATGGAAGGCTCCCTCTTAAAACCCTCGGTTTGTGCTACCCTTTTCTTGAAAGTAGTTTTCAGGTGTCACAAAACCGTCTAGGGCGCCTCATATCCGATTTCTTGGCGTTCTTCACAGATCAACTTTGAATTTGCTTATCAGAGCCACGGCCGTTGTTGGACATCATGCGGACAATCTTGGTGGCTCTGCTCCTTTGCGTGACAACGATATTCGCTCAGCAGCCAACTCTCCCCAACGTCCCTGGCCTTTCACTCAATGACAACCCCCCATGCGCTGTAAGAAGATGCACCCATACGGCTGCTGAAATACGACGAAATTAACATGAAGCCAAGCTGCCTTGCCTCCTGACAGGTCTCAATCAAACAAACTGCCCCACAAACGACCAAACATGTCTGTGCCAGGACGACGATTTCATCAAGTTTGTGGAAGGATGTGTTGTCATGAGCTGTCCGCTCAAGTACGCCATCAGTAGGTCCTGGACTCCGCCTCGTCGAGAAGCCATTCGTCTGATAATAGTTGGCGTCTGCCTTAGTCACGCAAAACATCACCTGGACGGCGTGTGAGTTCCCTCTTCACAACGAGGTGCCGGCAACAAAGGTCGCTCGGATCGTTTTGTTTGCGGTGCTCCCAACGCTCGCCATCATACTTCGGCTGATAACGAAATTTGCCCGGCTATCACTATGGGGTTGGGATGACTACACTATTATTGTGGCATACGTAGGTCACCATCCATTTCAGAGAGGCCTGCCCAAGATACTAATATGAATTCTGAAGATTCTGCTTGTGGCATATGTTTCCCTGCACGTCTTCCGTAGGTCATCCAAAATGGGGTCTTCGATGCCGGAGATACGCTGACACTTTTGAACAGTCGAAGATAACGGTGCCGGTAGAGATCTGTGGACTCTCAGCGACTTACAGATTACCCACTTCTTCAAGGTAATCCACGATTCCTGGCTTCGTCTAATCATCGACAGTCTACATAACTTCTACCCGACCATACCCGTGCTAGCATCGAACTTCGTAGGGCTTCTACGCATTACAAACTTTGTACCATGGCTGCATCGACATCATCAAGGCATCGATTCTCTTCATGTACCTTCGAATTTTCCACCTGCCCGGCGAAAAGATTACCATTGCGTTGTGGGTAACTCAGGTCCTCAACCTCATGAACGGCATCATCTTCATCTTTGTCGGTCTTTTCCAATGCAACCCCATCAGTCTTGCATGGGCATTTTGGACAGGAGATGCGACTGGAAAGTGTATCGACATCGTCTACCTCGCGTTGGCACACGCAGGTATCAACATTGCGCTGGACGTTTGGATGCTCATTCTTCCCCTAACACAAGTTTGGGACATGAACCTGGCTCGCCGCAAGAAGTTTGCAATCATGTTCATGTTCAGCCTTGGTCTGTTGTGAGTAGTTCAGCATCCATCTCATGACACATGGCAGCGGGTAGCTAATATATCTGGTTCAGTCTCACGGTCGTAAGCTGCATCCGCATCAAAGCAATCTTGGACTTCAGGAAAGATCCGCTAAATCCTACCGGTCAGTTGTTGACTGCCTCGCTCCATATGATGAGGCCTTGTTACTAATCCATCTCTCTCGTTTGCAGTGGCCATGATGCCGAGCGTCATCTGGACAGACCTTGAGCTGTACGTTGGGATTTTCACAGCCTGCATACCGACACTTCGTCAATTCTTTGTCCGATTTATATTTCGACAGTCGGAGAAGAAGAAGCGCTTGAGCTCGGCTGCGGCTGAGTACAGAGGCTCGATGCTCACTCCCAAAATAGGCGGATCGCAGCAGATGAGCGAGCTTGACACTATAGATGACAGCTGCCACAATAATTCTCCATGAAAATACAACATGAGAGGGTGGCTGTTGGCTAAGATGGGGTCTTTTCTCCCAGGCATGGGCTTAGTGTTAGCATACCTACTTTATATATAATATAACAAAGAATCAAGGTCGTCATCCGTCCTGCACGATGGTGCTGATGAATCCACATTTCCTAAGACGATATTCATTCTATGGGACATTCTTTCATGAAGTCTCATCCTACCTATGAAGTATTAGAAAATTCGAATCCCGTCGTTTGTATAAGTCAAACCCCCCACTTCCTGGCACCCCCCTGTTTCTGGCACCCACAAAAACGCGAAAATCCACCACAACCCAATGCCCACCCCCAACCTCCTTTTATCACAACATTTTCAATTCGCGTCCAAATGGGCTCATCTTTTGCACATACCTTCTTCTATATCTAATGCCTCAATATACCGAAGATCAGCTTCGTCAGGCTCTCGAGGACATCTCAAACGGCAAGAGTCAAAAGAGAGCCTCATTGGAGTATGGGATACCACGATCAACCCTCCAACTACGTCTCCAAGGTGGTCAGACTAGGAAAGTGGCTTTTGCTGACTGGCAGAGGCTGTCTCCTGACCAGGAGAGTAAGCTGGCACAATGGGTTCGCATTCAGGCTTCGCTGGGCCTCGCACCAACGCACCAACAGGTGAAGGAATTCGCAGAGCGAGTTCTGGCTGCTGCTGGGGATACCAAACCACTGGGAAAAGGCTGGATCTATGCCTTTGTGAGAAGGAACCCTATCATTAAGGTTCAGAGAAGTCGTTCTATCGATTCTAGACGCGTTAATGGGGCATCTACTGAGGTCATTAGGAACTGGTTTAAGTTCCTCGCTATCCCTGAGATCAAGGACATCAAACCAGCCAACAGATATAATATGGATGAGACTGGCATCCTCGAGGGTCAGGGAGCTAATGGGTTAGTGCTGGGTATGGCTGAGACGACGTCTGTTCGCAAGAAACAACCTGGGTCGAGGGCATGGTTCTCTATCATTGAGTGTATCTCAGCCTTGGGTAGGGCACTTCGTCCTCTTATCATTTTCAAGGGGAAGACAGTCCAACAGCAGTGGTTTCCATTACATCTCGTTCCATACGATGGGTGGGAGTTCACAGCAACAGATAATGGCTGGACTACAGACTTAACTGCCATTGAATGGTTAGAGAAGGTGTTCATCCCACAGACTATGCCTGAGGCTGAGGGGGAGGCTCGACTGCTGATTGTGGATGGGCATGGGAGTCATACGACGACAGACTTCATGTGGAATTGCTATATTAACAATATCCATTTACTGTTCTTACCACCACACTCCTCTCATGTCCTCCAGCCTCTTGACCAGTCTGTCTTCAGCCCTGTTAAGTCAGCCTATCGGAAGGAGCTCGGTTACTTGTCTCAATGGAACGACTCTACCATTATAGGTAAAAGGAACTTCCTGGACTGTTACCAGAAGGCTCGACTTGCTGGTCTATCAGTCTCGAACATCAGAAGTGGTTGGAAGTGGACTGGTCTACACCCTGTGGCGATGGTTAAGCCCCTGATGAACCCTATGGTACTACCTGAGCCTCCTGCTAAGCCCACCACACCCAAACCAACTAGTCAGGGCAGAAAGCGATGCCATAATGGTCAACAAACTACCCCTGTTAAGCCATGGGATTCTGCCTCCTCTGCAGTGGTCTGGTCGACACCCAGGAAGCTGGCAGAGCTCAGCGGTCAACTGCACTTATACACCCAACTCGACAATGATACCAGCACTCAACGGCTGCTATTCAGGAAGGTGAAAAAAGGCTTCACAGAGCAGGCCTGGCAACTGGCAGCTGCCCAGCAGCAACTAGCTCACCTGAGGGCTCAATTTACCAACGCTGCAGTGAGGAAGAGGAAGACTGTTCAAATCGATCCCAACACGAAGTTCGCGAACATCAGGGATATCCATCGGGCTCAAATCGAAGCGGGTGAAAAGGAGGTTATCACGGCTGAATCCAGCGACTCTGAATGCCCTAGTGAGGCTGGCAGCTGTATTGTAGTGGGTGTGGTTGAGGATCAATAGTTAATAGTAATGAGGAGGTCGGGTTGTGATCCCATCGTTTTTGTGGTGCCAGAAACAGGGGGGTGCCAGGAAGTGGGGGGTTTGACTTAATATCACCACCTGTAGCACAAGACTACCTTCTAGAATGGGAAAATGTAAAGGAAGAACCCATCATCGATAACCTAAAAGTAAATCATCGAACATCGTACATCTGCTGTGGGAATAGATACATCAAACTAAACAAGAAATCTCAGATATCTTTCTGGTGAAACAAAATATGACGTTGAGTAAGTACTAGGAGAGAAGAATTGAAGCAGTCATTTGGAAGAGGTAACGTGTACATGGAGCCATCTCAACCAAGAGCGGTCATTTCGATAGACGAGGAAGTATGTGGGTCGACTCTCGCTAATGATGAGGCCCATGAGTGTGACGAGGAAGTCCGTCTGTCGCGCTCGAAGCTTGAGAGGGTGGTGCGGTCTTGATATCGCCCTGACCAGCAGGTGTTTGGATCGCTTCGGTTTCCCTCGGCATTTTCAATGACGTCTCTTCATCATCGTGAATGTACTCTCCGATCTGTCTCTCAAAGTCATCGTCATGCAGGTCTTCGAGGCTATCGATGTATTGGTCTTCTCCCCTGACTTGTGCATCGTTATTCTCTTCGGCCCATATCATTCTGCGCCGTCTTTTGGGCTGGGGCATGCCGGGTAAAACATTGTCGCGATATGCTCTTGGGATTTGACCGTCTCCGTTCCCCTCACGAATCTTTCTTCCATCGTACTCTGTACTGTTGAGCTCACGAAACTCGAACGGAGGTGAATTCTTGCGCTGTTGTAGAACTCGCCTCAACAGTGTGAGGTCTGGCAGTCCTCTGTAACTTTGCGTATGTGGCGCGAGGTCGGGATGCTGTCCTGCCGCGTAAAACTCGTCGTTGGTTAGAAGAACCCACCCAGGGTCATCAGGCGTAAGATCGTTCGGCCAGCATTTGTTGTCCCGGAGGCCGTACCACTTCGTGTCTTTTGGGAGACCATCCCAGTCGGTGATCTTGAAGATAGCCCTTGCGGTTTCGATGGAAACCCAGCTGGTTACCGCTGGAAATCATATCAGTCAACAAGCTACACAGAAATAGTTGTGTGGTTGAACCAACTAGTTGTACCGTCCAAGCCTTTAGCAGTCCGACTATTGGCGTTGACGGTCCTGATAAACTTGCTCTGAATGAAAGACGTCACAGTACTGGTGCGAGTAGTCGAAGATTGGGCGGCATTCTTGTTACAAAACCCACGCCACATAGCTCCGGCTTTGCGGTTCTCATCGTATGGGAGGAAACGAATTCGTTGTACCATGCCTTTCTTTTCTGCTTCATTATCTTTGGGCCAAAAGTATCGAGGTGGAAACTCGTCCCTGTCACAGCCAACAGCAATCTCGTTCCCGTACTTATCCCTCTTCGGCAGGCCATTAGCATGCTTCAGAACACGACGGGGAACAAAGCCGTTAGCCCATGGCCATCCCCAGTGCTGGTTTGTAAGAGCCAATGATGCCACAGCCGTCGAACCCCAGACGTCGGTGGCAGAGCCGTCATTGCTAGTCGACTGAGTTGCGCCGCAGGTCCATTCAGTCATGGATCTTGTGTTTCGGTGTATTTCCATGACAGATCTATGTATACATCAGCTTCTGATGGAGCTCGCGAATCCTGGGAGTGAGATTGGGGTTCAAATACTTACGAATAATGATAGCAAGCTTGCGACCATTGCCTTCGGCATTTGATATTGGGGACTCTAGTCTCGTAAAAGCCGATGGGCTTGACGGTTTCCGTCAAATGAACTGTGACTGATTTCCCGCATTTGCGCTCTGAATTTTCGGCATCACCTACAACTCCTACCCGCGAGAGAGGCTTGGCCGCTCGAGCAGCCAACACGCACGCAGTTTCGGATGATATGGTTGAAGATACCAAACCAGTCGACGTCTCATGTACGGGTGAGGCGGTGGATGATTTGCCGAGATACCCCGTCCTTGTCTTTTCTGTCGGGCTATCTGGCTTCTTCATTGGGTCCGGTTTAGACTCCATCCTCTTGCAAGCAGCCTTGTCTTTCTTGTGGCAGCCAGTGCTGACCCCCATAGAGTCAGGCGCGTTGACCAAGGCTCCAAAGAGGTCAAACTTCCAGTCGTGAACTCCACACGCAGGCCCGACCCAGTCACCAAAGAAGGAAGCGGCCTCTAGCCCGTTCTCGGCAAAGGTCTTGGCTCCTTTAACGGCGGCCCTAGCTCCGTTGAGAGCGGCACCTCCAGGGATGAAGCTGATGCCGACTTCGATGATTGACTGGAATGCTTCCAACATAGCTGCACAAATGATCTTATCAAGGATAGCGAGACCTTCAACGACGATGTTGAGAAGTTCCTCGGCAACCTTCAAGTCGCAAAAGCATTTGGCTGGAACCCATTGGTAACCGTCGGTATCCTTTTGTATGAGAGACGCATCAATATGCTTTCCTTGGTACGGGGTACCATCACACTGTTCAGTTTTAGGTGAGCAACCAGATCAACAGGCCCTGGAACACATATGCCAATATAGGCTCTTAATCTCTAAGGAAGAAACTGTGCTTACCCCGTAACTATCTGAACCGGCTTTCTTGCACCACGGTTGGCATGGCGCCAATGACTTGACCCTGTTTTTCTCTGCACTTATGTAGTGAAAACACTGGCCAGTACTTTCGTAAATCGCCAGTAATGCTTTATCGGAATCATCTGGGAAACATGTAACAACACCATAAAAGGTGTTGAGAAGAAAGAGTATGACGAGAAAGCTTTTCATAGTTGGATAGCAGGAGAGATAGGTTGAAGCTGATTTCCTCGATATGAGCGTTGTGTCAAACTTGAATGATAGTCGCAGTATCGCTGACTTTCCGGTTTGATATTTGTATCCAAATCAGTCTACAGCTTGAACACAGATGTGTTTCGGCCCATATCAAATTAGAACTGGGTATCTCGTGTACTCCAACGCATGTTGATACTTGGAAGCCATCACCGCCCGCCAACCCACTTTTGCCCCCATTCTGATCGGGCTAGGGGGCCACTGAGTCGAAAAGGGGGATGCTTGAGGCGTGACTGGTGACACCCATGAGATAGGAGATCGAGTGGGGGTTTAGTGTCAGGAGTGACGGTATCATGGTCCGAAGCTTAACGGTCACATTTTCTTTCCTGGACTGCCTGACTTTTGAACATGAATGTAGGTTATTCTGAACTTACACTACGATGATTGATGCCAAGTCTACTGTGAATTTCTATCAAAATGTAATGGCTCAAAATCATGTACGCTTCTCCAGAGGTGCTTATTACATTCCTCTACTTGCATCTGTCAACTCGTCATACTAAACTGGTCCACGTATTAATGGCAAGGCCAGGACCCCGAACACGTATGTGTATGTTGTCAGTGAACTTTGGAAATCAAGTCATAGTGATGGGCGTGTGATTGCTAAGCTATTTTTGGATTTATGTCGAATGCTGTTGAATAGTTGTGAACGGATAGGCATCTGCTGTGAGCTAGGTATCGGCGCAGATAGACCTGTACCTGTACTAAAACTTGCACACATGTCGCAAATACCAAGCATCATGGGGGCTACAAGTTGGAAAAAAATGACTGGAATTGTTCACCAACGACCATCCGGCCTTGGTTCCCTCTGTTGGGTCTCATATTACCCCTATTTCCTGCTTGCTACTGCTTTCCCAACCTAACAGAAACCCCGAGGTGTGTCCTTGGTGTCGAAGGGGCCAAAAATCACCTTCAATCTCACAAGAAACAGCACTGGTTCCATCAGAGGCTTACATGTACTCCGTAAATATGCCTTTTCGTCGCCAAAAGCGTATCTTTATCGGCCCCCGTTGGCCGGGTGGCAGGCTGGCAGCGTCCAACATATATGTTTGCCAATCTGGCACCAACAGCGGCAACAACTTTGGGGCGAAGGAAATAACACCAACAAGACCTCCTAACAGCTTGGGAACCCCACCTTCCCCGTCTTAGAACGGAAATATGAAATGAGGCTAAGCTCTTTCCCCCTTTTCTCCCTTCATCATTCTCATCAATCTTTGATTCTTCGTTGTCCCCTTCACGTAGCATTTTGATCTTATGACCATCATTCGCTCTTATTTTATCATCGGTATTATTCTATTAAATCTCCTAGCCAGTTATCTTTTCTACATAGTCATGGCTCAATCCTCTTCCAACTCCCCTCAAGAGGGTTACTCTCACGAGGCCACCGTGGCTGCCATCATATCCTACTACGAGCTCCTTGCCCGCGTACACCCTGACAGTGTCTCTTCTCTCGAATACCCTCCCCCAGGCGGATGGCCTCAGATTACACCCGAATCCTTCTCTATCTTGGGCAGGAACGATATCGTCATTGAGCTGATGCGGCACATTCCGTATTTCACAGACGATAGAATAACTTTCATGAAATCAACTACCCCCCGAAACTTCGCAGGCGAATCTTTCTGCAGAAGAACTCATGAGGCAAGCCGCATATATAATGAGGAACCGCGGCCTATCCCTCAGGACAGGATTGGTGCGAACCCTGGCTACGCTCCTGAGGGCGAAGGCGAGCCAATCCCATCCAGCATGTTCACCTTAGCGGTGCTGGCCCAAGAACAAGAAGAGGGTTACGATATTCTTCTTGATACGGAACACAACATCGTCATTGTGGTCAGAGTTGGAGAGGAATTTCCACCCGGGTGGCCACCAGTCCCTCCCGATGCGAATCATATCAAGTGGGATAGAGACGACGAAGACGAGGCGGAAGGAGAGGAAGAAGATGGAAGTGACGGAGATGATAGTGAAGATAGCGAGGAGGATGTCGACCTTTACTTGCTGGGTCATGATTGGAGATATTCGCCGACCTATCGCATTGATACATTCTTCAAGATGTGTCAGGAGCAGTGGAGGGTTATGAACTGGATGCCTAAAATGGAATGGGTTGGCCAGACTCATGAGGAGTACCTTTTCGAAGAATCAGACAGCAACACGGATCGTTGCACTGGCTTAAGGCGCAAAATCATGCGTGAGGCTGGCTGGCCTGGTACGGGTGAACAGATTGGCCTGGGTTGGGACAAGGCGAAGGCGGAGAAGGAGATGGTTGAGCTCATCTGAATGCACAACGGCGGTAGTTCCTACTCTTTTATGGATGACTATTTTCTTCCCCTAGTATCGTTTGCAATTAGTTTCATTTTCTCCAATCTTCTGGCGACATTGATGGTGCTAGGCGGATGGATGACGTCTCGGCTAGCACGCGCTCCAGTGAGGAGGCTCCATGAAGCGCCACATGATTGCAGAAGATTACCTATAAGCCTTATCATAGTCAGCCAAAGTGTTTTTTGCGTCAAGTTTGATAGAGGAACAAGACTGATCTAAGTTGATGATGATGATGATGTATTTAACGTCTGGTAACAAAAGGACGTGCCGGGCGCTATGCCGACATGGTCTATACTAATCTAAACTATATTACAGGCTACCGTCTTCACCTAACGTTCCTGTTCAATGACTCGGGCAAATTTCGGAAAAGAAATTGGTCTCCTCTATCCATTCGCATAGAAGAGAGGCTCCCTTAGCAGAACCTAACAAGAAATCAATGCTTGCTTTGGCCATACGTTGGCGGAGGTAGCGCGGTGTAGCCTTGCGTCCACGCTTGCAGAAGTAGAAATGGACTGGTGTCTTGGGTTTCCCACAGCTGCAGTTGAGCAACGCATCTTGATGAGCGAATCTCTGGTGGTATGCTGCAAAGTCTCCATGATGGGATCTTGCTGCGTATAGCCTTCCTAGTAAGTGCCGAGGGAGGCGGAGTTCGGGCGGCTTGGGGTGAAGAATTATCTCGAGGTCGGCATATTGCCGAGGGCATTGGAAGACTGATCTAAGGGCCATGAGCGGCAGGAATGAGGCCGTAGAGTGGGCTCCGGGCCGCACGTGGCCCGTGCCCGCTCGGAACGGAACCAGTATCCGCAACGGCCGCCCAGGTACCCCCGGGTTTCGTCACGATGAAAGTATCTGTACGTCGCAAGATCTTGGTAGTCTGACAACTATTCCCTCGCTGTTCCGAGATTGGTTTCAGACTGCCTTGAGAATCAATTTTCTCATGCGTTCCTCAAAAACGTGCATGCCTCGCAGCATCATTGTCTCACAGTTACCCACAAATGATCTTGATTATGTAAGTCAGTAAATCACTTAAAGTCCAGTGGGGCTGTCACGTACACAACGCGCCGAGACCGTTGAAAGACGCGTCGCGCCCAGCAGCACCCAGCATCATTCCATTTCGCATACTTACCTTGTCACGGCCACATAAAGAAACTCCATCTCTTCAGCCGCGTATTCAGTCTGATTCCTGCCGGCCGATACCACCAACTTCCAACCCTCATAAAATTCGACATCATCAATTCGATCATTCTGTGCCGATTATCTCCAAGAAGTCTATCAAGAATCCCCAACAAAGATGGCTCTCAAGCGCAAGCGCTCCGCCTCTGAAGTCGTCGCCCTCTTCCCCTCGCCTGCTCGCTCCGAATCCAGCATCGAGTCCTTCGAGTCACCAATCTCTCCAAGTTTCATCTATCCTCGCGCACATGCGACGCCCTCGCACCTCTCGAGTCGCACAATGAAGCGTTTCCGCGACAACAGGCCATCAGAGGACCAGATCCATCGTAAGTCCGGTCCGAGGCGTCGGCCAAGACAAACAGGGAAGCTGACAGCATACCGCAGAACGTACCCTGAACATGCTTTACTCTGCGCAGCAACACAAGCAGCATCCGGCCGACACAGACCACGAGACAAATCAGTCCGAACCCTCACCCGCCCCTGCCGCTCGCAACACCCAAAAATCCCTTCACAGCTTCTGGAATATCAAGTCAGCTGAGCCCAGTTCTTCGGCCTCGGTGCCGTCTGTAGACCAGGCCGTGCTGTATTCAACCAGCTGCGACGACTGTGGCGCTGGTCTCGGCGCCTCGCATGGCGCTGCGGATGAGATGGACATCGACGACGGCTACAACTACAGCTATGCGGTCTGTCACTCTTGTGGCGCGTGCGGCAGGCACATTTGCTCACATTGCTCTGTTACAAACCTTGGCGAGCAGCGGCGGTGCTTGCGGTGTGTTGGGAGCACAGCTGGGGCAGCGCGAAACGGCTCTGGATGGCCGTCGTCGTCTGTGTCTATCTTCTAGGATACCCTAGTCGATTTGCTCTGGGTATTATTCTTTTCGGTGGCGCATTGGGTTATACACATCAACGACATGCCACCCTATCGCATTCTGCCCTGCATGGTTTTGGGGATAGGTGTTTCTGGCTTACGGTATAATGATTCTCTGGAATTGGCGTTGGGTGTTGCATCGTTCAGGAGATACCATAAGTTATCGTGCATCGCAGTTTGAATTCAATTTTCCGTTCCATCAAATGACTAACTCATACAGCGTGGCTGCTTGGAGAGAATCGCTCGTTGATTTGGTCTGAATACCGCAAGATCAGGCCACCTGTATAAGGGCACATTGTTCTTGCAAGCGGCCTTTGTCAATTTACCTATATTTCTCAAGGCATTCACTCAAGCTTACGTTTCAATGCCCTACGAGATACGAGAATAGTTTTAACAAAGACTTCGACCTTCTCACGACGCAGTACCGATCCTCTGACCGGGCATGCAAGAGAATCAACACCGACACGTTTTATAGAGAACGGTATCTAATCAGTTTCCATGTAATTATTCTAGCATGCAAGACATGATTTGGCTTTATTCGGTCATTTATTCCGCCTCAAAACTAACCCATGAGAACACATGTGCAGTGTTTGGCACAACACTGAGGGCGGGCGATTCGAAATTTCGGATTCCTGCGCTTGTCAAGACTCAAGCATGGTGAAAACTCCGTCTTCTCTCCTTTCGTCATCTCTCTAACATGACGTTCTTTTCATCTCATTAGGCACTTTACAAGTTGGAATCTAAGCAGGGAGTCAAAGGACTCAAAGACAAGATCGTCGCATGGAAGAGGCAAGTTTGTAGAGGAGGGGAAAGGTGGTGCTGTGGGCTCATCAGAAATTATGCTTCCAAAAGACGTGAGGCTCAGCCACTCAATGAGTTGCCTTGTGTCTGCCCAAATGCAAACGCCTGTCAGCTTTGGACAGGATAAGAAGGTGTTGAAAGCGAAGCGATCGAATCAAATGCCGAATGTTCAGACGCAACTACCTGCATGGCGCACCACGCTGGACCAATGAACCCAGCACCGCCTCAAGACACCGAGGTTCATAAGGCTCTGGGCCCTGTCCTCCCCCTCCCGTTCAACTTTCTCCTTTCTTCTCTCACAAGATCTTACTGAGCCTGGCAAAGATCCAAACAATCAGTCTTTTCTCAAATTCTCGGCCCCTCGGGCCTCGCGTTTATTCTCGGGGCTCGACTTCTCCGCAATCCTAGGCTTGTGATAGGGAAAAGCGGGATCTTACACTCAGCTCACTCAGCCCTCGCCCGCCTTATCGATATGGTAGAAGCACTAGGCCTAGCTGCCAGCGTCATCGCGGTGGTCGATATGACCGCGAAAGTCGGGAGCGCCACCTTCAAGCTCATGAAACTATGGAACGAGGTCAAGGAAGTACCAGCAATGTTGCTTGAGAAGGCAGAACGAATTAAAGACCTAGAAGACTTCCTCCTCGACGCCGAAGATCACATTCAGAACAGTCCGCTGCCGCAAGCCTTCTGGAATAATACAAATCATCGTTTGCAGCAACACATCAAAAAGGTCCGTCGCGCACTTGATGAGCTTCAATATGTGATAGACAAACTACAAGCCAACTTAACTGCCCGAAAAGACGGCTTCAGAAGTAAGCTGTTGTCAACCAAGGTGGTGTTTCGGAAAGAGGAGTTGAAGGCCTTGGACAGGAAACTTGACGCAGCCCTTCGTCTGTTCGCGTTCGCGCAGAGGCAGTGGCTTATGTGAGTTGCTGTTACCCATGCCCCTATCATAGTTTCAAAATTTCTGACAATAATATAGGGCAATGTTGGCATCTAGAACCTCTCTGAGCATCATAGAGCGGTCTGAAAGAGTCGTTGCTTCGAAAGCTCTGACGCCAGAAAGGAAGACAAAGGGAGTACTTACATCTACCACACCCGCTCTCTTTTACATTTCTGCCCCAGCTTCGATCTTGCCTACCTTTCGATTTGGGTTTGGAAACAATGACGACTTCCAGTTTTCTGTCCAGGCGCCGAGCTGGCTCACTGGATCTGTTTACTCTATGATGGCCCAGAAAAGCTATCAGGGCTGGCAGCTCAACTTAAGAGCTTATGAAGTAGTAAACTACTTTGCCGACGAACTATATGACTGCATCGGAAACGATGACCCCTCTGGAACTCTCCAGGTGCTGTCCGAAAAAGGCATGACTCCCTTCGCAAAAGATAAAAATGGAGAAAACTTGCTCCAGGTGAGAACGTTCCCCCGGACGAGACCGTCAGGATTCGGTAACTAATGTGGGCGACTTTCCTGAAGATCGCTGTCGGAACAAAGTCCCTTAGGGTAATAGACGATTTTCTGAAACGGGGACTTGCATGTTTTGTGCGAGACCCAATGTACAGCAACGATAAAACGTAATAACTCACTCCCTCAAGCTGTAACACCGAGGATATCTTGTTGATAACTTGAGTAATCTACAGTTCTCCCTTTTTACTTCACGAGCTTCGATTGTTCAATCTATTGCCCCACGATTTAGATCCGACTCTAAAAAAGTTGTTTCTAGATAGTTTTCTCGATGATTACTTCGAAGATTCCGAACAAACTTCAATTCTTTGCTATTTTGGGGTCTCCTTCTCCCTATTTCAATTTCTTTTGAAACGCTATAACATCGACGGGTTATCGTTTTCAATTGCTACAAGGCTGTCCCATCTAAGATCAATTGTAACACAATGCAGCTGGGAGCTAGAGGAAGTTTATACCATCATTCCGGAAGCTCGGAACCTTGATGTAGAGCCCGAAATTATTTCATATTCTAGGAGCATCGGGGGACCCGCCCTCTTTCACTCATTCGCCATAGGGATGGCTAACAACTTCATGAGGAGGAGTTGCCACCCAAACCCTGACCAGTGGACTGAAGCAAGACAGTCATGGGGTCAACTACTTCATGATAGTATCAGGTTGGACCGTCCGAGTCTGCACCATGTTGATTGGACTTCAGGCTGGTCAGGCAGAGGATTCTGGAGCTCACCCTTGTTTGCAGTCACCGTATCAACAATTGATGCAAACCCCCGGACTCTAAGTACAGCGAAACAAGTAAGCAAATCACTGGTAGCAACACTTTTGGAGTGGGTTGCCATACTCTCTTCCAGCGACGTGGAGCTTCTGGATTACGGACGTGAGGAGAGTTACATGTACGAACAAGGCTTTACGACTGTCCAGCAACGATGGGCCCCCTGGTCTAGAGGAACTTCTGGTAGAACTCGATTCTCTCTTATTGGCATCACCTATGGTTCCCGTCCGAAGCACTGGAGGATATGGTGGGCATATGAGTACGAAGATTACGCAGGAGAGTTTTGGAACATGGTACAGGACGAGGCACACAAGATGCCTGGTGCCTGGGTTGATGACTCTTGGGATCCAGATGACTATGATCATGAGGAGTGGGATATGTGGGAAGCATGGGAAAAGGAGCAACCCACCCCGCTGATTTGGTCCGAGTATCGCAAGATTCAGCCGCCCATTTGAGTCAGCTCACAATTCGATGATCTAGGCACGCAGCGATTCCCTACTATTTTCATCACTAGTTTTGTTACTTCGAGTATTATGAATTAGGCTTCAAGACATTATTGTGCTAAATGCGTCTGGCAGACAACAAAAACACAATTACGGTCCTGGCTCTAGAACTTCATACGGTGAGTGTCGTAAGACCTAAATTATGGTGCGCCTGTGTATATTGGCCTGCAAAGACTTCACAGATTGCTGAGCGTTTATTGGGTATGAAACGCAATAGTCTCTCATTTCTCACGAGAGCAATGCCAAATTTCTGCACCCTAGACTTCCCCCAGAGGATAAGGTAGGCAATACTAGGCATCCAGGGATCTAAGGGAACAAGCGTAGAGAGATTCACGCCTCGATAGTTGCATTATCTTGCTTAGATGTCGGAGTCGGAGTGCTATGTTTTTAAATCCCGTGTCCGGTATGCAACTTGGGGGGAAATATCCTTACCGGGAGCCCCTAAATCAAGCTACCGAGCTATTTGAGGACAGCGTTTCTCAATTTGCTGGTCAAGACCAGGTTGAGCTCTGTCACCTTTGCATCGTGGCTGTGATTGTTTCTTTTTCCAAACATTTTCTACATTTTCTTGACTTTTTCCTACTTCGCACCAGTCTATTGAGCCCAAATTTGGAGATTTTTGCGTCACGTGCAGCTTGCCGGCCTGACGATCGCACCTTCCTTGCTGGGTACCTCACCTCAGGTACCTTCCTGAGCTAAGGTACTGCCAAATCCCGGAATCGACCTCTCGCCTCTCACCTTTTCTCATTTAACAAGCTCACAACTCCATCCGCTCGCTCACGTCCCTTTCTTCCTTTGTCGATACCCACCGACCTGTGCCGGCTGTCTTTTGTCTAATTGCGCTCATTTACTTGCCCCTGGGTTGAAATCGCAGATCCAGGCCGACGGACTTCTCTAGCTTTGCTATCCCTCTGACAGAAAACATTCACAATGCTCGGCTGGTAAGCTTCGCCAACAAAAGTCCTTGATGTCGCCAAGCATTGCATTGCAAACACTTCATCTCTAGGTATCAGGCAAGACTTGCGGCTCGCCCGCTGCTCACCCAGAGCATCACCACAGCCATCCTCTTCGCGACCGGTGACATCACCGCCCAGCAGCTTGTTGATAAACGCGGCCTCGCGAAGCACGAATGGGCCCGCACAGGCCGCATGGCCCTCTACGGCGGTGGTAAGCTCCACCTCATCTCACCTCACCTGCACTCAGACAACTCACATACGACGACGCCTTCATGGCCGACGTGAGCTCGTGCAAATGAACGAATGTCTTAGACTGACCAATTCTCTCCAGTCATCTTCGGCCCCGTCGCCACAACTTGGTTCAAGTTCCTGCAGAACAATGTCGTCCTCAAGAACAAGAACGCCGAGATGCTCGCCCGCGTTGCCGTCGACCAGGGTGTCTTTGCCCCTGTCATGATCAGCGTCTTCCTCTCCTCCATGGCCACGCTCGAGGGCGGCTCAATCAAGGAGAAGCTTGACAAGAACTACAAGACGGCACTCACGTCCAACTACATGCTCTGGCCGTTCGTCCAGGTGGTCAACTTCAAGTTTGTGCCGCTTCACCACCGCGTGCTATTTGTCAACGTCATCAGCATCGGCTGGAACTCTTATCTTAGCTTCTTGAACAGCCAGTAGAGGATGTTGGGGACTGGGTGGTAAGGTGGGCTTGAGGTGGTTGCCACCATTTGATGGAAGCAGTCTCAAGCATGAGAAGAGGCAACTGAGAGCTTGCTGAGAATTCCAGCTTGGTATAGCAATTCGTGGCTTCAGATTTCGAGCATTAGAAGCAGGATAGACGGGATTAAGTGATCAGCAGATGATCATGAGCAGGGCCAATGGGAACATACTGCACCATTATTCTTATTATATCTGAACAGAAAGAGCTGCCTCAAAGCAATGTGACGATAAGCCTGCCATTATTGTCCGTTAAGGAACCGATAACCCCATCAGTTCATACTGATTCAGGTATTCCATATACCAGTCATATGAGAGAACAAAGTGAGATATATCTCACTTGGATAGTGACAAAGACGTCGCCATAACGTAGTTCAAAGAAGGCACGGGACCCCAGGCTCAGCCCTACCAATGAGCGATGGATGCGGGGAAGGTAAGGAGCCTCAAGTCTCTCAACACCAGAGACGCCGTATTATATATTCATTCATCATTTTGAGTATCCGTACTAGTAATGAGATTATTGACCGGGGCTCATTGCATGACAACCAAGTGGGAACACTTAGCTCATAGCTCCGCGTCTGCTATCTGACATCGCACCACTCGCAGCAATAGATAACTGAGCTACTGCCGTCCCCTCATTCTCCCCACCCTCAACCGGGATCCTTCGGCGACGGAGTCGGCCACTGCAACGTTGCAAGTCAACCGTGCCGAGCGGCTGAAAAGCACCTGAAAGTGCTGGTGCGAAGTGATAAAACTGATCAAAATCTTCTGAGAAGCGAAGTCGGAAACAAATTCCCCAGCTCGAAAGGACTCGATCAAAAACACTCAGACAAAGATGACCGCCTCCAGTCTGCTCGATCGCCTCAACCGCGACGGCTTCGTCGTCATCCCCTCCATCCTCACCGAAACCCAACTCAAAGACCTCCGGGGCGCTAGCCAAAACGCCACAGCGCTCGCCCGAGCCGGAAAATGGCCGAACGTGCGGACGCTGCCGAAGCAGTTCCCGCCGTGGCCGGTCGCCACCCCGGAAGCACCCCCGGACGGCATCTGGGGCGTCCAGGGGATGATGCACCCCGACATGCCCAACAACGGCGCCTTCATCAAGACGTACTTTTCGGATGCTGTGATTGAGCCGACGAAACAGCTGCTGCAGTGCACCGATAACGATCTGGTCATGGAGCTTTTCAACTTGCTCATACGGCCTGATGAGGACTTTGAGCTGCGGTGGCACAGAGATGATATTCCCGCGACTGCTACCGCGGAAGAGGAGCTGGACAGGCTCAATAAACCGGCTTATTCTGCGCAGTGGAACCTGGCTCTTTACGATGATAACAGTCTCATCGTCGTTCCGGGCTCTCATACCAGGGCCAGGACAGACACCGAGCGCAACGCGGATCCTTATGAGAAGGGGATCCCCGAGCAGTTAAATGTGGAGCTCAAGGCGGGCGACATTGTCTTTTACAACAACAATATCCTACACCGCGGCGCATACGTCGCGAACAAGGAACGCATGACGCTGCATGGGAGCGCGGGACATGTCAACGGGAGCACCCTCCGAGCCCGCAATGTCTTGCAACACGGGCTCAAGGGCTGGGTGGATAAGGTCGATTTGGGCGTGTTGGATGAGAAGGAGAGGGCGAGGGCTGAGAACATGCGGAGAATGCTGGTAAAGCTGGGCCAGGAAGCGGGGGAAGTGGGATATTCTCTCGAGGGGTAGTGTGAGATAAGGCAGTTATGGATCTTCTTACCAAAGACAATTGAATGCCTGCGCGAGTTTCCAAGGACAAGAAGTCTTAGGGTGGTTTGTTCTGGACCAGTCGAGCGGTGTGTAACATCTGGGCGGTGAATTGGGCGAGTCTGCCCGGACTCTGCCCGGGTCATGTGTAGTGGGCGCTTAGCTGTGTGTGTTCCCGTGACGGGGCGGACTGAATCAGATAATCCCATCTCGATCATAATTAAGAGGCGCTACCGGCGTTATATCACTCTGAGGACCCGAGCAGCGTCATTTCTCAAAAAAGAATAACAATAAGCCCAACTGACACTTCTTGTACTGAAAGATTGTTTCATCTCAAGTTCCGTCTACCATCTCGAAAGCTCTGGGGAATCAAGTGTCAGTGGTCTGTGCACAATCGGATGCCTAAGTAACAAGGTGTCTGTGGAACCCGTGAGCTTTTCCCGTCCTGCGGCCAAATCCGGGTTTGCCAACCATCAACCGACTCTGTCGGCAACATCTGCGTCAGCCTCAACCACCTCCAAAACCACCCCTCCTCCTCCTCGAACCCGTCCAGATCAAACCCCCAAGGTCTGCACCCGGCGACAATGTTGCCCTCATCGGTGCGGCGCGTGGTCGCTTCGGCGCCGCAGTCCCCCCTCGTCGCCTCCCTCACCACCTCCGCTCCGAGAGCGGCTACGGCCACCATCACCCTTCAGCAGAGACCCGTCGGTGGTCACCAGAGACGATGGTCCTCCTCGAGCCCCTCTAACCCGAATAACAACGGATCCAAGGACATTCCTGCCCAGGGCCAGTCCGTCCATGCCTCGACATCATCGAGCTCCAGCAGCAGCAGCAAGTCCAACGGCGAGAAGCGGAAACGAAAGAGCAAGGACAGCGCCGATAGGGAGGCTGCGCAGAAGCTGCCCAGCGTGCCCAGCACACAACATCTTTCTCAAGAAGGTGTGTAATCATGCGGCATCTGGAATTTGCGGTAGAGATTGCTAACTAAACCACGCGCAGCTCTCGGCTTGTCAACCTTTTTCTCGCTGCACCGGCCGATATCTGTGACCCACAGCATGCCCAAGTCAGTGACGGAAGAAGCCTTCGCCGCCATCTTCAAGCCCCGGAGCAGGGCGAACAAGGTCACCGACGTCATCTCAACACTATCGCGGACGACCGACGACCTCGAGGGCGCCATGGCCAAGATGACCATCGGCCACCAGGAGACGGATGCGTCAGGCGAGCCCGTCCAAAAGATTGACTTCAAGAACCCCGACGGCACCGAGTCGAGCGTCTACGTCCAGCTCAACTCCATGGCCGGCCAGTTCGTCCCCTTCCGCCCTCCCCCGGCCCCCGAGGCCATGGGTGAGACCTCCGACGCCGCAACCCACGCCGCGGCCGCCGAGTCCGCCGTCGAGGACCTCCTCGACGAGACCCCTCACCACCGCGTCTACAAGGCCATGTTCACCATCGAGGAGACGACCGACGCCGACGGCCAGGTCCAGGTCCTCGCTCACAGCCCCAAGATCATGCAGGACGGCGACGCGCCCCGCTCGTTCCTCGAGCGCATGGCCCTGCGCCAGATGAAGTTTGACGAGGCGCAAGGCCACGATACCATGCACGCCCTCAGCGTCAAGCGCCAACGCAAGCTCAAGATGAAGAAGAAGAAGTACAAGAAGTTGATGAAGCGCACGCGCAACCTGCGCCGCAAGCTGGACAGAATCTAAGCTCGGATTGGGGGGTGGTTGTTTGGTTGTATATAAACAAGCAAAGCCCGTCGGTCTCTTATTTTCTCATATCCTTGTTTCTTTCTTTCGGACTGCTTCTCCCGCTCGAGCATATCTGGGAAAGACGCGGGGGTTTTCTCACTCATAATTGGTGTTCTCGGCCGGGGCATCGCTGATGGTATTTCATCTCCTTTTTTGCGTTGTGCACATTTCTCGGGCTTCATATAGAGAAGAGAGGGGACAGCTTTGCATCAGATAGCAATCATCCAACTGTTTGCATCCAGAGCCATTACTCATGACCGTGCCGCGATACTGAGAACGAGGGAGACGCAAGATCCAGCGAAGCTAGGGTTTCAAAAAGAGGTTCAGAAAGGAAGAGAGACAGAGAGAGATCATGTACAACAAAAGAGTGTATTACTAGTTCCACCAAACGGAAATATTTCAAGGCCTTGAGATTCCCCTTGAAAAGTCATCTTACCATATTCTACACTTCACCATACCATTTCCTGAATGATCGCCACCCCCGTTGGATTTTTAAAGATCGTCCGAGGGGGGCGTGGCGTACCGGTGAGCCACGGGTGTGGCCATAACGAAAAAGTCGCTGCACCCCACCAAAGTGCACCCACATTGAAAGTCCACCGCCCGGCAGAAAATGTTCTCTCCGCCAAATTTTTGGGATTTCCTCGACGTCTAAGAGCTGGTTTGCGCCGACCCGACTTCAGCAAGCCCGCTTTCTGCCAATTTTCCGCTTCACTCCCCCTACGTCCCTCCTCCCCTGCGAGCTCTGTTCAAGATGTCGCGCAAGGCAGTGTGAGTTCTAATTGTGATACGAACACTTTCTGTTACTCGAATTGCTAACTTTTCTTCCCTCAATGCAGAGACCAGCGGATCCCGAATCTCATTTCCAATGGGTACCAAGAGAAGAAGCGTAGCTTCTTCGTGGTTGTCGGTGACCACTCCAAGGATGTCATTGTCAACCTCCACTACTTGATGGCTAGAAATATCAAGCAGAACAAGTCCGTTTTGTGGGCGTACAAGACCAAGCTCTTGGGCTTCACGAGGTATGTCGAATCGTGGGGGCGGCAGGGCCACTTACACAGCAGAACCATGGAGAAGCTAACATCCGACCTCTTCCTCGAAAACCAGTCACCGAAAGAAGCGCGAAAACAAGATCAAGAAGGAAATCAAGCACGGCACCCGCGAAGCCAACGAGTCCGACCCCTTCGAGCTCTTCGTGTCCCTCCACAACATCCGCTATGTCTACTACAAGGAGACGGAAAAGGTCCTCGGACAGACCTTTGGCATGTGCATCCTCCAAGACTTTGAGGCCATGACGCCAAACATCCTCGCAAGGACGATCGAGACGGTCGAGGGTGGCGGCCTGGTGGTCCTCCTGCTCAAGGGCATGTCCTCGCTCAAGCAGCTCTACACAATGTCCATGGACATCCACTCGCGCTACCGCACCGAGGCGCACGACGACGTCGTCGCCCGCTTCAACGAGCGCTTCATCCTGTCCCTGGGCGGCTGTGACTCGTGCCTCGTCATCGACGACGAGATGAACGTCCTGCCCATCTCGGGCGGCAAGGGCGTCGTGAAGCTCCCGCCCACCGACAAGGACCTCAACAAGACCGAGGCCGAGCAGGAGCTCGAGGACATGAAGGGGTCGTTGCAAGATACCCAACCAGTCGGCTCCCTGGTTACCCTCGCCAAGACGACCGACCAGGCCAAGGCGCTGCTGACGTTTGTCGACGCCATTGCCGAGAAGACGCTGCGGAGCACCGTGACGCTGACGGCCGCCAGAGGTCGCGGAAAGTCGGCGGCCATGGGTGTCGCTGTTGCGGCTGCGGTTGCGCACGGGTACAGCAATATCTTCATCACCTCGCCGTCTCCGGAGAACTTGAAGACGCTGTTCGAGTTTGTCTTCAAGGGTTTTGATGCGCTTGGGTACGCCGATCACGCCGATTACTCCATTATTCAGTCCACGAACCCCGACTTCAACAAGGCTATTGTCAGAGTCAACATTCACCGGGCGCATCGCCAGACGATCCAGTACATCAGGCCCCAGGATGCCCACGTCCTTGGCCAGGCAGAGTTGGTTGTCATCGATGAGGCCGCTGCCATTCCCCTGCCTTTGGTGCGCAAGCTCATGGGTCCTTACCTGGTCTTCATGGCTTCCACGATCAACGGTTACGAGGGTACCGGTCGCTCGCTGTCGCTGAAGCTGATCAAGCAGCTGAGAGAGCAGTCAAGACCCGGAGCCAAGACTGGTGAAGACACAGAGGTTGCCGACAGGACGACGGGCAGGGCCTCCAAGGACCAGGGCTCGAGCCAGTCCAGCCGGTCCCTTCGCGAGATCACCCTGTCTGAGCCCATCAGATATGCCCAAGGCGACTCGGTCGAGAAGTGGCTGAACAAGCTTCTCTGCCTGGATGCCACCCTCCCCAAGGCCAAGGCCAGCGCCCAGGGATGCCCCGACCCTTCGCAGTGCGAACTGCTCAAGGTCAACAGAGATACCCTCTTCTCCTTCCACCCCATCCCCGAGAAGTTCCTGCAGCAAATGGTCGCCCTCTACGTCGCCAGTCACTACAAGAACTCTCCCGATGATCTTCAGCTTATGAGTGACGCCCCCGCCCACGAGCTCTACGTCCTCATCGCCCCGACATCAGACGGCAAGCTCCCCGAGCCCTTGTGTGTGATCCAGGTCGCGCTAGAAGGAAAGATTAGCAGACAGAGCGTCATCAACCAGTTGAGCAGAGGACAGCGCCCCTCCGGTGACCTGATCCCCTGGCTCGTGAGCCAGCAGTACCAGGACGACGAGTTCGCCTCCCTCTCCGGCGCCCGCGTTGTGAGGATAGCGACGAACCCGGAGTACGTGTCCATGGGATACGGCACCAAGGCCCTGCAGCTCCTGACCGACTTTTACGAGCAAAAGTTCACCAACCTGTCCGAGGACGCCGACCTCGCCATGGAGGAGACCCTGCCCAGAGTTACGGATGCGGAGCTGTCAAATACCTCTTTGCTCGCAGACGATGTCCACATCAGAGATATTAAGAAGCTGCCCCCGCTATTTGCCAGGTTCTCCGAGATCAGGCCCGCCGCCCTGGACTACGTCGGTGTCAGCTACGGCTTGACCCAGCCGCTCCACAAGTTCTGGAAGCGCGCCTCCTTTGCGCCCGTCTACCTGCGGCAGACGGCCAACGATCTGACGGGCGAGCACACGTGCGTCATGATCCGGCCTCTCGAGAACACCGGCGCCGACCGGTCATGGCTTGGTGCCTTCTCGCGAGACTTCCAGCGTCGTTTCCAGTCTCTGCTGTCGTACCAGTTCCGGGAGTTCCAGTCGGTCGTTGCGCTCAGCATCGACGAGTCCGCCAGCATCGGCGCCAAGCTCGACGGCACGGAGCCCACGGCCTTGTCAAAGGTGGAGCTGGACAGGTTCCTGACACCCTTCGACTTGAAGCGTCTCGAGTCGTACGCCAACAACATGCTGGACTACCACGTAATCCTCGATCTTGTGCCCACCCTTGCTGGCCTGTACTTCACCGGCAAGCTCAAGGGCGACATCAAGTTGACTGGTGTCCAGCAGGCCATCCTGCTCGCCATCGGTCTGCAGAGGAAGGACATGGATGTCATCTCTTCTGAGCTGTCTCTGCCGTCATCGCAGCTTTTGGCCATGTTCATCAAAATCCTTCGCAAGATCACAACGCACTTTGGATCCCTGGTCAACGCCGCCGTCGAAGCCGAGTTGCCTAGCGCTACCAAGATTGGTGTCAGCCGGGAGAACGCGTCTGGCGTGCACGACGATGAGGTCGTCGACAAGAGGTTTGCTCCCCTCGAGACGTCTCTCGAGGATGAGCTTGAGGAGGGAGGCGATGAGGCTCTTGCTAAGCTTCGCAGGAAGCAGCGCGAGCTCATCGACTCCCTGCCGCTTGACCAGTAAGACCCCCTTTCTTCGATCCGTAGCTTTAGAGCACTAGACTGACTACAACTACTAGGTATGAGGTTGACGGTGACGCCCCCGCCTGGGCTGGAGCGGAGCAGGCTGTCAAGGACGGCAAGACCGGCGTAGTGAGCGTGAAGGGTAAGTCGAAGCGCAAGGCCGGTCCGACGGCAGCCGAGATTTACGACGAGGCTCTCGGGGAGAAGAAGTCCAAAAAGGCGAAGAAATCCAAGAGGGACAGGGACTAAGTAAAAGACATCGATGGATAAGCCATTTGTTGTAGGGAAGAGGGGGGCAAGAAGGGTGACAGAGGAGGTATAAACAAAAGTGTAAAAGCATCTTTACTTACAGGGTGGAACGGGTATTTGTCCTTACTTGGGCGGCCTCTATGCGGAGTTGGCTCGGCTTTGTTTGTTAACAATTTTAAGAATTTTTGAACATTTCATTTCAGTGAAAGATGGGTGGTGATGTCCCGTCCTCTTCCTTCCGGATGATAGCGTTTGGAGGCCGGGTGACATGGTACCTTGAGATCAGGTGACTGACCGGCTAGCTGTGGCGATCCGACTCTGGTGGGATTTCTGTGATTTCAAAGAGGGAAGGGACGAAGATGATGGAAGACGTAGACGCCTTCCCTTTCTCTATCTTCCTTCCATCTTCAACCTCAAGGTCGCTCCTTCCTCCTTCCTCCGCTTCTGCTTTTTTCTTGGAAAGTACCTTTCCATCTCGACGAACTCGTGACAAGCAACTGCTGTCATCTGACAACATCACCTCGACGATCTTGATTCTTGCCATTCAAGGCTCCGACTGGAAGTCCCTTCCTCCTCTACCACAACCTCGAGACCGCAAATCGCAGTCGTCTTTTTCTTTCCTCGCCATACTATCAATCGACATCACCAAAAGACCAACTCGCGAGTCGCCCATACAATCCCTAGCCACCACAAACCCAGCCCGACAATGTGTACCGAATCCATTGCCCTCTGCGAAAGCTGCGGCCTCCACAGACACATGCACTACCACCGCTGCAGATCCTGGCTCTGGTCCTACCGCCAAATAAAATGGACCTTCACCACCCCTCTGTCCTCGACCCCGAAGCCCAAAAACTGCCCCTTCCTCGACGGCGAGGTCAAGACCGAGATCATACCGGGCCGGTGTCCCAACGCGGCGTGTCCAGGTCATAGGCTCAAAGACGACGTCGACTTGCGAGCGGCCGCCAACGGGATGTTGGACAGGAGAACGGACGGGGAAAAGATTGATGCGCAGAGGGTCAAGATGGGACTTATGAGGAGACCTGGGCCGACGCAGGGGTTCCGGGAGCCGTTGGAGGTTGGGAGACCGCATCAGAATCCGGTGCCGGTTGTGATTACGGATGGGAGGCCTGATGAGGGGTTGAGACTTGTGAAGGGACGGGGAAAGCGGGTGGAGGGGATGGGGATGGCGGAGAAGGAGGGGGAGCATGAGGGGCCTATAGCTGTTTCGTCGCCGGATCCTGCTACGAGGGTGCCTGTGAGGAGGCAGAGGGTGTATAATGGTCCGATGATGAGGCCCCATTGATGAGAACACTCCGCGGGCTCATCCACTTGACGGCGCTGTACTACGAATTACGAGCAACGAGCGACGAGAGACGAATAAAGACCAAACGGACTGAAAAGGGACTGATAATGGGAGAAAGGGTTCATACTACAAGGCCGGTCGAAAGCGTCTCTATTCATCACGATAGTGACCATAAAATTCCCAAGATCATGAGAGTCCTTGAAGTTGTGTGAGATGTTTCATGGTGGTCGTGGTGTCGTGTAAGACGGTCGTCGCCGCACACCAATCGAATTGTCCAATCACAGCCAAGGCCACCGCTAAGAATGTTTCGAACCACTCCGGTTCCTGCATCGCGGCAAACCGGCAAGTCGACTCCGTAAGCCCAGGCCCCCAAACAGCGCGAATCAAAGCCTGTTTCCTTCCCCCTGAACTTTGTATTTTGGAGAAGCCAATCTCGGCCAGTGGGGTTCATTCCCCCTGTCGACGGTCGACCATCCACTGAGAAGCTCGAAGGATACACGTCTGGCCTCCGCGCGACCTGGGGGATCAACCAACTTTTTTATGCTAAATCCTCCCCCCGTTCATCCCATTTGTGGTTCCTTTGTAAATATTGGACCATTTCCCCGTCCTGTCGTTTGGTCTCGTCCTCCTTCCCGGTTGTCAACTCAACACCACACTCTCTGTGCCACTCGTTGAGCCGTTGATTCCATTCGTTTGGACGAGAGTTTGAGATTGTCAGTTGGATCTCTTCGTGTCTTTCTCGACGACGAGATATCACCCTCGTTTCTGGGTTCTGAAGAAACTCCACGCGCTCGAGTGCTGTAACCCACCGGAATCGAACCACTCGCATGTCCCTTCCACGCTCTTGAAGCTCTCGCCAAACCTCAATCCCACTGCGCCATCCCCCAAATCCTCAACATGCACACCTCCAACCTCGCTCCGGCAGCCTTCGCCGCCCTATCCCTCCTCTTCAACCCCGTCGCCGCCATCCCCGCGCCCGTTCCCGCCCCAGAGCCAACGCTCATCGCCCGCGCCGATGTCATCGCTCCCACCGCCGCCTGGATCAGCGTCAACAACAAGGGCGTCCCCACGACCGTCACCCCCGTCCCGACGACAATCTCCGGCACGGCAACCTACGCCTCCGCCGCGGCCAACGCCCTGACGGGCAGCGTCTTCACCCTGACCGACTGGCACCTCGTCAAGGTCACCACCAGCACGGGCACCCCGCCCGTCGCCACGGCCGACAGCAAGAGCGGCGCGGGGGCCTTTGCGCCATGCAGTAATACCAAGGGGGACTTTTCGCCCTTTTGCGATCCGAATAAGGGGAGCACGCTTTATACCGATGGGACGTACTATGGTAAGGCGAACCGACATTCCCTGTACAGGTGATGAACGCAGTATATCAGATACCTGACTGACTCTTCTATAATCTAGTAACTTGGGACCCCACCGTCCTCATCAAAGGCAACAAGACAAACGTCAACGTAAAAATCCAAGGCAAATCGGTAAACGGCACAATAGTAGGCGACATCGTCCTCAACGCCGACACAGACACCACAAACCCCGCATCCTACGGCTACTACGCCTGGACAGTCTCCTCAAGCCTCATCCCCTCAGGCCAAGACAACGCCACAATCGAGCTCCTCATGTCCTACACCATCGACGGCACCGCCCAAACAGCCATCACGGGTCCGCAGGTCCTCGTCGCCAAGCGGCCGACGTGGCACCCCGAGGCCGCGAAAATGCCCAAGGGCGCGGAGCTGTATATCGCCCTCCCCACGGTGTTTGGATTCATCATCATTTGTGTCATTGGCGGGTGTATCTGGAACCGGAGGACGCGCAAGATTGGGCTGGGAAATATCATGAGCCGGTCGAGGCACGGGTACGGGGTCGGTAAGTCGCGGGCGCAGAGGCTGGGGGCCAAGGTGAGGCAGAGCGTGTTCCATGGCGGGCGCAAGGATCGCGGGATTCAGTTGAGGCAGAGGGAGATTAGCCCCGATGGGTATGTGTACCGCGACGAGCCGATGCCGAACCAGCAGCAGCAGCATACCGGTGCTGGACTCAATGTCAACAGCGGTGGCTACGGGCATTCTCGGAGGGATAGCGATGCGCTTGGGAGTCTTGCGGGGAGCCCGGTTTCGGCTACGTTCCCGGATCATGGGGCTCAGGGTGGTAATGCTTTCCGGGAGGAGATGAGGAGACAGGAGAGGGAGAGGTATTGAGAGGGGTCGTAGACTCCTGAGGCTTGCCATTGGCCTATGTTGTCTAGAGGAAGCCGTGGTGTTTTGGTGAAGCCAGAGGGGCAAGTAGGCGAAGGCGATGATGGAAATCATGAGAATAAGTGTCACGATATAGACGACGCCAGTTTCAGGGATGAGTTGATTGGAGCTCATTTTCACCGTAATATGTGACAATAATGAAACTCATGAAGAACTCAAGATGACTCGCACTAGTGAGCTTGTGATGGATATTACGAGATGTTGTATTTGCTGCTTAGAAAGTGCAGTCTGACTATTTTCAGGGGCAAACGGAGGGTTCAAACGCCAGGCATGGTAGGATCGCTCCTCCATATCTAGCAATCTTGCAACATTTAAGGTCTCCTCTATCCAGAGCATAAGGCTGGGAAGTGATTCCAGGCACAGTTCAAGAGCCTAATGAGCGTCCAACTGACAGGCACGATAGACTCGCTCCTTCACATCTAGCACTCTCGCGACAAAGATCTCCTCTATCAAGGGTATAAAGCGGACATTTAAGTCTCCAGCTGCTCCTTGGCCTCAATCCAGTGTTGGTGGCAGCATCATGCCAGCAACGGCGCAGACGACAAGGACTCTGAGAATGCGCACAGCTTGTCGCTACTCTCTACGTTGTCGCTGCCCCTTGTGCCATATCTCGCATACGCCGTACGAATTATGTTAAAGATAGTGGCCCCTACGGGAACCCGTCGTTCTCCCGCACATTGTCAGTGACGAATACGGCAGAAACAAGTACGATAGCAACCAGGACTGCAGTAACAAATACGGCAACAACGGATACAGCAGCAATGGCAGTACCTTGGCATCCAGGGATTTACCAAATCCTCATCGACGTGCTACTGTTGATTTGCTTTGTTTAGAAGCATGGTTACCCTTATTTATAAGGCGGACTATAACAAAGATAGCAGCAACAAGTATGGCAATAGCAAATGTAGCAGCAGCGGCAGTATCTTGATATCTAGGGATTTGGGTTATCAGATCCTCATCGACATGCTACTATTAGTTTGCTTATTTTAGAGGCATAACTTTGCCATAGGGTACCCCTATCTATGAGGCGGGCCGTCTTCTATTCTCATGCATATTATTGGTGATAAAAGTAGTAACGTAACTAGTAAATGGAAATAAGTATATTACTAAAGATGAGTACGGTAGTAACGGTAGTATCTTCGCATTCAGGGACTTGAGTTGTGGACTCCTCTCCAAAAAGACTCCTGTTGGTTTGTTTGATTCATAAGCATGATTATTCAAGTTCCTACGTGACTTAGAAGGCAGGCCGTCTTTCGTTATCATGTACATTGTCAGTGATGTATGGGGCAGCAATGGGAAATGATCATAGTGATAGTGACGAAGACGGTAACAAAGGTAGTATCTTAGCATTCAGGGATCTAGATTATCAACTCTTCTCTAATAAGGATACTGTTAGTTTACTTGGTTCAGAAGCATGGGTGTTCCTATGCATGAGGTTGGCCGTCTTCCTTCTCTCCTGCTGTTGCCGCGTCCTCTTTTGGGACTTGATTGGGTTGGGATTTGCGACTTGACTTGGACGTGGTATCATATGGCAGCAATGAGGAACGATTAACGCCTTGGCTTATAGGATTTGGGTCGTGAAGTCCCAACCCAATGGCCGGCTCCATGTTGGTATGCTTGGATCAGAAACATGGGCATACCGGTTTATGAGGATGGTCCTCTGACTTCTCTACTATTGTTGCTGCGTTTTCTTGTGGGACTAGAGGGAGATGGGTTTACCACTTTACTCAGACGTGAGATTGATACGTTTACTTGTATATAATATGGTACTTGAGCTAGAAAATATCCCACGATCAAGTGACAAGGGCCGCATCCCCGGTATACTTCCGTGACACGGGCATTCCCTCTAAGAACTGGGCTGATTTGGGTTAGCAGGATGAGTGCGCATCTTTGGAATGCACAAGCTAGAGTAGATCCAAATGATTCAGTGACAATCGTCATATCTGCTTCAGTACCTGTATCGGAGATGAACCTTGGGTGAAGGTACGAGAGAGACGGTTTGGACCTCCGAATCGACGAACGGAGTTCATCATGTTAGCTCCAGTGTGGCAGTACTCTGAAGCCTTTGGGGGCTTCAGAAACATAGGGAAGAGGCAATCTACAAGCACCCACGAAGCCAATGCTCGGATCAGAAAGATAACTAGGTAACAATGAGTCCGTGTGATGAGGACGGGAGAGTCCACCAGCTGAATAAGCAGGCTCCAGGGCAAATAGGTGCCCAAGCATTGACTCATTCTTTTGATGGCGTGCGCACACATGGATTATTGAGATATCGCCGACCAAGACGGCCTTGGCTCAGTTCTAGACCAATACCTTACCGGGCGGAAGCTTCATTGAAGTCAATAATTCCAAATAGACACTGATGCGATTGATAAGATTCCCAGCAGCGATGAGAACCCTTGTGGATTATAACTTCCCGACACCGGTGCCCGGCCCACAATTCACGAAAAGAGATACATAGGTACACGGCACACCTTGCTGCAGATTTGTGGCTCGGAGCCGAGTTGCGTCACTCGGAAGAGCCTCGGCAAGTGGGGTGGGCGTCTGGCTACCGACGGAACGGGGACTCGGCGACTCGGTGCTTAGGTAATCTACACAGTCGCGACGGAGAACGGCACTCCGATCACGCATCCAGACCACATACGGTTTGGCTTGGCGGGCTTTTCGTGACACCCCACTGACAGACGCTATCAAATGCACCCTAAACGTGCGGCAGGCCCGATTAAAAATTTCTGGATTTTTGGAATCCACCACCACCGAGAAGGCAAGGCCCAGCGCAACGCATCACCGTCCCAGATCCCGGCCACCACCATTAGAAATCATAACTTGTACCACTGCTACCACCGCTACTACTGCTGCTGCAGAATCTCTGGCCCTGTACCACTATTTGTACTACCACTTCCATCCCGGGTCTGCCGTCACGGTAGCGGTCCACGAGTTTCCAAGCCTTGATTGGAAGCAAAGCCCGTCGCCGTCCTGCCCCCTTCCATTCGTTTTGCCCCTCCTCCTCTCACACGCCCCCCTGTGGTACCCTGACCCCCCCCCCTCCTCCTCCCTCTTGCTGTACATATATCTCTCTTTTTCTGATACCCCGCCATTTTTGGAGAGGATAGTGCGTGTTCCTGAACGCGCATATCACCGCCAAACTGTTCTCTTCAACCTTTAGACGAACAATTCTTCGCTCAAGCGCCACTGGTCTGTCCTTTGCCGCAGCTACCACATCACTCAAGAAGAACTCTACGAACCCTACCGAATTAAAGTCGAGTGCCCGCAACATGCACAGCAAGGTTGTCAGTACGTCACAACTCTCCGTTCCAGCGTTGCCCCTCCTGCAGACAAGCAGAGACAAACTTGCCTCTCGATATGGTCACGCCGTGGTGGCTTAAACTCTTGCAATGCGCCTGTGCTAACCTCGTATCACAGTCATTGGCTCTGGGCCTGCTGCCCACACCGCCGCCGTCTACCTGGCGCGCGCTGAGCTGAAGCGTAAGCATCCCCTCACCACTCCCCTATCTTCGCACAATCCTCGGAACATCCACTGACGATACTCCCCTGCTCTAGCCGTCCTGTACGAGGGCTTCATGGCCAACGGCATCGCCGCTGGCGGTCAGCTCACCACCACCACCGACGTCGAGAACTTCCCCGGCTTCCCCAAGGGCATCATGGGCGGCGAGCTCATGGAGAACATGAAGGCCCAGTCCGAGCGCTTCGGCACCCAAATCGTCACCGACACCGTTTCCAAGCTCGACCTCTCCTCCCGCCCCTTCAAATACTCGACCGAGTTCGAACCCGAAGAGACCCACACCGCCGACGCCGTCATCCTCGCCACGGGTGCCTCCGCCAAGCGCCTCAACCTCCCCGGCGAGGAGAAGTACTGGCAAAACGGCGTCTCCGCCTGCGCCGTCTGCGACGGAGCCGTCCCCATCTTCCGCAACAAGCACCTCGTCGTCATCGGCGGTGGTGACTCGGCCGCCGAGGAGGCCCTCTACCTCACAAAGTACGGCTCCCACGTCACCGTCCTCGTCCGCCGCGACATCCTTCGCGCCTCAAAGGTCATGGCCAACCGCCTGCTGGCCAACCCCAAGGTGACGGTGCGGTGGAACTCGGCCGGCAAGGAGATCAAGGGCGGCGAGGACGGCCTGATGAGCCACCTCGTTGTCAAGGACACCGTCACGGGCGCTGAGGAGACGCTCGAGGCCAACGGTCTCTTCTACGCCATTGGCCACGAGCCCGCGACGACGCTTGTCAAGGGACAGCTCGAGACCGACGACGAGGGCTACGTCGTCACCAAGCCCGGCACGCCCCTGACCAACATTGAGGGTGTCTTCGCCGCCGGTGACGTTCAGGACAAGAGATACAGACAGGCCATCACCAGTGCTGGAACCGGCTGCATGGCTGCCATGGACGCCGAGAAGTACATTGCCGAGCTCGAGGACGGCAACCCCAAGGAGAACTGACTAGATCATCACCTCTAAACTTAACAAGTCGTGAGTGGCTATTGCGAGCCGCATAATGATATAGAAGAGCCTCTAGACTAGATATGCGGCAAAAAGCAAGAAAAATAGACTTTTGAATTCAAGCGTACAAAATCCAAAGACCGAAACAAGAAGGGTGGTATTTTCCCATCGCCTCGGAGTCAGATCCGAGTCGACCGAAGCAGATCTCGGAGATATATGCCCCTGACCGCGTCCGTCGGTTCCCTACTTATGGCCGGGCTTTCCCGGATCTGCAGGTCCTGCGGTTACCACTGCTTTTATGCCTTTCCTTGATAGTTGTTAGACCACCCAAGCTAAGACGTCAGCGGGAGGCAACGTTATTATCTAAAGAGCCGCTGTTTCCCTCATCAAAATTCGAACAAGGCGACATGCCGTGTCGTGTCGTGTCTTCCCAACTTTTGTAAAGCTCCTGAGCTCAGGTACCCCCGTCCTCTGTCCTAACTTGAGTACAAGGTTTCTTCGCTGCAGAATCAAGTCATCCCCTCCACACCTCGGAATCACTCTCATCCAAAGAGTCTGCTCGTGCAGAGAGCCAGAGTGCCTCCCACCCCCACATGAAGCTTAAAATACCAACAACCGGCCTACCACTACCTAATGCCCCAGAAGGGCCAACGCCCAAAGTTGCAGCAGCTGTTGCCAGCGCATGCGTGTCGCCTCGCTCGACCCACGCTTGAACGGCTCGAACGCTTGACGCCTTGCCCGAAGCATCCCTTTTCATCCACTCGTTGGCCTTTTTTTGCCGCATCGTCCGTTCCCCATCCAAACTTGTCAATGGACCGACTCGTAAGGCACGGGAATTAGGGAGAGTAATAAAAAGTCTCACTATGGGTTCTTTCCCGTGGGGCGGGGTAAGTGAAGTAGCGCAGCGTTTCAAACCACGCATCGCCCATGATCAGCCGATTATGTACCTTAGTCTGTATCCCGTACCATGTGCCTTGAACTCGAGAGCGAGAGTTTTTCTCTTATACTTAAGTTCGCCGCCTTCGCCTTCCTTTCCCCATCTCCACTCTGGGTCGAAAACGAAGAACAAAAATCTTCGTCTTTTGAATGAGCCCATCTCCAACTCAAAAAGCATTCGGAAAATTGAGTAACAGAACCCACCGCCCACTCATCTCCCTAGATCGACAACATGCCAAGCAGCAAGGGGTACTCATACAAGAACTCTGGATCCAACAGCCAGGTAATTGAAAACTTAGCCCATGTGAGGTTATCGTGGAGCAGCAATGGTACTCACTGCGGGGAAACACACAGGGTAACTACTCCTGTGCTCGCGATTACGGCAGCAGCAGCAGCACTTCGAACCCGAACTCATACCAGTATCCCAGCACGTGAGTCTCAATCTTTGTTTACATTTCATTCTCATTCAGTCTCCAATCCAGAGCTGGAGTGTACGTGTGCGCGGGACATGAGAGAGGCCAAGCCAAGACTGATGGAACATTGCGACAATGGATAGAAGCGGCTCAATTCACTACTCGACTCCAAAGAGCGAGAGGTATCAAAACGACGGCAACGGCGGTTCACCATACACCTCGGCTAGCGGATACCGAACATGCTCCGGGTACGGCAAAAAGTAAGCTTTGAGTTGGTTTGACTCCGCATATGCGTGGCTTGTGACTGACTTGGAGCAAGTGTTGGAATGAAATAACGACTGGATCTTGTAAAGCGTGACGACGGAGCGATTATGTGGTTGCACTCAAATTTGGGATGCCGGGCTTTTCTTCTTTACCTCTAATGGGATGGACACTATTTTGTTAGGTTTTTACGCGCAATTGGGATACCTGTAGTAGGAACGCGAATAGCATATGAACTTTTGGTTTCGGTTCGGAGTAGTAGGAATCGACAAGACGTGAGTTCACAAGTGAGGAGGTGACTGACAATGTCATTTGCTTTTTCAATGCAAGCTGATCCCTGAAACGTGGGGGGGACAGCTGTGTGAGTGAGGGGTCCTCTCGGTCTCATCCCACCTGACTGCCGCTCACATCAACTCACGTGCAGTTGCCAACACGCTTGAGCGAAGTGACAGTCTACCTACTTATGTGTGTTACAAGCCAGAGGCTGTTCCTGAGTTTCCATGTTCGACGAGCTTTACCCTTTTTGAATGCAAACAACAGGCACTTCTAGCAACTGAGATATTTACCTTCTTGGTCTGAGGTCCACCAGATGTTGATAGAAACCAGGATGATCCTAGAGTAAGTCACGACAGCGGCAGCTTGCTTGGCAGCGGGGAAGCAATAAACGCCTTATCTCGTCGAAAAAGCAAAATAGCAGCACCATGCTGCACATCTCCGCTGCTCTCTGCCACAGCAAACTTGATTGTGATGCTTTGTGCATTCCAGGGGTAACGAGGGGGGAAGGGGGAAGGGGGAAGGGGGAAGGGGATGATGCAATCACGATATCCGGACGCAGACTCCAGGGTCCCCATCTGATTTGACTTTCGCTTGGCCTTGGAGCTTTGACGCGCCCCGCGGGAAGGAACATGAGAGCTTCCTCCAATTACCAGCCACCCAGCCCAGCTGAGCGAGGTAAGAGAAGGGAGGCAGGTAGCTTTCGGATTGTCACTGCCCCCGCCAGTAATCAATTGGTCATGCGGGGTGGGCAGGGGAAGGAGAGCATCGATAGACCGTGCCTGGTAAAACACAAAGTGTTTTTTTGCCTGGGTATTTAATCTCCCTTCACCTCCCGTTCTCTCCACAGTCAACTCTTCTTCAGACACACCCCATACACAACGCCCATCCCGCCCAGCCACCTTTCGCACCATAATCGTCAAGCACACACAGTCAAGATGAGCGGACAAGGTTACGAGTACAAGAGCTCCGGCACCAACAGCGAGGTAATCCCCAGCCCCTCTCTCCAAAGCCACATAACTCCAAGCCGAAATGGCATGGCTGACGCACCGACTGGCAAACGCAGGGCAATCACTACTGCGCCCGTGACTACGGTAGCAGCGCTTCCAACAACAACTCCTACCACTACTCCAACACGTGAGTTCACCTCCTCATCTTCAGATGCCTGCTGCTCGAAGGGCTGCTTTACCACTCCTCGATTTTCTAGGCGGATTGATCGTCTCATCCCCTAGAGGTTTCATTGAACAGAAGCTGATCAGATTATCAAAAGCGACGGATCCTACTACTACTCCAACCCCAACGGCAGCACCTACCACAACGATGGCAACGGCGGTTCTACCTACACCTCTTCCAGCGGCGACAGAACCTCGTCTGGCTATGGCGGTGGAAGCTCCGGCAGCTCTGGCAAGAAGTGAGCTGCAGGCGCTTCAACAGCTTCCCCAGTGGTACATGAGGATTCGTCATATGACCACGGTGACACTGAGACATTGAGAAGACTCGGTTTATAGCAATCAAATCATGAATCTTTACGAATCGATGTACTGACACGACGTTGGGCTTTTGCCCGTCCTGATTTGAGCGACGTGACATGACGATAATTGCTGAAACATGGAGAGACAGAGAGTGTATATGTGAGTGACGCAAAGACACCGTCTCCGCGGAGCTTAGTCCGAGACCTCTTCCTACGCAAAACTTGGGACCTCAGTCCTCGACAGATATCCCATTTCAGGATGTGTGGAGATGATTAGACAAGGTGACCAAATTAATTAGCGGCAAACTATCGATATTATGTCTCTTGAGAGACTCGTCTACAAACACGAAATTTCTCCAGTTCCAAAGTCTCGCCCAAACGCTCAAATCGACATGCATCCAACTCCTACGTCGTCTACAGCACAGTAGTAAGAACACCACTAACAAATTCCCCGGCGCGATCCTGCGTATCTACCTTGCCAGTATTATTCTTCAAGTAACAAGACCCGCCCAGCGTCTTAAGCATAACCACCGAGCGGCAATAAACCCCCCCTTCCTTGACATATCCGCTGGCAAGGTTTGCCTCATACTTTTTATTATGCGCCGCGCAGAGAGTCATGCACTCTTCAAACGTCGAGACATACACCTGCAGAATATCGTAGAGATCTGGGTTGACCGCGCCCGTCTTCTGACGGAATGTCTGCGCCCGAAGATCGGAGCCGATTTGTATCTCGTTGCCAGCGCCGTCGGTGGGCGTGAAGTCTGGCAGCTTGCCGCTGGGGCAGCCGCCGTCCGTCGGGGCGGAGCGTAGGCCGGTTGGGATGGAGCGGGTGGTGGATGAGGTTGCTGAGGCTGTTGAAGATGGGTCTCTGTTGGGCGACGGATTCAGTCTCCTTGCTCTCATCTTTCCTGTTAATGTTGAGGGGCATATGAACTTACACCGACACCGCGGAACCATCAGCCTTTTGCACTGCCAAGCCTCCGGCTACACCGCCGGCGATCCCCCCAGTAAGGATCATCACAAGCGCAATCACCAAGCCCCAAAACACAGGGACCGTCAGACCGAGGACGCGCCGTCGCTCTGCTGGCGGTGCGTCTGCCGCCACGGCGGAAGCATACATCGGGTGGTAGGCCTGCGTCATTGTTGACCGCGTTGACTTTCCCGGCGGGCTCTGGAACTCGGAAGGGTCGTACGGGTTCGGCGTTGTGGAGTACCGCCTCGGTACCGCCTCGAGACCCGGCTGGTCTGCTGGGGCAGCCGCCGTTGCCTCCGTGTGGAGACGATGCTGGATCTGATCGGCCATCCTGGATACTTTGCGGTTTTGTCTTGGTCTTTCGCTCCGGTGACCAAGTCGCAAAGAGTCAGAAAATGAGACGAGACAGATCGCATACGCTCGATGATCACAGAGTAAACAGAAGGAAGGGCAAGAAAAACAGATGAAACGATGAAATCAGGCTGCCAGCCAAGAAAACGCCATTAGACCCCGATTGTGAATCAAAGCAGGCTGTAGCAACCGAGCTTACCTGCGGGCGCGCCGCATGGGGGTTCATTATCTTCCCATGATGCCTTATTGAGTTGAGAATCCATTGAGCCAATGGGCTTATCTTGGGTCTTTGTGAGACGCGGGGCTGGCCTCTCTCTATTGCGCTCCCTGCCTTGCGAGAAGCATCTGCTGGCTCACGGCGCAAACGCGACCCCAGTGACGACACGCTCCATCCATGCAATATAGCATCAGCCTTAGAGCGCGAACAGTGAAGGATGAGGGAAAGAGAGAAGGGGGGCCAAGCGTATGATGAACGCTCCAAGTGCTAGCCATCGCGACGGCGGGAATAACCTACGGATAATGATGGACTCGTTTTCGAAACGGCGCCCGATGCGATGGTGATAAGGACGGGTGGGCGGTGGTTGGTTCAAGGTTGGCCTTTTGTGTCGTAGCCGTCGAGGCGCCTGCTTGTGCTTTGCCGCGTTGGCGCGTCAATCGAAATAACTTGTGTCTAGCCTACTTCTGAGCTGGTTGGCAAATGCAGCGGTCTCGAAGCCTGGTTGACATCGACCGGAGGGAGTTGGCAACGTACAATACTCGTCGTCATGAGTCTGAACAAGGTCACGTTGAGAGAGTTTCCATCCGGCGGACTTTCTCAGATGTCAAGATTCTGCGAGGCTTGATGGCGTGATGGAACAAACCCTGAGCCCTGAGCGTTGTTGAGCTGGGAGTATGATAGGTAGCCTGTCTGCAATGCCAGCAGGATTTAACCTCAAGATCTTGAAGAGACTTACAGATTCATCGATTTCATAGATCTAGCTAGATAAACTTTCACTTACAGAGTCCGCGGAACCCATCTCTCCTCATTCACATCACCGACAGTCTCTCCCGCCATCATCAAGAAAGCTCGTGTCTCCTATCGTGATTACTAGACAGCTCATTCGGTACCGGCTGTCCGTGAATCTCAACCGGCACATACGCCGTCCGCTCCGACTTGGCCCACGGCGACGACGGGCCCGTCCCGGAAGAATCCACCTGGCTCGAAAGCGCCGCCCTCGTCTTCCTCTTCTCGCGCAATAACATGACGGTCAGCGCCACGATCGCCAGCGCCAGCGGGGCGCCGATGCCCACCCCGATCCCCGCCGCTGCTCCCGTAGAGATCCCGCTGCTGATACTAGGCTCTGCCGCCGTCGCGGAACACGTTGCGGCGGCGCTCGCGGTCCCGGTACCGTGTCCTACTGTCGCTGTCGCGACCGCCGCCGTCTCCGCGAGGCCGCCGATGTCCGATTTGAGGTACTCGTTGAGCAGCATCTTGCCCGCGGGGACGCCAAAAGTGAAGTTGGCGCAGTTGCCAGAGGTCTGGCATGCAACCTTTTTGTCACCGCATAGCGCGACACCACACTGACGGCCAGGAACTGTCACATAGGTCAGTCCACATCGACCCAAGACACAAATGGAGGACACTCTCGTTTCCCCCTTCTCATGAAATGCCTCACCTCCACCAATCATCTCCTCCTTGTCGCAATACTTTGGACACCCACTCTGCGTCCAGTTTTGATCCGTACACGCGCCACGGTAGAAGCTCAGCTCCGTTTGCGAGAAGCAGAGGCCGTTGCTCATGCAGTAGTGGTTCTGGGGGCAGCACGCCGCGACCTCGGTGCCGCCCGCCACGGGACAGGCTGCCGCCTGCGTCGCCTCGACGCCGTTGGGCCAGTAACACGTCTGGCCCGCCACCGCCGTGACTAACGGGAGTGCTGCGAGGAGCCGCCAGTGTAGCAGCGGCAGATGCATTGTTTGGATGGGCTGCCCAAGAGTTTGGCAGAGGATGGGAGTGCTTCGGGACGACGGGAAGAGACGTAAGAAAAGGTCTTGTTCTGATGCGGGACGGAATACCGCGATCAATACTTGTACTCCATACGGATACAGGCACAATGGCTGCTTGCTGGCCTTGTACGCCTAAACTGGGCGTTCAAAAGTCACCATTGAACTAGAATTCGAGAGACATGCAGCGCTTGACGTTGACTTTGGGGGTGGAGGGATTCGGATCCCTGGCCAGCCATAGATGGTATGGTCAAATCACGCCGCACCAGAGCTTGGCTAGACGGGTTTCCAAACGCGTTGGCTGCGCCTCCTGGAAATGACCGCAACACTATAATCTTAAAGCCCAACTGTCATTGACTCACTCCTATGGTGTAATTATGGTCTGCTTAGCAGAGCAGTGCCATATGGATGGCCCGCTGCAAACACCTGCAGGTCCCTCTCCACCAGCTCCACGGATACAAGGGGTTAATCCTGTTGCCTTGCCGGGGGCGGTTGCGATCGTCATCGATCCGTTCATTACTTTAAGAAGACACGGCTTCACAGGGGTCATATTTTACGAAACGCAAATTGGGAATAGCTTAAGAAAAAGCATAGAGATAAGCTTGTTGAAAGTTGAAACGCACAGATACTCATTTCGCTGTCGTAACGAATGGACTCGTTATCATCAACCCTCTCCTCAACCTCGTCGCCATGACTATCACGCAGTTCTCACTCCCTTCACAGATTTCCATTGCATGAAACAAGCCGCAATGACCGAAATACCAGCCAACACAATCGCAGCAGTGAACACCACGCGAAGAGCATCATTATAAACAGAAACAATCACCGGGAGCGCCTCAACCGGCACAACCGTCCGGAACACCGTCACCCCGGCCCCGAGCACCGCCCGGATATCCACCCCGGGCACCGCATCCTCCGCCGAAGCCCGCAGCAGGTGATTCTGGAACAGCGCGTTCCCGACAGAGACGAAGATGGCGCCGCCCAGCGCCTGCGACGCCACGACCGCCGCGGTCCCGACGGGCACCTCGTCCGGCGGCAGGACGGCTTGCACGGCGGTAAACCCCTGCTGGATAGCCATCCCGAAGCCCGCCGCGACGAGAATCTCGAACCCGATCCACTGAGGCGTCGGCGTGTCGGGCGATAGCATCATGAGTTTTCTGCACCCGACTGTCGCGAGCATGCCTCCGATTATGGCTGGGGCTGGATAGTGGCCCACGACGGAGACGAAGATGCCCGCGAGGAGGGAGAAGAGGGCTAGCGCGGCGACGTAGGGGATCATGTCCACGCCGGACGATATGGCGCTCTCACCGCGGACGGCCTGGAACCAGATTGGTAGGAAGTAGATGTGGATGAGGAGCGCTCCGTACGTGGCGAAGGCCGCGACGCAGGAAGCGGCTACGGTTCGCTGCGTGATGATGGCTGGTGGGAATAGTGCGCCGTCCTGCTTCCACCACTGCCATGCCGCGAAGACGACGGCTGTCGCGCCGGCGCCTGAGAAGAGACCAGTGATCTTTGTGCTTGACAAGGCCTCGCCTTGGGCGGTGTATTGGAGGCCTAGGAAGAGCATTACGCAGGCTCCGAGGAGGAGCACGTTGCCTATCAGGTCAAGGTCCAGGATTCTGTTGACGAAGGTTTGTTTGTGTTGCGTTTGCCGCTGAGGGTGGAAAAATAAGAGAAAGACGACGAGGGTGAAGCCTGTGATAGGGAGGTTGATGTAGAAACACCATCGCCAAGTCTGGTGACAGGGTCAGTCATGATTCTGTAGACATTTAGAACCGCAGGATTACTCACGACAAGGTCAGTGAAGACACCTCCGAGCAGAGGACTAACGGTGGCGCCAAGGCCGAAACTGTCGTTGTGTTAGCGTCCACACGTCTTGAACTTCTCTCTGTCTTTGGATAGGGATTTCTTACATCACTCCGATGATGGCCGTGTAAACCGGACGCACCCGCCGGGGAACTGCCGTCGCCACGATAACAAAGCTCCCAGTGAGAATACCAGCGCTTCCAAAGCCAGCTACGGCACGACCCACGATGAGCGCGAGAGAGTCGGGGGCAAGGCCGCAGATGAGCGAGCCTGCTAGGAACATGAACGTGGCAAAGACGTATGCCCATTTCATGGAAAAGAGCATAAAGACCCTGCCAAAGACAGGCTGGAAGGCGCAGATCGTGAAGAGGTGAGCTGAGCCGTACCAGCCAATGTCTGCTGTAGATTGAAATTCTGATGTGATGTGCGGGATCGCCTGTTGCTCGTCAGTTATGGGACTGATCAATAAACGAGATGATTGCTCACGGTTGTAAGGAGAGTTCGATCGGCCGAGATGGAAAAGACCGCGAGACAGATCCCAGCCACTAGAACGGTGAGCCGCCATCCTTCAACCCACTGCTCCCCTTCAACCTCCACATTCGATGACGATGATACGGTGCCGTGCTTCTCCGCCCTCGTCATATGGATATGCCTCACTTGGTGCAAGTGGTCCTCGCCATTAACCTCGTCAATATCCGGCTCAAATGGCTTCGTGAAGCGACTGATCCGGGCGTCGGCCTTGCCGGGGTGTCTTTGCTCCGTGACGGGAGTAGGGCGCTGCTGCCCCCTCCCCCGCGGCGTGTCACTCGATTTGGACCCGTGGAGAGACGGGTGACTTGCCAGGTGCCGAAGCGGCGGGGCGAAGATGGACGAGATGATTGATGCGGACTCGGACTGCGGTGATGGGAAGCCGCCCTTTTCTTCGTCGTCTGTTTTTGAGAGGGTGTGTGAGTCTGAGACGGTGTGTGATGGGACTCTCTTCATGGCGAGGGGAAACGCGCGCTGGATCTCCGCGGGCGAGATTGGATCTCCACGAGGGATCACGTACACGGCGCCGGGTTGTCGTAGAGAAGATACCCGTCGGGGGATCGGTGGCGGGCGTGGCCCATTGGTCAGGGTGATTGAGGATCTGATGGAATCGTGGCGGCGGCAGTGGTCGTCGTGGTAGGAAATCTGAGATGCTACCGAAGGTACGCTGCTCCTCTTGCACATCTCTTCGTCCGTCAACTCTGTCACCTTCCTCATTACAGTGCCGGTGGTAGAGGGACAGTCCTGTGAAAGCCGAACCTTTTCCTCCCATTCTTTCGTCAGAGATTGTGGGAGAATCTCCTCCCCGTCGTTGTCATTCTCTTCTGAATAGAATGGAAATAGGTTGTCGTCGATACCCGGCAAAGGAGTAGCGTGGCAGTGTATGATTGAGATTCGCGAGCGCTCCTCGCCGAGGAACTCCGAGGATGGTCTGGATCCGAGCGATAGCCTGGTTGTCTGTGGTGCACCGCTTTCACCTACGGCCTCTTGCGGATTAGCATCCTTGTCCATATTGTTGTCTTCTGGTACGGTCAATGATGTTTGGAAGCCAATCAATGAGACGTCACAATCTCCGTAAGGTTGCTATTGTGGTGAGTGCCAGGCTCAATAAAGAGGGACGGTTGAGCATCGTGGATTGCCCAAGCATCTGGAAGCTGCTCCCTCCGGCTTAAGAGGAGCAGCCAGACCACCATCCACAGTACCTGTTTAGCTTATCACTAGTCATTTTCTGCAGTTCATTGAGTTCTGAAGCATCGGTGGCGTCCGGGAACAATGGTAGAACATCCTCAGCTGCGTATGGAGTGTCATCAATCCAAGGTTGGAATAGCCTCGCGTTGGACGTAATCGCTTTCAAGGCGTTCTACGAACGGCTGGACGTCAGATCCCAAGGTGATGGGCCGAGCTAGCAAGCATGACTGCTGCCAGAGAGTGGTGCCTTAGAGAGGGCGATGGCGGTTGGTATGGGTCTGAAGAGCAGATCGACTGTGAGACAGGAGGCAGTATGTGTTCTAGCTGACGAGTAAGACTGGCACCGCTGCCAGATCAATGACTAGATCAGTCAAGTCTAGGTGCCATTACTAACACCCTGTTTCTGACGACCTAATCTTTCAATGAACTGCGGGGGTCTCCCGTTAGAACCATGGAGCTGGAGGGTCGCCGCTAGAGACCGAACAAAGCACAGAGCAGCAGTCGAGGGGGGCGCTAAGAACATGGTGCGGGGAGGCGTGGACGGATGCCATCCGGGGCCGGCGCCTTGGATATCCAGACTAGCCGGGAGTCGGGGGCCGATGTCTTTGTTTTTCGGGATCCAAGACAATGGATCGGGAAGAGAACATGAAACATGGAATCCAAGGGGGGCAGATAGCATCGTCGTCAATAACGGAAAGATAAACCGAGGACAGGTGGTGGGGCGAGGTCCAACAATTTCATGAGCACAGTTCTTGTTCCCGTATATTCATCACGTACTTGACCGAGTTGTGTATATTCGATGATATTCTAGGTAGGCTATAGGGAGCAATTAGCCATCTTTTCGTCAGCTATGGCAACTAAAAGGGACTACTGCCCAGAAGCTTAAAGATGGTTATACCCTGCTGTAGCTTTCGCTTTCGAGTCTCCATGCAGTCATTTTTTCTTTTCTTTTTGCCTTTCACCACCCTCCATGATTTCTTCGTCCCTGACCTTCCTTCATCAGGCTCTATCTAATTAATCAATGTGTTGTCCCGTGACGTCCATTTGTCAATGGCTGGCTTGTTACAATTGCTCATATCTCACCACCCACGGCAAAGAGTATTGATGACGATCTTGGTGTGGGAGGTTGAAAGAAGTTCAGAGTTGAAACAAGGGGGGGCTTGCCCGTACTTCGTCGCCTTGATTGATGCCTCCTTCATGGAGCAAACCACCCGCTGCCGATTTAGCCCAAGGCCTTATCAAACGAACTCATCGCAAATACAGCATATTCTTGGCAAGTTGAGAATTACTTCAGCGCTAATTGCATGTGATTTCTTTCGTTGTCTTGCTCCAAACTTGAGTGCACACGCCTGGCACTAGCCAGTTCCTTGGCCGTGACATCATGGCGGCCTGTCAACAAATGGACCCGAATACATGAGGCAATCGATCAAGCCAACGATACAGTTTAGATTTACTATAAGATCTGGCCGTGAATCATTCTGCTCATCAACCCTCTGGCAAGATGAATTCCCTCAAAAGCCATGTTGAAGGGGAGGGGAAGGAGGAGAGGGCATTTTGCGTATTCGTACTAGCGCGATCTGCCGACCAGGATTCCCCGGACGTTCACGCGGTGTCTCAATTGGGTAAGTAAGTAATGGCATTTCGATATGCCCCGCCAAGGCCCGTAATTCTAATTCCATCGACCCGCCTCACTCCGGCAGGCCGCACGACTTCAGATGTTTCCTCCTCTCCCCCCACCACCACCACCACCATGATCATCAAACATGGCATTTCACTATTGCATTACAGTCAGAGATGGGCACACTCTCCCAATAAACTCATGACATTTGTTCCACAATCCGGAGTAAACTCCCGCCTTGCTTTCGAAGCCCCAACCAATACTCCGCCCATCAACGTCACCGCCACCAATAGCAACCAAACCAGGTATTTCGTCCCCCCTCCCCTCTCACGCCTTGAAGATCTGGCCCGAGCACCGGGCTCAATTCAAGGACCACCCGACCAACAATGCTTGCGTGTCTATGGTATTCTATGGGTTCATGCTTTGTCCAAAATAAAAACAAGATTGGAGTTGAGTTGAAAAAGTTTCTTCAGGTCTCGAGCTCAACCGTGGCGTTCTTACCTCCCAAGGTCACTGCCCGCCGCCAAGGTCTGCTTTTCGTTGAGGACGGCCGGCTTGGACTTTTGCGACGCAGCTGATTTGCTGCGACCGCCCTTCTTGTACGTTGTAATGTAGAACATGATGAAGAGAACCAGGTACGACGTCAGGATGGCGCCGCCGGTCATGGCTGCGTAGAACTCGCCGCCGCACCGGCCGACGTGGGGGAGGATTTCCTTGAAGTACGTGTCTGCGAAGACGTCGTAGAAACCAAAGTAGACGAAGCCTGTTGACTCGTATCAGCATCAATCCAATTGCAGAATATCTCACGTGTTGAGTGAGTGAGTGAGTGGTGCGGGGGGGGGGCGCGGTTCAACTCACCAAGGTCCAGCACGAACTGGGTGATCTGCAAGACCGTGATCCACTGCTTCCACCACACCTTGACGCCTCTTGCGGTCTGGAAGTAGTACCAATACATGATCACATGTACCGTCAGGTTGAGCGTGATGGGCACCCAAGACAGCGGGGTGGCTCCGACCAACTGGCTGAAGCAGAGGAGCGCGGTGGCCGGGTGGTGGTAGCAGTGGAGGAACGTAAGGGGTTTCTTCTTGAGCATCAGGAAGACGGTGTCGATGAGCTCGTAGTACTTTGTGAGGTAGTTGATCTGCCACGAAGAATTAGCCTATGGTCTTGGTAGAGGTGGTTTGAATACTCACGTAATAGAGAACGACCAGTGGTTGTGTCCAGCCCGAAGGTCCGCAGATGTTTTCGTAGATGCCCTTCTGCCACAGGCTCGGCGCAATCTGTTCGACGAAGAGAACCAGAAGAGCACCACTGAGCAGAGACAAGAAGAAGTTGTGGATCTTGAAGAGCGTATTCAGCTCCAGTGGTTTGCGGTTGCGCATGATCTCCCGGCCGCCAAATACGACTACCAGATACAGCACCACCATAGTCATGGCTTCAGTGAAGGTCGAAAATGGCGTCCGTCCGTAAACGAAGTCGAATTCGTTGGCAGAATAGCCCATCACCGACGTGGACAGCTTGTCGAATGTTCTCCATGGTGAGAGGAGCGCTGCGGATGCATCTTTCACCACCACAAACCCGGAGGCGTTGCCGCTGGAGGTGAGATTGTCGGGAAACATGATGATGACTGGAGAGGTTGAAGAATCTTGAAGAGAGAAAAAAGCCTCTCACGCAGAGAGAGAGAGGAGATTTACAATCGATTTATGCTGATGTGGATGAGTACCTCATGCATGACCAAGACCTTTACGGTCGAAGATGGGGCCACCACTCTACGCCCCAAGCTCAACCATGGTCCATCTCGATGCTTCGTTTCAGACCACCAACTCAATTGCCTTAACATGGCCTATGACGGCATTTCCTTATGGTCCTCGTGGGTACCCAATGCATAACAAGCGCGAAGCCGCAATTAGATTGTCCCATTCCCCATAGCGGCTTTTGCCAGGCCGGCATCAATGCTCCGAAATGCTGGTACCAGCTTTCTCGTACAGCTTCCGTACAGCTACGAGGAGCTACGAGGAGCTACGAGGGACCTTGACGGACGCGTTTGATTTTGGGTAGCGTACATCCCACACGGGTTATGCCTTAGCCTTTTCAGAGGCGTTACGTGGTTCTCTAGCGCGCATACCCAGTTTTAACATCTCATTAGAATCAGGCTTTTATTGAAGTAAAAGGCAGTCTTGTTGGCTTCTCGCTCCTCGACACTTGGGGCAGTGCCAACAAAGTAGTAGAAGCGGCCTCGACGGCATCATTCGCCAGAATAGAACAACGTTTGGAATGCGAGGCTGTGCTAGGTTGAAAAGATACTACCACCCAACCGTTTGGCCTGTCTTGAGCTACCGGCCGAAGCAGATGTGTACTTCGTTGCAGGCCAACACTACTTTACTCAGCAGCCACTTAACAAAGCTTGACATGGACACCACTGCCGGCTTAGAGCTTCTCTCCCCCAAACGTCTGGCACGTAAATGAAGGCAAGCTCCTAGCTCCCTTCCCCAAAATAACGGTCCGATTCAAATATCCACGGCGAAAGTATGCCTAGAGAAGTAGCTTCCACGTTCATACTTCTTGGTTCCTGCATGACCTCCTTTCATCTGGAGTGGGACCTGGTTCGTCCGAGTCCATCTCGTCCCCAAGACACGTCTGGTAGTCACTCCTTCACAAGAAACAGCGAAAGTCTCTCGTACAACATCTCGAGTCTTGTATCATCGTCGGTTCTAATACAGAGATGATCACATCGGCATCCATACAACTGAGCCTCCACACTATAACTCTACTTCCTGTCATGTCTGCGTTGAAGATCTCTTCAGCTCCGACGGCTCATATCGAGTATCATCGACCTACCACTACTGAGACTGTGGCTCCCCTAGCAACAGTCTCACCGCGATTCCCACGCGTCAATGTTGAATATGAATTTCTTCTCATATACACGGAGCCTCACACCAATTCGTTCTTGTGAAGACTGCCGTATAACACTTCTTCGAAGCTCGTTTGCTTATCCAACATCTTCCAAGTCATTGGCTCAAGTTAGTTCAACATCGCTCTCGCCCCCCCCTCCGGTCCTCCCATGCCCATGCTTCGCATCTTCTCTTCTTGTCGTGCGTATCTAAAGTGCCAACCGATGGCTTCCAGCCTCAGGGGCAAGACCTCGAGGCCATAGCCTACAAGCGAGGCGAGCTTTAGAATTATTTGGTCTGGCCGTGCGGCCAAGCTTCAAATGTTGTAACTGGGATCTCGGAGAGAAGATGCAGATAGGTGCCATCGTACCGTTTGGCCTCTTAGTCGTGCATAACAGTCAGTCTTGGCGGTATTGTGAGTTCTTCATGCACCTAGTCATTGGTTGAGATGGGCTAGTGTCGGGATTAGAGGTCATATTGCCCAGACGTGGAATTAGGAGGGCAGATTGGCTCATGTTGTCAAGGAGAAGAAAAATAAAAGGGAAAACGCGATAATTGTCTTAGCTTCATTGAATTATGGTGTTTCTTTTGTGGGAAAAGAAGCTGGCAAAGGGAACAGGTTCCAGTCTAAGCTCAAGCGAGCATTCCTGAAGACGGTCTCGAAGACTGTGGGCTCGCTCTGGCCTGCGGGTAGAAAGAATCAACGACTGTCTAGCCCTTCAGACCTTTTCCGTCCCTCATTCCCCCCTCGACTTACCCTACTATATGGGGCTAAGGGTATGAATTCCATCCCAACGTCGTCCTTGTCACCAGCACAGCGGCGTCCGTCTAGGCCGGCCGGTCAGGTCACGCTGTGTGCGTAGTGAAGTGGTTAAATAGATAAATACTCCAATGAAGCCAGAGTTCGGGTTGACTGAGGGGCGCGCTGTTCGATTTCGGGCAGGGGCGTGAGCTCTAAGGTCAGTGTCCCCCCTCCTTCCTCTTATAGTTAATTTTTTCATTTTTGTTTGGTAGAATTTGAGTATCTGCATGGCTATACGAGATTTGAGAGACCTCGGCTTTAAAGACTTCTTCGTGTGCTTACTATTGTATGGCCGGTACTCGCATATATCAGACACTACGCTCGACAAGGTAAATGATCTAGGAGCTAACGATTCTCAGCTACAGAAGTGGCGACGGGGGTTTATAGCGGACCAATTACAGTAAGTTGACTACTCATCCAGAGGTTAATACTCTTGAGAAGAATAGAGAATAGTATAGATTTACGCTGAGACTGATCCTTTAGTCTCTTAGGATAATTCGTCTTAGTTAGAGTAACCCCGAGGTCAAAAACCTCCTAGGCAGACAGGGTAAAGTGGGCATTGAGAGTGCAGATTGCGTCGTAGCCACATCTAGAGGTATATAAATATAGGCAGCTCTTCGCTTTCTCTCTCTTTTGATTCTATACATCAGATCATTGCGCTCTACCACGGTAGGTTGGGGCATGGCGAGGAAGGGACCGTCAATGGGTGCTAGTTGGTGTGGGTGGTATTGAAGTGATTTTCGTCCCTACATCAACCACGACTGGAAGGGACCTTCAGATCTACTGCTTAACAGCCACTCTCATCGTCAGGTGGGTATATCTCCTGGAATATCATACGAGACACGTATACTGAGCTGGGGAGGAGGCAAAGATGCTCTTCCAGACCACTGGAAATCCTCAACCATGCCGACCTGGAGTACAAGGTTCACCGCCTGAACCAGACACGGTACCGTACAACCAGTCGGACCCTTCCAATCTTCCACGATGACGAAGGACATTACTGTCTCGGTTGAGGCGACCGTCGCTCTCCAAGATACGACGACCCTTATATGCCACTCGGTCGAAGGCTTTTTGCCCTCGGACAGATAACTACGCAACATGTAACTAGTTTGCTATACCAAGCCCCGACTTTCAATCTGTGATTGACCAACAGCGTCAAGGATAGAAATATTGCTGGTCTTGAAGCCTTCACCAACATGCCATCAGCACACAAGCTAGCGGCTCTGCCATCTGAGCCAAATACGCCCAAGTTGGCAACCGCACCAGCTAGCGCCTAGGGGATGCGATGGGGTCTTAAAAGCTAGCCACTGTCGCGCCAGGTCCGCTCTTCAACGGCGTCGATCTGGCAGATCGTGGCGTCGCGGGTTTCCCGCGTTAGCTTGGTGGGGGACCATCAATTCTCCACATGGCACAAATTCTTTCAATCAAAAAAGCAGCGGAATTGCAATGTTGGGAGGGAAGCCTGCCTACGATGGGATATTTGGTCACATGAAGGTGTTTGCTTGATAATACAACCCCTACCAAATTGCCGCCGGGGGGCAGTTGGGGCGTAGGAAGTTGTAGGATTCACCCAGCACCCTGTTATTATTTTCTCAAAAGACACCTTTGTCACGTTCTTCAAGGAGGTGATGTGGAAAGGGACTTCACCAGAGGCAGCAACATGGCAGCGAATCGACATCATGTCTAGACATCTCGAGTCCGCGTATCCCTTACTCACGCTCGAGGCCTCGTAGCCTTCGCTTCGAGGCTCAGGCAAGTTTGTCTCTGATAAAGCCCAAGGAAGGCAAGAGGTTCACACTGGGGCCTGAACTCATAACACGTTGTTCCGCACCCCACCAATCATGCAAATCACGGCATCGGCGCATGGCTCACGCTTCGTATCATTGGGCGATGGGTGATGAGATCAGATAGAGAGCACGGCAGAGAACAACCTCGCAGGCGCGACCAAGGAGGTCGAAGGGCCATAGCAATAGAGGCAAAAGAGGATATCCCATCCACTCAAGTCAAGCCACCATCCTCGAATCCCAGAGCACTGCCACAGACAACCAGATCTCCAGAAAGCCCTGCATAGCTGGACCTCCAAACTCAAATTCCCCTTCCCCCAATCCCCATCCCCCAATCCCCATCCCCCAAATCCATGTCCCATCCGTCACCAAGAATCATAGCTCCAAGAAAACAGATCCTCATCTTCGGTACGCATTCTCCAACGGGCTAGAACAATGTCGTCAGCCCGGACGGCCGCACACCCCCCTGTCTGAGACGACGCTGTGGCAGGTGCAGTGATGTCAAATCTGACGACGAAAATGTGGAAAGGTGGAAGCTTTGATAGGTGCGATTCACCCCCCCGCCTGCCTGCCTGATCAGATACCTAGAACAGGGAGGGATGGGGGGTTGGTCCCTGAGCTTTCCCATCCCGCACCTGCACATCTGACGTCACACTCCATCAGTTCAGATCCCAGAGCTTCACCTTTCCTCACCACAAACAAACCTGACCATCAGACATCGAACAACCCATAAGAAGGCCTCAGACCTCAACCTCCATCAACTCCAACCTTTTGTTTCGCTTCCCCATTACACCACACGGCAAACAAATCACACACAAGAACCTCGCATGCCAGCATTCAACAAACCACACAACACCACACAAATAAAAGACGTCCCCCTCCTAAACAAAATCCTCCCCACCTCCCAACAACACAAACCCATCATGCCCGTCGGAAACAGCGACCAGAACGCAGGCGTCACGGGCGGCGCCAAATTCGTCACCTCGGCGCTCGGCAATACCGTCGGCGGCGTGACACGCACCGTCGGCAACGTCACCGGCGCCGCGACCCAGGGCGTTGGCGACACCATCTCCAGCGCGACGGGGTCTGCTGGCCGTCCTGTGGGTGATGGGATTGCCAACCTTGGACAGGGTCTGTCGGGTGCGTTGAATTCGGTTGGGAAGGGCGCTGAGGATGCTGGGCAGTGGAAGAGATCGTAAGAAGCACGCACCACCTTACGGATGGAATTCAGAAAAGGAAAGGGAGAATGATTAAGGATGATAACTTGGGAGGTTCTTTTGCTTGTGTTATTAGGAGCGTTCGCGTCATGGAATCAACATGATGGATATGAAATACAATGATATCCCCTGAACCAAACATTCACAACTTCGTGCAGCTGGTGATCGATTATTTCCTGTGGCACTTTGCCACACCAGGCGTTCACAGTCGTCGATATTGTTACAGTAAGGTAATGTTTACAAAATATTACAGTATATGACAGTGTACATGATACAATCGCACTAATGGAGGGGAGTAGGACACCTCAACCTACTCATTCCTTCTTCCGGAACTGCAGGTTGTACGTCAAGAGCTGCTCCTTCGTCATCTTGCCCGGCCCGCCAGCAAACTCGTCCACGCCATTATTATTCTTCGGGAACGCAATAACGTCCCTGACGGAAGACGAGCCGCTCAGGACGGCCACGAAGCGGTCAAAGCCGATAGCGAAGCCCGCGTGCGGCGGACACCCCGCCCGCAGCGCCTTGAGCAGGTGCGAGAACTCCTTAATCTTGTCCTGGCTCATCTTGAGAATGTCGCGGAAGATGAACTCTTGGATCTCGGCAATGTGGATACGTCGGCTGCCGCCGCCGAGCTCCACGCCGTTGAGAACGAGATCGTAGTGGTCGGCCTTGGCCCGGAGCGGGTCCTTGAAGAGGAGCTCAAAGTCCTCCTCGGAATGGGGGGACGTGAAGGGGTGGTGGGTGGCCGAGAAGCCCGACGCGCCGCCCTGTCCGACGTCGCCTTCCTCTTCCGGGGTGAACATGGGGAAGTCGGTCACCCAGAGGAATTTGAAGGTGTCGTCCCTGTCTAGGAGGCCGGCCTCCACGGCGGCGTGGTAGAGTGCGATTCTCGCCTCGCCGAGCTTTGTCGAGCCTCCTTGCTGGGGTTGGTTCTTGCGCGCCTGGAACAGGACAATGTCTCCGTTCTCGAGCGACGAAAAGCCGGCTTCCTCGGGGAGAGATCCCAGGATGCTGTCTAGACCTTCGGGTCCGAGGGCGGAGAAGCCGTTGAGCGGCTTACTGCTGTCAAACATCAGGGCTGTGGGAGCGCCGTCTGGGTTTTGTGATAGGCTTTTGGGAAGGTTCTCCATGAACTCGGTCACGAACTTCCACACGTCCCGCCTGTCGGCATCTTCGTGTGGGCTGATCTTCCAGACTTCGACGATTGGTGTGTCGAGATCGGTGATCATGCTGACGAAGCCCTTGTTGAGGCTTTCGTCAACGCGACATATCTGGGCGCTGTTAGTGTTGGCTTGCTAAAAGACGTCTATGGGACGCAACTGACCCTGTTGGGAATGCGCAGATCCGGCTTGTCAGACCCGTACAGGTCCATGCAGTCGGTGTACTTCATTCTCAGGAAAGGCGTAGAGATGGCAGGGTACTCTTGGTAGAGTGGTGCTTTCGCGTCATCTTTCGTGCTGTCCTGCACGCTTTGTTCCCAGTCCTATTTTCTGTTAGCTCTCAGTTCTACTTCTCTGCATTTACAACAGCGAGCAATCGCATACCTCCAGTGATGCTTTCCTGACTGGCGCGAATGAGTCTTCTCCCACTTCCATGACGTATTGTTCTCTTACAACATCCCAAGCACGGCCGACGACGTACTCCACGTCCTCCATGATGGTCTTGCCTGTAGCAAAGGACTTTTCCATATCCAACTGTGACTATGTGAGCTAATTGTACTAATCAGCAGCATGGGCCACGCACCTGTGTGAACTCGGGTTGACGGTCTGCGCGATGATCTTCATCACGGAAGCACCGCGCGAACTGGTAGTAACCGCCCATGCCAGAGGCCATAAGAACCTGCTTATACTGCTGTGGGCTCTGCGGCAACGCATAAGCATATCTTGGCCGCCGCGTTGGCACAATGAACTCTCTTGCGCCTTCTGAGGTAGACTTGAAGAGGATGGGCGTCTCGACGTCCATAAACTCCCTGTCCACCATCGCCTGCCCCATGGACGACTTGAGCTGCGCACGGAAGCGCAGCCTCTCCTTCAGCTCCTTGTGGAAGCGCAGCTGAAGATGGCGCTGCTCTGGCGGAAATACGGTATCCGGGCCGACGATGATGTCCTTGGGGAACGGGTTGAGGTATTGTATCGAGTCCATGTCAATCTCGAATCGTGTCGCGCCTGATGCGTCTGTCGTTACGCCCTTCGCCAACACGGCGCTGAAGGGGCGAATCTTTGCTAGTGTAGCAGCATTGTCGCCCTTGGCGCAGATCTGACCGATTCGTTCTCCGTTGCGCTCCAGGTGGGCGAATGCCAGGTTCTTGCCGACCTTTCTCGTTCGGCCGATGTGTCCGCTCACGATGATCGAGGAGCCCGGTTTACTCCATGACTCGGGGGAGGACATCTGAGGGAGGGCGACTGTTGTTTTTTGAAAGTCAGCAGAAGCATCAGAAGTTACGTTGCGATTCTTGAACTTGCTCACAGCACTCCTTGAACTCCTCTGACAGTTGTGTATGTTTTGACTCCTCTTGCGCGCGCTGGGGTTTCGTCATTGACAGGTGACGAACCTGTCGGCTTGGAAGATGTGTCGGACCGCATGTTGAGCTTTGTGACAGAGAGACACTCCGGCTTATAGTTTGCGACTGTGGTGTGCGCGGACGCAGGGCAGCCAACGCTCTACTGCGACAGCATTGGCGAAGCATCTAGAAGGTATAGTCGGGCTAATTGGAGACAACCGACTGGGCAAATTCCTTGGTTCGTATCTACACGGTGTAGCGATCGATTTGCAGCTTCGGCAGGGCACAATGGCGTGGACAAAAGAACTGATGGGTGGGCTGAGATCAAGTATGATTTTGTTACATTTGAAGCTATCACAGCTAAGGTCCCCCCCTAGTTCACTGCGTCAAAACGGTGGAACGATGTCGGAGCCAACCATTCAATGCGACACAGGTGGGCTGCTGTTGCATGGCGCTTTCCTCAGGTCCTCAGGTCCCCATGGCGCTGTTACTGGCACCTGAGGCAGAAGGTCCCCACCAAAAAAGTGATTAGCGCGGGGCAGATCCTCGCGTCCGTATAAAAGTCTTTCGGGGAGCTCCTAAAAGTTTCTTTCCTTTCCTCTTTATGATTTCTCCATTTCAAAAAAGTGTACGTTTGGTCTCCCTCCCCCTGCCACAGCGCAATCGCGCACTCTCAAAAACGACCAGAATACTAATTGGACAACTTTGCAGGTGATGATAGCCACGTGGATAACATGATGCTGCTGCCTCCGCCCAAAGCATCCAAGCTCTCCCCTTTTGGTGGCTTCAGGGCAAAGGTGTCGAGGGCGGAGGGGGCCATGACATAGGCGTTCGACACGACCTTGTTACTAGTATCGTACGCGATGAAAGGCAAATCTGATTTTTCACGAAATGGAAGAATTCTGTGGGCTTGGCGGCATATTGACGACAACCGGGAGCTTCGAGGCTTCGAGTGAGGTCGAGGGGCTCTCTGAGTTGGCGCAAACAATGTTTCCTTTTTGATGGCACAGCCAGTGGTCGGATACGTCGATACATTCTTCCTAACACGGTTATAGCCAGAGATTTGCGGTCGGCTGGGAGCGAGAAACATCGGATGGGTCTGTCGCGTCGGTGAAGCTTTCGGGCTCTACAGGCGCGGTATGAGACTGGACGAAGTTGAATCGCGACTGGAAGATGCCGGTGGTGGATGGAACACCAATCTGGGACATTTCTTTGTACGATAGATTTTTTGTGACTTAGTCAGTGCATACACACTGACGGGGATGGCGCCCTGAGCGGCTCGCCAGCCATTCCCAGACTCGAATGAATCACTCAAGACCCGATGACGGGCGAAAGAAAAGAGAGGGTCCGAGAACCTGCCGCCATGCTCACTCTACACGTGTGATGGAGATGTCTCCGTTTGATGATGATTCAGCGAACCCCATGTTTCCCCAAAGTGTTTCAATAAGCCATGGTGCCGTGCAAGTTTTATAGTTGTGCCGAGCACGAGGCGTTGCGAATGAATCAAGAGTGTTCGACATAAATCAATCAGCAATGGATGGGAGCGTAAGTTACGTGACTGCGGCGAGCTGAGGGTGAGCTGAGTGTGATGGAGCTGCCATGAAGATCGGATCAGTGAAGCCATCATCAGACTGGATCCATCACCAGCAATGGCAGAATATCAACCATGCTTGCTTCTCCAGGCTCGCCATCTGCTCCCCACACACACCTGAAGGTCGCTGGAAGATCCCGGCTCGTCGGGACTGCCAGTGTTCGTCCGTGTCACGAAGCGTGGAGCATGGAGCATAGAGACGGGACAATGGCGGCATGCACCTCACAGGTTTATGAGTTACAGGCTCACAGCTGCATCGCCTCGACGCCGGTGGAGGTTGAAGTGTAAGATGGGCTTGGCCCTTGGGTAGTACCTAAGTACGGATAGATACCTAGGTAAGGCAGGAGGTGTTCGAGGTCCCGTTTTGTGGCCCACCTCACATACGCGAAAAGAGACGCTAAACTGAATCAAATCGCTGTCTTCCCGTCTGGCGTCTGCAAGACTGATGGAATTGAGTGAGTGATATATGCAGGAGACGGAGGGAGGAGAACCCCCTTGAAGAATCTCTTTAGCGGTCATGTCGCAGTCGCAATCGCACCCGTCAACGCCAGGGCCACCTCACTTTCCTCCAAGGTAAGTTGGGTACGGATACGTTGTTGCAACTTGCCAGATGGAAAGCTGCTATAGGGAACGGCTGCCGAATTGCCAGCATCATCGCCATTTAGCCCACCTCACAAATGCACAGCGCAAGGTTCCAGGTTTCTCACCCCATCGCTACCACCGGCCTAACCGGAGATACGTACCCTTCACCTGCACTTGAGGAGGCTTCCCGTTGGACCAGCAGAACTAAGAACTGGACGTGTGTCCCAGCACAACTGCACCAGCACCAGCATTGGATCTCGGGCTGTCAAACGGAACTCGCTAGAGACAACGCCGGCCACTCACACCCGAACAAGCGCACCTTAACCCAGCCCTCAGCACGGCCAGCACAGCCAGCGGCGGCACCTCCTCCTCTCCGTCCCTCTGTCCCTCCCCTCCCGTCCACTTCCACTACCACAACACCAGTGAACAGTGTCCAGCATCAGGTCGCCTTACGTAGGCTCAGCCAAGCCCAGCCCAAGCCCGACCAGCCGACCTCTCCAAATCAAGACCGTGGCCCGTCCTCCTTCACGGCCCACCTCATCTATCCCACTACTTCCCGACCAACGTGGCCATCGTCAATACTGACGCTGTCCGTCCTTCATTTCCCGGCCTACCCAGCGAAGCCAAATCAGGCCTACATTACGATAAACGACACTCCGTATCCAATCCTGTATCCTTAATCCGGGTCCCCATTCGCAGCCACTCCGACACCCTGTCATGGCCATAGGTCCATACTCCGGATCCGAACCATCCCTCTCGCATTGAAGCTTGCCGGCACCCAATTTCGCCCAGTTGAGGGTTTCCCTGGCCTGCAACCAAACGCTGTCGCGCCCCCGTCACCACCGACACATACACTCTTCCTCATTGTCGCCAGCGACCCGCTATCACCCTTTGACGAGCTCGCGGCATCTACTTGTTAGAACACCCATTGTAGGGAATCAGCTCTATCAAGACATTTGATCGAGGCCCGTGACGGCCAGACCCTTCGATCGCCGCTTTCTACTTTCGTGCGACTTTCGTCCGATCCGCCAACCACGACTACACCCTCCTCTCTGTCGCCAACCTTGCCGACCCTGATTATCACAGAATCTCGACTTGATCAAACTGCTTCAACCGAACGACAAAATGTCGAGCTCATTCGAAAAATCGGTCAAGGGGGCCACCAAGATAAAGGTAGGTCAAAGGGAGGCTGGAGCCACGCCGAGCAGCTCAGCGCGTCTCTCCCAGTCATGGTGCTAATCCCATCTCCTAGGCTGCGCCGCCCAAGACGAAGTACATTGAACACATTCTAGTTGCGACACATGCTGGCGAAGCGGGCGTGGGGGAGGTCTTTCGCGCCCTTCAGTTCCGTTTACGAGACTCGACGTGGACCGTCGTCTTCAAGAGCTTGATCACCGTCCACTTGATGATCCGTGAAGGCTCACCCGATGTCACCCTTGCCTACTTGTCGAGGCACCCAAACACGCTTGCTATCAGCAGCTTCACTGACGGTCAGTCAAACCCCCCCCCCCCCCCCAAAAGATCAGGCACTCGCCGAGATTTGTCGGACTTGCTTTCTAAACCATCCCACAGCCCAGACACAAGGACGGAACATTCGGCATTACGCTGGCTACCTTGCCGCGAGATCTAAAGCTTACCGAGAAACGAAGTGCGATTGGGTACGAACGAAGGAATCTAGGCTGGAGAAGCTCTCTGTCGACAAGGGCCTCCTGCGGGAGACGGAGATTCTTCAGAGTCAGATTTCGGCCCTTTTGAAATGCGATGTTAGTCTCCGACTCGGTGTTGCAAAGCGTCTCAGAGCGCGACAGTTGCTGACGCTGGATAGGTTCTCGAGGGTGAAATCGAAAACGAAATCACAGTTACTGTCTTCAGACTGCTTGTGCTCGATGTACTGGCTCTTTTCCAGGCATTGAACCAGGGAATGATTAACATTCTCGGTGAGGCGACCCAAACGCTCCAGGGTATCCCTCAAACTAACATGGAAAGGTACATTCTTCGAAATGTCCAAAGTCGATGCCGAAAGAGCGATGGCGATCTACCGCACCTTCACCAAGCAGACCGATTTCGTGGTGCAATACCTCAGCGTCGCACGCCAGTACGAGCATCAAACGAGAGTTGAGGTTCCTAAGCTGAAGCATGCGCCGGTCAACTTGGGCCGCCAGCTGGAGGAGTACTTGAGCGACCCGGATTTCGAGGTCAATCGGAGACAATACATTGCTGAGCAGCAGGGCAAGAAGAGCAAGGTGGGGGTCTCGAAGCCGACGTCAAGCGCATTTGACTCCAAGCCTGCGGCAAACAATCCTTTCCCGAGTAGCACGTTCCCGAGCACGAATGGCCTGTCGCAGCCAAAGACCGAGACCGCCAAGGGCCCTGCCCCCGATCTGATCGACTTCTTCGAGTCCATCGAACAGAACCAGACGACAATGGCGCCGAACGCACAGCAGCACCAGCAACAGCAGCAGATGCCGATGCAGACCGGTTATGCCAACAACAGTCCCTTCCAACCGCAACCTACTGGTTTCCAGCAGAATGGCTTTGCGCCTCAGCCGACCGGATTTGTGCCGCAACAGACAGGCTTCGCTTCTAATCCGTACCAACCGCAGAGCACGAATCCGTTCGGCCAGCCTCAGCAGCAGCAACAACAACAACAACAACAACAGCCGCCCCAGCCGCCCCAGCAACCGCAGCAGCAGCAAGCACCACAGCCGTTACAACCCAGCTTCACCGGAGCTGGATTCGGAGGCTTTTCGCCCCAGCCTTATCAGCCTGGTACACTTGGCTCAATACCACAAGACTCTGTGGCAAGCTTTCCGACGGGCAACACGGGCATGTTGAGCCCTCAGGCCGGCCAGCAGATCACCAATCCTTTCCGGGCATCCATGCTGATGGCTCAGCAAACGGGCATGTCCACGAACACCGCGTTCTCGAACCCGGCGAGCCCCAACATGCAGAGGCAGTCTACAAATCCCTTTGCCAGATCCTCACCTCAAGCCCAGCAGCCGTTTTCACCAGCTCCCAGTAATTCGCCCTTCCAGACTCAGCCTCAGCCGCAGCAACAGACGCAGCAACTTCCCACGATTGCTCCGTTGCAGCCAATGATGACTGGTACCAATCCATTCGCTAAGAACTTCACCGGCTCTCAACTCCAGCAGCAGCGGCCTGCAACTAGCTCTGGAGCCATTGTGCCTCAACCAACAGGCACCACAAACCCCTTCCGCCAGGGCTCGTTTGTCAACCATCAGACCGGCATGGGCTGGCAACATAATCAACAGCCAATGGGTGGCGGACTGGACAACGTCGAGACGACGCCCGTCTTCCCCCGACCCATCCAACAAAGCCCCTGGCAGACATAATAGCAGCACCCTCCCAAAAGCTCTGACCAGCTGTTCCAAATACACCAGCCCAGCCCAACCGGGATCACTATTTCTTCAAATCTCAAATCAAAGCGTGGCGTTCACAAGGGTCTATTTTGCTTTGTACAATTGAACGATGCGTAAGGTAGACGGCAACAGGGTTATCACACGAAACAAAAAGCTCCGAAGTGGGATGGCGGGACCGGTGGAGGCCGGCGGCCGTCGTAGTACGAGTCTGAAAAGATGTATTATCTAGTGAGCATAACTTAGTACATATGTAATTCTTGCATACAGGTACACACTTCTCGTGGCCATATACCTGTTTTGTTATCGATTTTGGGTATTGTTTCCCTTCAACCCTGTCTGTTCTAAGGTAGTCCATCCGATTTTGCATGTTGCCCAAAGAAACCCCAAACGCCATCGCTAATGCATCCCAATCTGCCCCGAAGCCAGTACGGTAAGAAGTCAAGTAACAGTAGAGAAATGCAAAAACCTTTCTCGATCTCAAAAGACGTCGTCCACGTCCATCTTTTGCGTCGACTGGCCCGTACTTGCGACCAACGCCGCCTCGGCGGTAGCCACCTTCTCAGGCCCCTTTTCATCCTCAATAAACACAGCCAACCCGGAAAAGGCTTCGAACATGGCCCGGCCGAGGTACTCGTCGGCGCTGTACCCGCCCACCACGATATCGTCCTTCTTCCTCGCCTCGTCGACCCACTGGTTGCGGTACTCCTCCGACGGTCCCATCTTGTACCTCTCCATGTCGAGCTTGAGCCCGCCAAAGGGGTCGTAGGATTTATTGTCCTCGACCGCGCGCTTCTTCTGCTGCTTGAGGCCGCGGATCGACAGGCCGCCCGCGCCGGTGGACGTGGCATCCGACAGCGTCCCGACGGCTGACTGGAGGCGGTTCTGGCCGCGCTTCTTAAGGAGCACGCGGTTGAGCGTCTGCTTCGCCTCGCCGGCGTCGCTGCTCGCGAGGCCGTTGAGCATGTCCTCGCGCATCCGCTGGCCCTTGCGCTTCTCGGCCGCGTCTTCCTGCATCGCCTCGGCGCGGCGGAGGCGCGCCTCTTCTTTTTCGGCCTCGAAGCGCGCGACGCGGTCCGCTTCGGATTCCTTGGCTAACCTGCGGTTCCGCTCGATTTCGGCGCGGTGGGCCTGCTCCCACTCCATCAACCGTCCCTCGGCCGCTTTTTTTTCCACGTCGGTGCCGGAGATGAGGTCGAACGTGAGCGTCTCGACCCATTCTAGGTACTCGTTGTAATCGGCTAGCGTCTCAAAGTCGTCTTCGACCTTGTTGAGCACGGCGGCGACGCGTCTGCGGATGTCGACCTCGCGCTCGACGGTGAGGTCGCCGAAATAGGCTGATTTGAAGCCCTTTTTGCGGAGGGTCTTGTGGCAGCCTGCGTAGGGGCACTGGTTGGGGCCGTCGGAGAAGATGCGGGCGACGCAGTTTGCGCACATTGGGTGGTAGCATTCTGGGTTGATGAGGAATTCGAGGTCTTTGTTGAGGTAGCGCATTGTTTTGCAGACGGGGCAGATATCGTTTGTTGTGCTGGGGGCTGGGGCCGCTGTTGCGGAGGTGGAGGCACGGCGGGTGGCCATTTTGAGGATGTCTGTGATGTGTTCGCGGGGAGGTGTTTTCGTGAATGGAGGTGTTCGGTGTTCTGGGAGTATCGTGGAGATGTGGTTCTGGAAGAGGATCGGAGGAGAGAACCTGGGCGATTGAGGCTTATCTCAAGGTGGCACCGGGTATCTGAAGTCGACTTAATCGGAGAACCTCTACGGCTTGGAGAAGAGGCGGAAGGTGTCGAGAATGTAAGCCTCTTGCTCAGGCAATGACGCTGATGTCGTTTGCCTGCAATCGCGATAAAGCTGAAAGACGCAAGATGAAGTACAAGGCTGACGGGAAGGATTTATTAAGCCGAGGTGATTGGTTGGAGCTTCCACTCAAAGAACAGGGGTGGGAGGGGCAGGGGTCTCACAGCTAGCAGCTACCCCTCCAAATATTCCGTCAGCCTTCCATCTGCGCTTGCCTTCCACTGCCTTCGACCGCAACATCACTCAGAAACAACGACAAGATGGCCGACAACGACAAGCCAGGTACCTTTTTTTCAACCATTTGAGCTCCTTTATGAGCACTCCTAGACTCACAGAGAGGCTATCGCTATGAAATTTTGCTGACAAATGCTTCCAACAGAGCTCACGCCCGCCGAGGAGGCTGCCGCCCGCGCCAAGGAGACGGAGGAGCAGAATGCGCTGCCGTACAAGTGGCAGCAGACCATCGCCGACGTCGACATCACCTTCAGCGTCCCCGGCAACTACAAGAGCAGGGACCTTGTCATCGATTTCAAGAAGACCAAGCTCTCGGCCGGCGTAAAGGGCCAGGAGCCCATCGTTAGCGTAAGTCACATCATCACACTTTCTCTTTCCTTTCTTTCTTCCACCTCCCTTCCCTTGTGGCCGCCCATTCAGCTACGGCAAAAAGCCATATGAAGAAAAACAAGTCAGCTAACACAACCACGAAAAAAACAGGGCGACCTCTCCCACGCAATCCTCGTCGACGACTCAACCTGGACCCTGTCCTCCGCCCCCGACGGCACAAAGACGGTCGAGATCCATCTCGACAAGGTCAACAAGATGGAGTGGTGGGCGCACGTCGTCACCACGGCGCCCAAGATTGACGTCTCCAAGATCACCCCCGATACGAGCAAGCTCTCCGACTTGGATGGCGAGACCCGCGGCATGGTGGAGAAGATGATGTTTGACCAGCGCCAAAAGGAAGCGGGCCTGCCCACCTCGGAGGAGCAGAAGAAGTTTGATATTCTGAAAAAGTTCCAGGCTGAGCACCCCGAGATGGACTTTAGCAATGCCAAGATTAGCTAGATGTGTTGAGGGATTCGTTTCACGAAACAAATGACGAAAGGAATAAAAAAAAGCACACATTCATGACAGGTTGCGAGAGGGTAGGAACTTGTGATTGAGTGACCATCTTTTAATTTAAACACATCTAAATGCTTTTTTTTTTTTTAGCTCAAAAGGTATGTCAGGGGTGAAACGAAGAGCCAAAACCACTGCAATGACAAGAAGCCATAGGTTACGGCATCAGAGAGCCCATGCGTAGACCGTTGCTCTTGGATCCGCTAGTAATGGTGAAGCAGATTGATTGCTGCGACCCATCAATTGTCAGATTGATAAGCAGTCCGTTATACCAACTAGACCCAATCTCCCCATCGATACGCACAACTTGAAGAGAAGACGCAAGACACATTCGCCCACGACATCACAAAGAAACCAACACTGTAAGAATTAGTGGACAGTAGCAAGAGTGTGAGAAGCAAGGCACGACAGGATTCATGAACTACAGAATCGCTGACCGCGCGGGGAGGCCCAAAGTAAGGTCTCTATCAATCCATTCTTCTATCCGCTCTATCCACCTCTCCGCGTCCGAATGGATGGCGTTGCAGGATCAGATCTGGACGGGGCAATGGACTGCGAGGCAATCGATCAGTGCGATCACTTGACTTGGGTACTGCAACGATTTATTTGTTAGCCGTGACATCTTGACGGTGAAGTGCAAATAAGAAAGTGGCAGTTGCATCGAGATCAGAAATTAGAACCATATCCACACATTGGAATTGAGACAGGGATAACTGTATAAAAAATTGTCTTGTTCATCATATCGAAGGGGGAGGAAGTGAAGCAAGGTAAATGTTTATCTTACCTGGCATGATGTGTCACGACGAGCTGGAGCGGGGACATCGCAGTAGATGCCCATGGCGAAGCTAGCGTATCCTATGGTAACTGAAGCATGGTGTCAGCCAGACTTCCTCGACAAGGTGGTCAAATTTGCGCAGCAGAAAGAAGAAAATCAGAAATTAGAACCATATCCACACGTTGGAATTGAGACAGGGATAACTGTATAAAAAATTGTCTTGTTCATCATTTTGGGGAGGGAGTTGAGGTAAGAAAACAGTCAGTCACATACCTATTGCTCTGAGTCCGGCCAGATCACTGCTTGGAGAGGCGTGCAGCTTTGAACTTGCTGATGCGCTGACCACCATCAGCTTCGTCGAGAGGCCGGACCACGGACGTGTCCTCTTGAAGGAAGCCGCCCTGTTTCTGGATGAAGTTCCGCCGTTGTCGGTGATACTCATCGGCGAGATCCTGATCGATAAAGTCCTCGTCGAATGCGTTCTCGTCCTGTGGCTTGCTCTCCTTCTCGACGACCGCGTCTGCCAGCGTCTTCCCCTCAGGTCCCGTCGGGGCTGTGGGCCTATCCTGGTCGATGAAGCGTGATGGCACGTCGCGCGGACCCATCGGAACGAAGCCATCGTCAACAACCGTTGGCGCTGCCTTCTGCTTTTTGAATCGAGACGCTTTGCGGGTAGACTTGGCCTCTGCTTGCTTGGCGGGGCCAGTACGCTCGACAATATCGCTGAGAGGCTCCACGATGGGCTCTGACGGTGGTTGCGGAACAGTCGGCGGCGCAGCAGAAGTTTCGGGAACGCTGTCTGGAGCGACATCCAAGCTCTGTGCGAAACGAACGCTCTTCTTGCTCTCGTCGGCATCCGTTGGAGAAGAGGTCCTCAGGATAGATGTCGTGGGCACAGGCGACTGCTTGGCAGCTTCGACCGCCTTGCCCTTGTCGCCTGAGTTGACGATGATGCGACCAATGCCTTGTCGGTCTTCGTCTGACTCTTGGTCGTCTGCTTCTGGCTTCTCAGTGAAGCGAGACTTGACTCCGAGTCGCTTCTCGAGCTCCAACATCCGCTGATGGTACCCGTCATCCAGAACGCTGGAAGTAGACCGACCAAACTTGTCTTCTTCTTCGTCGTCCTCGAGATCAGAGTACTCATACTCCCAGTCCTCGTCCTCGTCGCCAGAGCCGTCCTCAAGGTTGAGTTCAGCGACGACTTGGCCAACCTCTTCCATACCGTACTTGAGCATCTCCCGGCGAAGGAAAGCATCTTCCTCAGACTCGTCTTCGGGGATGACGGGCGCTTCGCGGCTGATGTCTTCCTGACTCTTGGCGGTCTGCATGATTTCTTCGAGCCGTTGAGCGTTCCTCGACACCTGCTCCTCTGCTGAGGGTTTTGTGTCTTCAGCGAACGAAACGGACTTCTTGACTGCCACAGCATCGTCAACATCTGCTTCGGGAAGCGACTCCTCTGCAGACTGCGCGGGATCATGGGCTGGTGATATCGACTCGGGTGCCTCAGCCAGAGGCTCGTCGGTAACGTCTTCCACGATGGGTTCCGTCTTCTCCGTCTGTGAGGGTTGGCCAGCCGGGATGTCCTTGAGGCCTGCCTTCTCCAGGGTCTCCCTGATCTGAGCGCTAGAGTTGCCAGGCTGCTGCAGTCGGCTGGAGAGAACATTTCCCTCTTCATCCAGCTCCTCGATGATCTCCGTTATAGGCAAGCCATCCTCGTCCCGCACATCAGGGTTGCTGACAACGCTGGCGGCAGCGTGCTTCTGTTCCGCAGACTCGAGCTGCTTCTCAAGAGTAGCGATATTCTTGGAAACATAGTCGATACGGCGCGAAAGCAGGTTGACAATCTGGTCGGCAGGCTTCAGATCAATGCGCCCAAAAAGGTCGTTGATCTCTTTCTTGTCGACGACCTCGCCCTCAAAGTCTCTGCGAATGCGCGCGAGAGCCTCTCGGCTGGCAGGCTGGGGAACCGACTCGATCTCCTCCTTCAAGGACTCGTACTCAGCGTCCCATTTTTGCCAGTGTTGCAAAGCCTTCTGCAGCTTGGCAATAGAGTCTTCGAGTTGCAGGCGATGCTTTTCCAGGTCAAGGAAACTGTCTCTGACTGCTGACATGGTGAAGAAAAAGAAGGGGAGAGAAAGAAAGTTTGAAAGTTCTTGAGAGTAAGGTGAGGGAAGAAAAAAATTCCCTGTCGGAAGGTAGGGGTTCGAAGCTCCAGGAAAATTAGGTAATCTGCTAAAGTGCAGACTGTTACTGTTACGTAAGTCCAGTCTACCTAGCTTTTTAAGACGCCCGACGCGACGCCCCTGTAATACTTTAGATGGGGTCCTCATCTGCAGAAGGCGACACCATAGCTTTCACTGTTAAGGAATCCGTTGATACTTGGCGGCCATGACCACATCTCACCAAAGGATTCTTTTCAAACCAAGAGTCTGAGGTGAGTATCTACGTTTTGCAGCTCCTTCCATCTCCAAAGTATTCATGTTGTAGACGATCAACAGAGCACGATGCCAGGTGAGCATCTCGGCGAACGACGCCTCTCAGGATGCTGTGAGCATGCCACAAGCTCGAGACAAGAGTTGAACCGGGTCAAGTATATGCTCTCACTGAGTTGATGGAAATACTTGCCATCCATGATGAGTCCAATGGTTTGCGCCTACCAGTTTCGGAGACTAACGCAACGAAAATGCCCAATGTTATCGCTCACGAAGTGTTTATCTCATAATTTATCAGAGCTCTTGAATTACGGACCCAAGTATATACTAAGCTCTGGGTCTGATGCCAACCATATACTTCCCCGCCTTCAGATGTAGGACCGTGAAGTGAACAAGTTCATGAGACTGGTCGGGTATGAGAGACAAGTCATACCGCCGAAGTAAAGACACAAGCGTGAGCCGCAGCTCCGTCCATGCAAATCTGTTCACTTTATTAGCACTAAATCGATAGTGATAGCCTTCAGGAGACTCACTGTTTTCCAATACAGTTTCTCGATCCCGCAGAAAAGGGGTAGTACGCCGTTCTCTCGGTGGCGGGCACGCCCTTATAGTCAGACAGCCATCTTTCGGGGACGAACTTCTCTGCGTCAGGCCACTGCTTCTCGTCCCAATGCAGGACAGTGGTGTTTGCAGTCACTCTAGTCTGCTGGATATCAGTGAAGTTCCGGGAACGATGAGTGCTACCATGTAGACTTACACCAGCTGGTATCAGGTGATCAGACAGAATCACATCTTCGTCAGTCTGCCTCTGAAGCCCTGGTAAAAGGTCAGCAAATCACACTGTCACGTTTTTGCGGCACACTAGGAATCCTACCGCCGGTCGCCGGAGGAGCAAGCCTCATCGTTTCCTTCAGAACAGCGTGTAAGAACGGCAAATCCGTCGTCTTGTCGTCCGAAACAGGCGAATCTGTCAAGGGAAACCTCCCGCGAATCTCGTCGATAAGTTTTTGGTAGGATGGTGGGTCGTTAAGCAAAAACATCATTGCAAAAGTGAGCGTGCTAGCCGTCGTCTCGCTGCCCGCCAGCCAAAAGACAAGCATCTCGGAAAACACCTCGATACGCGACAGGGTCTCTGGGTTCTTCTCATGTGTGTCGAGGAGAAGCTGTAGCAGGTCAGGTTTGGCCAACTTGTCGGTCGACGCCTGTCTCTTTTCGATAATCTCGCTGATGAGTTGAGCGAGCTCGGGATCGCGAAACTTTGGTAGGAAGGGGATATACTTCAAGAAAGGGAGAAGTTGATACTTTTCGCCAAACGTCAGTCATTACTCCGTCCATCACTCGTAGACGGAGACTTACAATGGTACCCCTCTTGAAGCTCTCAGAGAACTTCTTGCGAATAGGATGCTCCCCATTCTTCACCAATTCAAACGAGCCACCGAACGCAGTCGCGCTCATGATGTCGGATGCGAGGCGACCCATCAGGTTCCAAGCATCAATGACGGTCTCACCTCCATCCCGAGCGCACTGGTTGTCGATGAACTCTTCAAGCGCTTCGATGCAACTCAGCTTCAGTGGCTCGAGGCCCTTGAGGTAACTGATGGAGAAGCCGTGCGAGAAGAGCCTTCGCCGGGTGCGGTACTGCGCCCGATCTCGCATGGTGAAAAGCGTCACGCCGTCTTCGTTTTGGCTAAACTTTTCGTATAGAACGCTCTTTCGGAGATCCATGCCCACTAGAATCTGGTGGACGGACTTTTCGTCGGACACGAGAACCAGATCAGGAGCTATTTTCAAGGAAGTGTTAACAAAAGTTATGATGTTCAGGGGACGCGTATGATACTCACCAACTCGGACGATGTCGCCGTATTTGCGGTTGTAGTTGATTCCCTGCTCAAATGCCTTGCCTCTAACGACTGCCGCCATCCAGGGCAAAGCCGTGAACCTATTGAGCCAGGGTCCGGGTATCTTGGCCAAGGGGCCTGTAAAGCCATGCCATAATGCCGTGAGAACCTTCGAAGCCCCGTAGGCAAGTGTGAAGATGAGGCATGCTGATATGAGAGTCTTGAATTCCGGGTTGCCCAGCCGCACTGCAATCAACTCATGTGAAATTCCCATTGCGTCTGTGTAGTAGCCAGCTTTGATGTGACGGAAAACCCGACAAAGTTTCCTCTTAAATGGCCCTCTCAAAGTCAATACGATTCTGTTTAGTAATTCATAAAAGTTGTCCAGATAAGTTCCCGTAAAGTTTGCAGTTCTCCATCCCATGTATACTTAAGTAATATCATAGGGTTGCTATCAAAAGGCCGGATTTGATCGTGGCTGTAGCTTTCCGCCGCCCCCGCTCCAGACCGGAGGTTCAGCATGAGCTGGAATGTCTACGTCCGTGTAAGACAAGGCCAAAAGCAGAGCCGATTTATCGATCTGCAGGCATCCTTCGTGGCGTAGACTCGGTAAACACTTGATTTTCCATTGATCAGCACTAAACCTTGGCTGACTCTCATTTCCCGCTCCTTTCTGTTCACGAACCACAGGAAGTCATCTAGAAGAGTCTGACGATTTAGACAAGTCTAATAGCATCGGTCAGTAGAACATACGTGTTCATTAATTTGGCGCCCTGTCTTTTCTAGCATCGCATCATGTTGCAGATGAAGCTATTAGGCCAAGTCTCTATTTCAATTCGCGTCGTACACGATAGCCCAGACAAATCTAAAGATGCCTAAATCGAGTCGCCGAGCATGCTTCGCGCCCATCAAGCAGGCTGTACCACCGACCGCCAACGCAGAGACGGAGACGAACCACAGGTCCCAATTCCTGGCCTTCCACACCGGCATCCTCATGTTTGCCGTCTGAAGGTGCATGGGTCGCAGCGCTCTTCCGCCTGCTGAGCGCAACTTGGGATCAAAGATGACCTCCTCAGCCATGTCGGCGGCGAGTTCCTTGCGTCGAGATGCCACGCGTGCTATTCTTTCCATGCGCTCGGCGTTACTGCCAAAAGACCCGTCGACGTCAGAGATGAAGCGGCCGATCTTGTCTGCGATCTCGTCGGCGGTGAAGTGAAACTTGTCCATGGCTAAACCGACGCCTGCTTCAACGAGGCGGGCGCTGTTGGCGAGCTGGTCGAAGAAGAAGCCTAGAATCAGTGTGGAATTTCCGTGGAATAGGGTCTCGTTTGCGCTGGAGCCGCCTCCGTGAGTGAGATAGAGCTTGGTATTGGGGTGTTCGAGGATGGCTCGTTGGGGAGCGAAAGATGGGACTCGAATATCTGGGTGCTTCTCATCGAGAATGTCAGCGACCAAGATCTTGCCACCATTAGGTCCTTCGACCTGTGCTGATCTATCAAAATTCTGCCTCGCTGATTTCCCGATAGACCATATTACACCGTTGATATGCCCAGCATCTAAAGCCATGACGAGGCCATTGAGCAGCTTCATCAGCTCTACTCGTGGGAGTGTGATATGAGTCCCCAGAGCGACATATACCGTCTTATCATGAGACTCTAGAAACGCTTGGTAGATTTCGTCGAGCGGAGAGTACTCATCCCCCAGAATCGGTCCGACCACCTGCATGAGAGGAGGCAAGTCTTTGGCCGGCTCAAGTCCAAAGAACGAGTTGACAAACACAAGGGGATTCGGTTTAGACGCCAGTGGAACCGCGTGCTTGACGCCGTGTCGTCTCCGCATCGCTCGCGTCCAACGGGTCCATGCAGAAATATGCGGCAGCGCCAGAACAGGACCGTCTCATTCCTGATGCGCGACCAAATCGAGGCCTTCTCCGAGGGGGGGTGAACTCGACCTGGAAGCCCGGCTGGCCGGGGATATAGCTTACGGGTGCCAGGAGATACGGCATCTGAGGCCACATGACGGCAATGGGGACGCCAAACTCGATCATCATATCCTTAGCCGCTGCCTCTACGAAGAAGTCTGCGATAATCATGTCGAGCTTGGTGTCTGGGTCGAGCATGATTTCGCGCAAATGGAACCATGTGTCGGGCCAGTAGGAGTCGAAGAGGTACTTGGACTCCATGATGGGCCCGGTGCCGTCGCTGGGCCGCCACGGGATCATGCGCGCGTAGTGCGCTTCAGCATCGGCGTCCGGAAGAGCAGGACCGAAGCTGTGGAGACGGGTGATAGACGGGTAGTTTGATGTCCAGTGTTCCTGGCCGGAGTTTGCTCCGAATTGGACTTCATGGCCGCGAGCTGCGAGGACGGCTCCGAGCTCGAGGATCGGGGCGGCGTGGGTGAAGCCACCGACGGTTGAGCATAGGAGGATACGCCGTTTGGAGGAGGAGTTCGGTTCTAGCATGACTGCGTGTACTCTTTTCGTTCAGGTTTCGATAGGCGTATGTTCTATCTGGATGAACACAGCTTCTGGAGGACAGAGAACTTTTCTATGCCGCCATGAGGGGATTCCTGCGAAGTGGACTGATTATCGATGAGATGGAGCTCATCATGCCGCAACGGTTCGGCATCCCTCTTTCCGATTATTATCGCTAGAGAGGCATGGAAAAAGAAAGCGATACGAGTGTAGTGCTACTTCAATCCAAGGCAAGCATCAGTGTCAGATAGACCCAAGTGCAGGCTTCTACAGTAGGTAGAGAGCCATCATATCACTCAGTGCGTTCTACCCAGAGTTGAGACCTAAGTGATACACAGAATCTTCGACTTTAGGGGGTGAAAGTGGTCTCATTGCTGGTGATATCCATTTTGGCCAAGAAAAAGAAAGCGTGATTGTGAGACGATCCAGCGGACCGGTCCGGTAGTGATTACTTACAACCGGCAGTAGTCAATCGATGCGCCTCATCTGGCCCCAGCTGTGCCCTGAAGTCTTCCCATTTCCCCCTGGCCGAGGATGGCGATGTTTTTTCACACATCCTACTGTCGGTCTCTGCATCTATTGAACGAAGACTTTGCTGAAACGCACCAAGACCGTGTGGAAATACCGGCCTTACCATGTTGCCGTGAGCATAAGCCGCCAAAGGCGAAGGCAAGGCATAAGTGGGTGAGGGCTTACTATATACCTCACGTCGCTTGTCTTGCCGAGTCTCAAAATGCTCAATAAGTCTCATCAAAACAATTGATACGATGAAGGACTTCTCAGCTCAGTTGTTCGGATCGGCAAACCGATGAGTCCTCCTACCATCCAACGTTGAAACCATCAGCGTCATCTCTGTTACATAGCATCCGCCAGCTACCGGAGGCTTGAGTTCTAAGCCTCCGAATATGAACGGTACATGTACTCTATCTAGACAACAGGAGTCGACTTGTCCACGTCAACTGCTTACTTCTCTTCAACAAAAAGGCATAGGTATTGCGGGGACGACGAGAACCCACAAAATCTCACTGAGGCAAAATCGTAGGCTTAGGGTTACTCTTGAGTTTTGATTAACTAGGTATCTGGTCATGAGGCCGGCTACCGCTGAAATTTTCTTTCCACTTGGTCTAACTTTGACCATTAACAATTGTAAACAGCAAACAATCGAGCAACTTAACGCCATGGCAATGACATTACATAGATCCCTGACAGTTTTCCTTTTCTCAACCTCTCCATAGAGCCCAAGTGAACCGTGACTGAAAGCAGACTCGCGCCTTGAGAATCATATTTCCCAAGTATGGATTGATACTCATCCGTTTTGCCAGTTTGAAGTAGACGTTTCGGAAGTTGCCGGTATTTTCGTTACTGGAGAACCAAATCTGACGCCTCCCCAACCCTGAACGAAACGGGATCTCTTCACATCTAACAGCGTTTACGGAGCAGATCCTGCGCTCCGTTATGACCCGGCTCCGTCTTGATTCCCATCTCTGTCTCGTTTCGCTCCCTCTTCAACCCTTTTGGCTGATCGATAGCGAGTCGCCCACCAAATGGAATCGAGTTGGGTACCTGCTGGGGCCTGGGTTGTATCATACCATGGTGCGTAGGCATCTGTGCCTGGCCGCTTGCACCGTGGAAATTGAGACCCGGTAGGCTCTGGAAGACCACCGAAGGCGAATAATACCCGTTTTGTGAGTTGGCCGTGACAGGAAGGTAACTCTGTGGGATGCCGGAGCTGATCTGGCTTGGAGCCTCCTGCGTAGCCGGAAGTACCGTACTGGAGGACAATCGACCGCTTCCCTAGAGCAACGTCTTTGTCGGTTGGGCCTGTTGGGACTCTTCTCTCCAGAATTGACAGCCCGATTCTGTCCACGTTACGCCCGAAATTTGTGGGTGTCCTAGGGAATGTTGCGGCCACTCGTACCGATCACCTCCAGGTTGATAAAAGAGCTTGCCCAGACCGAGGAACAGGGCCAAGTTGCCCCCGGTGACACCATATCTAGCCGCATGAAATTCGTAGACTACTCTTGGACTGTAAGGACCGGATCCGGGTCCCTGGAACGGCTGAACCTGCTAACACCAAGTCTCGAGGCGGGCGATCTCTGTCTGGGTGAGCAGCATTATCAGTTTTGGACTGTCGTCCCATGGCGATGGAACCGCCTCCTTCCAGGCAAAATGCTTGAGGTACTCCTCATTGACCCAGTGACAGAGGAAGATCTCCGGGTTGGCTGGTTGGGTGACGGTGGCGAAGTACTTCGTCACATGGTTATTGGTGAGCATTATTCTGCGTTGGAAGGCTAGGAAGACGTAGTGCTTGGGTACAGCAAGAGCATCCCGCCTCTGGACCTCGTTGAGTCCCATGCTATTCTGTGAAGTAATCGGTTTTGTGTCCATGTTTGCTGGGGTTGGTCTGATGAGAAGATATGTGAATCGAGTATCAGTCTTCGTTGTGTTTCCCACGAATATCACGGCTGTTCAATTGCTATCCTGGAGTATCTGACACGAAGCATTGCGAGAAGTGAAGATCATTACTACTGCGCAAATGCTTTCTCCGGTAGCTCTGCAAATTCTTCATGTCCCTCGGGCATTGGAGATACAAGGTCCCAGATGTCGCTTCTCAAGGTAGCGAAGATTCACCTCCGAAGAACTAGCTGGCTATTTCGACCTCACATTTCAACCTTGAAGTCTCTATCCCATTGACAGTCACGATCCGGCGGCGCATCGTGTAGCAAAGAAAAGCCACTTTTCTAAGGCAGCACCCAGGCTCCAGGTTTATAGTCTTTGTAGGTAGTTCACAACTCCTTCTGCCAGACCCATATCTCAGTCCATAGACTGCTGTCAGTTCCTTGAATCAATACCCAGTCAAGAGTTAGTCAGAGTTCTTCGGGAAGGAAACCCCCAAGCCGGTGAACCCGGGAGCTTCTACTCACTTCCCAAGTTCCCACAAGAAGAACCCCTAGCTAGCTAGAAGTCCCCCCATGGTTTGCTGCAAGGCGATGGAGCTCACAAGGAGAATTTTAGCGACTATTTTATGCAACCAGTAGAGGCATCACAATTGGGTCCAAAAGTGAGGTCGCGACAAGCAATTCACTTACACGCGGCCGGGCGCTTCCTCGGCGATCGACAACCCATGGGACGATGTGAGATTGGAGAGCCGCGCCGTCTGCGTAGACTCCGCAAGACTCCGCACATTTCCCCAACTTCTGGTGCCATTCCGTCACCACATGAACCAACATTCTACCACATTAGCTTCCTCTCTCATCCCACATCGAGCACCTCGCGATTAAGTTCGCACAAACTCGAGCCCTACAGTCTACCGCAGCTGTTAGTAGTTACTCTTTGCCCCGGAGAACGAGCCTTCCTCGGGGCTATCCGTCATTGTTCTCCCCCATCTTTGCCCCCCCGGCATTCGTGTTTCCCTCCGCATTAGTCTGTGCGGGGAAGCTTAAGCTACACCGTAGTCTGGCCGACGACCTTTCTCGTCACGACGATGATTCGTTTTCTTTCTTTCTGTAAGACCAACTGAAGCTGGTTTTCGTTTGGTAATCAATTGACTGCGACTGCAACGCTACACTACTCTCACTACTCGTGAAAAAATGACGCTCAACAGCTGGATGGACTGGGGAGGATGGAGGGGTATAAGAACGGCGGCGAATGCCTTGGTCTCGACGACTTCACTCTGTTGGATCGCCGCCTTCATCATCTTCACTCAGTGTCTCTGGATGCTCTACACCCGCCGCTCAAAGCAGTACCCGAGCGAGAAAAGAGAGAAAAGAGACGACACACAGCGCAACAACGGTAACATGTTCACCCGTGTGCCCTTCCTCCTGTCGGCAATCGCCATCATGGCGCTCTGCGCGATGGCGAGGGTCGCGGAATTCGGACAACCGCTTGCACGGCAGTACTTGGCCTCAACCACGATCAGCAGTGGCCACTCCCAATTCACCGTCCCCGCGTCGGCAGACGAGGGAGCAGTTCTCATCCCCAACATTGAGGACCCCGAGGCCAAGGACCCGCAGAGCGTCTGCCCGGGATACACGGCCTCCAATGTCCAGACGACATCGCACGGGTTCACCGCCAACCTCGACCTCGCCGGCTCAGCTTGCAACCTGTACGGGAACGATGTCGAGGCTTTGACACTCGTTGTCGACTACCTGGCGACAGACCGTCTTCACGTACAGGTACTCCCGCGGTACCTTGGTGCTGAGAACAACACTTGGTTCATTCTTCCTGAGGAGTTCGTCCCGAAGCCCGCTGCAGACGGAAAGGCGAGCTCCGATGGCTCGGACAGCGATTTGGAGTTCAAGTGGGCAAATGAGCCCACCTTTGGGTTCAACGTGTCCAGGAAGAGCACTGGGGATGTGTTGTTCACGACCACGGGGACGAAGCTGGTGTTTGAAGACCAATTCTTCGAATTTGCTTCGCCGCTTCCTGAGAACTACAACCTGTATGGGCTCGGTGAAGTTATCCATGGCTTCAAATTGAACAACAATCTCACTCGTAAGTGAACACTATGCAAGACCAGTTTGTATAAAAGCTCATGGAACCAGGCACACTCTACGCGGCTGATGTCGGCGACCCAATCGACGGAAACATCTACGGCACTCACCCGGTGTACCTCGATACCCGCTACTACCAAGTCGACGCCGATACCAAGGAGGCCGTCTACGTCGCCAATGCCACGGACAAGAACGCCGACTACACGTCGTACACCCACGGTGTTTTCCTTCGCAACGCTCACGCCCAGGAGATCTTGCTCTGGGAGTCCAACATCACCTGGAGAGGTCTCGGCGGCACCATTGACCTCTACTTTTACGCTGGACCGACTGCTGACGCGGTGATGAAGTCCTACCAGAAGACCACTGTCGGCTTGCCCGCCATGCAGCAGTACTGGACTTTCGGTTTCCACCAGTGCAGATGGGGCTATACCAGCTGGGATAACCTGCAGGAGGTCGCAGATGACTTTGCCAAGTTTGAAATCCCTCTGGAGACTCTCTGGGGTGAGTTGATGTCCAAATATCCGTAGCCGTTCAGAACTGACAACTCATAGCCGACATTGACTACATGAACCAATACCGCGATTTCGAAGACGACCAAAACTCATGGGGCTACGAAGACGCCGCCCGCGTCCTCCGCATCCTGCACAAGAACGGTCAACACTTTGTCCCCATCGTCGATTCAGCCATCTACGCCCCCAACCCCGAGAACGCCAGCGACGCCTACCCAACATACGACCGCGGCGTTGAAGCCGACGCCTTCATGCTAAACCCAGACGGATCCCTCTATGTCGGCGCCGTCTGGCCCGGCTACACCGTCTTCCCCGACTGGGTCGGCGCCGTCTTTGGCCGCAGCAAGACGTTCGAGTGGTGGACCACTGAGATGGTGACCTGGTTCCAAAAGGTCGCCTTTGACGGCATCTGGATCGACATGTCCGAAGTCTCCTCCTTCTGCGTCGGCAGCTGCGGCAGCGGGAACCTCACCCTCAACCCCGTCCACCCTCCCTTCCAGCTCCCCGGCGAACCGGGCAACGAAGTCCTCCAGTACCCCGAAGGCTTCAACAAGACCAACAGCACCGAAGCCGCTTCCGTCTCCGCCCTCTCTGCCTCCCTGGCAGCTGCGACATCCACCTCCGCAGCCGTAGCAACCTCGTCATCTATCACTCCCACATCGACATCAACAACCTCCTACCTCCGCACCAAGCCCACCCCAGGCGTCCGCAACGTAAACCACCCCCCCTACGTAATCGACAACATCCAAGGCGACCTCGCCGTCCACGCCGTCTCCCCCAACGCAACCCACCACGGCGGCACCCAAGAATACGACTTCCACAACCTCTTCGGCCACCAGATCCTCAACGCAACCTACAACGCCCTCCTCGCCGTCTTCCCCGGCAAACGCCCCTTCATCATCGGCCGCTCCACCTTCGCCGGCTCCGGCAAATGGGCCGGCCACTGGGGCGGCGACAACGCCTCCCTCTGGGCCTACATGTTCTTCTCCATCCCGCAGGCCCTATCCTTCAGCATCTTTGGCGTCCCCATGTTCGGCGTCGACACGTGCGGCTTCAACGGCAACACCGACATGGAGCTCTGCGCCCGCTGGATGCAGCTCAGCGCCTTCTTCCCCTTTTACCGCAACCACAACGTCCTCGCCGCCATCCCGCAGGAGCCCTACCGCTGGTCCGCCGTCGCCGAGGCCTCGCGCTCCGCTATGGCGATTCGGTATGCCCTGCTTCCGTACATGTACACGGCGTTTTACAAGGCGCATACCCTCGGCGACACCGTCATGCGCGCGCTGGCGTGGGAGTTCTCCGACGAGCCCTGGCTCGCGGGGGCGGATCGACAGTTCCTTCTCGGCCCGGCGGTCATGGTTACCCCTTGTCTCGAGCAAGGCGCCAGCACTGTCGGCGGCGTATTCCCCGGCGTCGGCAAGGGCACCGTCTGGTACGACTGGTACAACCAGACCGCCGTCACCGGCGTCTCTCCGGGACAGAACGTGACGATCGATGCGCCGCTGGGTCATATTCCGGTCTACCTCCGCGGCGGGTATGTCATCCCGACGCAGGAGCCCGCGCTGACGACGATCGAGAGCCGGGCGAATCCCTGGGGCTTGCTGATTGCGCTCGACGGCGAGGGTGCTGCTGCGGGCAGTCTCTATGTAGATGACGGTGAGAGCTTGGAGCAGGAGGCTACGCTCACTGTAGAGGTAATGTTTCCTTATGACAGTCCAAACATAAGGGTCGAACTCAAACGCTAACATGATGAACAGCTCTCCTCCTCCGATCAGTCACTCAAGGCCACTCCATCTGGCGAGTTCAAGGACTCGAACCCGCTTGGCAACGTCACCGTCCTGGGAGTCCAGAGCGATGTTTCTTCTGTTTCTCTCAACGAGAAAGCTCTAGACGGAGCCAATTGGTCCTTTGACTCGAACTCTCGTGTTCTCCACATCACCGGTCTGCAGTCTCTTACGTCTGCTGGAGCATGGTCGTCTTCGTGGGAGCTTACTTGGTCCTAGAGGCCGCCAAAGAACCAAAACACACGGCACCGCGGTATCAATCTTTGTTGTTTATTCAAGAGTATGTAAGAAATGCTATGGGATGACACCTGTAAGAGCGAATGGGTAGCGGATGTCACACCAAAAAGGGTGTTAACTGTACCCAAAGATGCCTATAAATGTTAAGAAACAGCCGAAAAGGAAAGGGAAAAAGGGATGCTCGCCCCTTTAGCAAGACCCAATGCATAATTAGTTGAATTTCAATGATCAGAGGTCTTGGATGAACTGGTCTGTTGAGTGTCAAAATGACCGACCATTTGAAGTCTAGTCATGTCCGCTTATGGTACTCGGAACCAGCGCGACTGCATTTGCCATGTAATAGCATTAAGTGACTGGATCTCACGATTTCGAATCCAGATAGAATCAAGTTTGCTCATAGAATTTGGTATCATTGAATATGTTTATGGCCCAGCATCCGAGCAATGCTGCCACGTCCTGCCAGCTATCCCCTGGCGGCTCCCACGCCCTCACAGGTTGCTCTCGACTCTGCAATTCTAATCTAAATAGCATAGTCACAAGCCCACGCATGCCCCCATCATCGCCTCCCCAAAGGCTTCTCTCAGTGACCACCACGTCCACGGTATCTCTTATTCCCTCCGCCGCGCCACCTACCCCCACGACCGCCATGTCTCCGATCGCCCCCGTGCCCGCGATCATCATGCATATCCCGCTGCCTGTCCCGCTGATGCATCTGAAACATCTCGCCCTCCTCCCTCTCCCCATCCCTCTTAATCTCCCCTTCCTCGCCCTCCACCTTGACGCTCGGCTTCTCCAGATCCGTCCTCCACCTCGGGTGCGCACCATACTTGCACCGCGGACCCTCGGGACAGAATCCCACCAGATAATACACGCACAGCTTCCTCCGCACATGCTTCTTACTGCACCGCGGACCCAGCGGACAGAACCCCTTATCGTAGTGCGGGCACGGCGGCAGCTTGGACTGCGGATCGATGTGCAGGTACAGACACTCCTCGCCGTTGGAGCAGTACCCGTTGCGCATGAAGAAGTTGCACTCGGGCATCTTGCGGAGGTTGTACTCGTGCAGGAACTCGCACGACTCGCCCTTTTTGCAGAGGCCGCGGAGCCAGTGCTTGCAGACCAGGGAAGGCCCTCCCGTCGGGTTCGAGGAGCTGGAGGAGGCGTGGCGGTCTGGACAGGCGGCGCCGAGGGGCAGTGGCCTGCGAGGAAGGGTTTGCATTGCGGGCGGTCCGAGGAGAGCTCGTGGCGGTAGGTTTGGCGGAGGAAGGGAGTGAAGGCGAAGGAGGTTGCTGTCGCGGCGTGGGTGAGGATGTGGTTTGTTTCGGGGCGGGGGGCAACGGCTGCCATGTTGGATGTGATTTGCTGGCGCTCCGGAGAGCTGGTGGGCTTTGAGGATTTGTCGCTCTTCTGTCTCGCAGAGAGTCGTGATGAGGGTATTGCTCCTCGGCTTCGCGTAGATTGTGCTCGGTCTGTCGTCTGGATTGATCGCAGCCGATTTGTATTTGTTGCGTGGTAAGGGTGAAATCAAAAGGGTAGCGTTTTCTGGCGTGGATTATCGCGTAAGGGAAGGTAGAACGCGACTGTAGCTTGTCAATAGAATTTCCAACGTTAGAATACTCAGATAGGCCAGAAGCTTTACCTTGCGACCGCCAGAGAAATTAGTCAGCACAAAGGGAGCTTCTGTGGATCAGGTCCCACCATGCACGACCCAGCGTGCCAGACTTAGAGTTACCTTGCCCACTGTTCACGTCTGTCATGCGCCGTCCTCCCTCTTTCTTCAACAATTACTTACCTACCTACCTACCTGGGGCAAGTGGGAAACCATAATCTTGCCCTGCAGGCTCAGTACCGCAGCTATGGTTCCAATTTTGCAAGTATCGAATTCCGGACAGGCTCAGACATGAAGCAATATGTTGCTTATCTGGGTGGGCAGCGTGTTTATCAAGCATATTCCACGTTTACATGATTTCGCAATATGTGCATTTTCAAACGTCCTTTGTGGCTTACTATGAGCTCCGGTCTCAAGTGTTTTCAACATCATCAACTGGAAAAAGCTTTTATTAAGTTGTAGTTGGCATTTGGCCTCTTATGTAGGCGGAGTCTCCTGGCACCTCAGGCTTCCTCATCACCAGATGATCCTGCCTCAGGGCCGTCATTCTCAGGCGCACCCTCAGGCTTCTGCGCGTACCAGAAGTACTGGTTCATGTAGCGATGCGCGTTCCTGTCTTTGATTGCTTTCCTGAGAGTCGCCAGCCATACCTGCCTCTCGACCGCCTCAATACCCAACGCCTCGAAGGGCTTACCGACAAAGGCTGCAGCAACACTGCTAAGCGCTTCTTGCATGTATTTGCCAACGAGGCGCAAGGTAGGATCCTTGGGCCAGGTTCCAATGGGGCATTTCTTCACTTCGCATTGGATGTTCTTGAAGCCGGCAGCTTCGAGGCGGGGCTTCATATCGCGAGCATTGTGGAAATGAAGGCCAAAGAGGCTGAAGGCTTCATTGCCCATTTCCCAGAAGCGTTTAACCGTGTCATCTTCTGGGACAGTGCCGTCATCGCACTGGACTTCGCCATGGAGCTCCTGGAACTCGATCCAGCCGCCATTTTTCAAGTGCCTGCACTCGAGTTTGAGATTCATGTCAATCGAGCTTTCGTGGACCTGTACTTACTTGTACGAACTGGCAATGACCTTGTCAATCTTCTTCAGCGACATTCCCATCATGCGGAAGTGGACCAGATCAAAATCGTCGCCATTCAGCCAATCATCCTCAGCATCATCCACAAGGAATTTGACGTTGGGGGGAATCCACCCCGGCTGGATTGGTGACAGGTCGATGCCCAAGACTGTTGTCGTAGGAAAAAGGTCGGCGACTCAAATCAAGGTTAGCGCCCACTAGCTACCTCCCGTTATCAGGAAGACATGGAATCACCTTCGATTGCCCAAATGCCTAGGATGGGCTGTTAGTTGAAATGCTCTGAGGATGTTCTCACATAGAATTACGTACCCGTGCCCGTTCCAATGTCAATAATCTTTTGAGGGTTATCTCCAATTGGTGCATAAAACAACTTTCCATCCTGAGATGGGCAATCGCAATGTCAGTTTCCATCTAGCAGACACGATTCTACACGCCGCATATGAGAGCACTCACGCAAAGTTCAAGATTCATCACATGCTTCATGTTCTCCCGGCCCTGCTCCTCGTCATCGTTTGGCAAAGGATACCGGCCATGACGGTAGCTGTGGTAGCGACGTCCATTGTCGTACTCGTGGGAGTAGATGCTAGAGGTGATGGAGCTCGATTCGATGGAAGACACATCCCAGTCCACGGGGTCGAACTCGTTCTCATCCACAGGCCCCGCGGCCGCTTCGATGATGGCGGGGTGCTGAACAGCGGGATTGGCGTTGCTAGGCATGGCTCCAGATAACTGTCCGGTCCACGGGGGCTCCTCGAAGCTAATCGGCGGGAGAGAAGCAGGGGATCCCAGGCTCGAGTCAGACACCACGGAAGTTGTGCTTAGCACTAATGCGCACCGTAGAGCAAATAGCGCTTGGCGACTTCCTTCACCGTGGATGGCAAACAATGATATTTGGTGAATTTTTCGAGTTTTCGCAACCCCTTAACTCGTATGTAACCAGGAGAAATGGGTGGAATTGTCAAACCTACCACCGCGGTAGAGATTGAGACCTCGGAGACTCGGAAGAGTGGGAGAGCCGGGGGTATACTGAAGAACAACATGTGTTCTGTTGGTTCCATCTCACTCGGGTGTGGCCCTGGCCCCATGTTACGGAGTGAGGAGACGCAGCAACATCAGGCAATGCTCCAACGGACAAGAATCACTTCATTGGGTGCCGGCCGAGGTTGGGACCAAAGGGACAGCAGAGATTGGTAGGTAAGTGATATGAAGACAGGGGATATGCTCCGCTTTTGCAAGCCAAGCGGCACAGGATAATGTTTGTCCATGAAAAAAACGAATAGGAAGATGTGACAGAACGGACCTGCTGGAAGAACTATACTGAACTGTGGACTCTGGACAGCCGTTTTCCGGCGAGCTGCATTGTAGCTTTTGTAATTTTTCGCCATGAAGAGGTTGGGAACTCTGGATGGGGAATGAACTAGGTAGATGTGTTAAGGAACAGGAAGCGAAATGGAAAGCAAGCTATGACCCGTACTTGCAGCAGCTCTTGGTAAGAACCGCACGACACAATGGGGGGGGGGGGGGGGGGGGGACGAATAGCTTCAAGTATTACCTCCTGTAAAATCTGGGGTTCGTTACCGCGCTGTCCCGCGATGCCCTCTACTGAGCTGAATTGCCCATGCTTGAGCGGGGAAACAAGAGACATTGGAGAAACTTTGTCGATGCACGTTGCAGAGAAGAAAGAGGAAACAGCAGTTGCCAAGTCTCCAGGGCACTATGAGTACGATTAGGCCAGGTAAGGCACCTAAGATAGTCCGAGGTGACAAGAGATCGGGGAGTATCCAACCAGAAATCAGAGAGTAGTCGTCGCCAGATGGAAGACGATGGATGACCCCTCCTGTTCTTGCTGAGCCGGCCCGTCGCGGTCACGCAATCAGGAAATGCAACCTCAGAATTTAGGTTTCTACTATTTGTAGTGCCCCTGCGAAGTGCGTGTAATGCCTGCCATCTGAAGGTGAACCGTTTTGGAAACAGACTTTGGACGTGGAAGGAGGCGAGAGCAGGCCATAAGGAGGTAAGACAATGAATTTAAGGTAAGTACCTACCTATGCTGAAGAAAGAGCCCGTCCGTGTGGAAGTCGAGCAAGATGGAAGGAGCGAAAACCACTTCCAAGCTGCCCGGTCACCTCAGCTCAGGTAGGAAGGACCCACCTTATTCGGCCGTCCTTTCCTCTTCCCAGGGTTCGAACAATTGATCCATCACGGACGGCTTAGCTCAAGGACGTTGACCCATGGATCATGGTGCAGAATGACATGCGCCTTCCTTTCCTTTTATTCTTCTCTTCTTTCTTCTCTTGCATTTGACCCCATCGCCGGCTCCTTTGTCCTAGATGGAGGAGGGGCTTTACTGCCGATGGGCCCTCATTGCATCCATAAGGTTTCTTCAGTGTATGGAGTTTCTTTCCGTCTCTTGCCCAAGAACTCAAGACAGAGATGGACCCAGCCTGCGGTACTTACACCTTCCCAACTTTCTTTCCTCCGAAGTCCAACCTCCTCTTTCCTGCAGCTGGCAAGCTGCAGGTGTGGAAAGTCACACCTTGCAGGCAGGCGGACACAGACCGGACCCTTGGCTTCCTTCCACAGTAAATTATGGCATTTGGGACATGGAAGGTGGGAGCGAATTCAATGACCCCGCACCCTTCGGCCGATGAAATGTTTGCTCCAACAAGGCCACAAATCCAACGACATCGTTTTTCTCTCTCATCTCATGCTTACTTCGGTCCTGTCCCCGTCTCCTCCGACTCTTTTCAAAAGCGATTTCTGTCAGTAGCTTTTCCAGCTGCTCTTCAGCCTGTTTCTCCCGTCTCCGTTTCCCCCTCATTTCCCCTCGCAGGCATCAGCTGTTGTAGCGCGTTTCTGCCATGTTTTCCATCTGCCATGCCGCCAAACTTAGAGGCGTCCGCCCTGCCCTCGTCCTCAGCAGGCCGGAATCGTCTTGGCGCCTTTTCAACCTCGAATCTCTGAAATGCTTCGCTCCGATGCGGAGGAGACAGAACGTACAATACGATGCCTTCTTCAGACCCTGACTGGAGTTTGCCGGGGGTCCTTCAACTTTTGCCCCCATGGCATCCAATAGCTGAAGCCGACTACTGCGATTGACTTACATATGGGGCCTGCCCGCATATCTTCGTACGTACAGATACCAACGACAGGGTACTGCGTGGGCACGCGGGATGCCTATGGTTGGATCACGGAACCACATCACGGATCAACGCTTGAGAACTCGATTCACTCGACACTCTTGATCGACCTGCCACAGAGAGTATAGACACAATACATATGTCCTCTTATAGTACGGTGTCTCTTGTGGGCCCTTACGACCAGGCCGGCGAGACAACAAGACATGCCCAGTGCTCCGGACGCACATCAAAGACAGCACCTCCGTGTCCGCTTCGCCGTCGACTTGCTATTGGCCCCCGAGTTGCACCAACAATGGGCAAACAAGACAACAATGCGCCCTCGCATAACAGTCACACCATGCAACTGTCACCTATTCATCGATACCCAACTCGGCCATCCCTCCTGCAATGACCTCATTTATCCAAATCGTCGGATTTCCCAATAGTCAGGGCCGCTTCCAATGTTCCGTCATGTGCTGCCAGCGTGGCATGCAGTCCTTCTGCACTCTTCCTCCACCTCAACCCATCGACCCTGTCGGCTGTTTCCATCGTTTGGTGGGGCACATCACGCAGCCAAGCTGCTGCTCCATGTCTTCCTCGACGACCCCTCCCCTGCCCATCAACTCTCGCAACCACGCTACTGGTCAAATCGCCCACTGAGACGGCCGTCTTGAGAGACACAATTCCAGTTTGTCACTTGTCCTCAAACCTCGACGCAGACGCTCTCTGCCCAGTCCGGCTTGCTTGACACTCAACTTCACCGCCTGAAGTTGTTTCTCCTTGCGTGTCCGTGTGTGATTCACTGACCAAACCCCGGCCTGCTGGCGCAAGCTGGGATCTATCCACTTCAAAAACAACAGACACCGCCGTGCCGCCCGAAGGTTTCAGTGCATGTCGATTTGCCAGTCGATCCACTCTTTGCACGTCAGTGTGATGACCGCTGTCTGTAATGGCTCGACTCAATCCAAGGCGAATCTGGCCCTCCTTCATCCGGCCACGGGCAGCAACTGACCCTTGAAGATCGGGAGCGAGTGCGGGATACACTCCTCGGAAACGTCGGTGGGAGCGTGGCACAGCATGACACTTGGCCCATCGCAGGGAAGCAGGTTGTTTTAGAGTTTTGGTACACCACAGCAGAAATACCGCCTCGCTGTCTCGCCGAACGTCTTGTCGTCTTAGCCTGGCAACGCCTCGTGGATTCTCCAGTCATGCTTTCTTTTTTCCAGGCCGGTTTCCCTACTTGGCTACCTACTAATTACTACGGTGCTCCTAACCAAGGACGCGATCGATTCTACAGCTCGAAGCCACATCCAGGGATGGGCGTGGTTTCCCCAGCCTCGGCATCCTAGCTTTAAACTCTTCTCGCCGTTAAGCGAATATCTCCCCAGGTTACCAGAAATGACCGAGGAATGACCACTGTTTTCCAACGTCGCTTCGTGGCTGATGGTGGCGCTTTCCAGAGCTAGTCGGAAATAACAAGCATGTCTCGAATCTGGTTCCAAGTCATCTACCAGTTTCATGCCGAAATTAGTCTTGCTGCGAGTGTTCATTCAAATCGATTCTTTCCGTGATTCGGCAACCCGATCCGGTTATGGCAATATCAACGTCCGTGTGCAAGGGCCGAACGAGCTTCCTATGCAAACGAGGCTGGATGAACAGCCGTGAAGCACTCGATATCCACCTAGACTGTACCTGGTTTGCCGACATCCCCGACGTCTGATTGCCAGAGAAACAGGCACCGCGTGTGCTGAGTCCATCATTGCAGCTCGCTAGACCAAAACTCTCCCCCACTATCGCCCTGTCGCCCTGCCGTGGGCACAACGGCGATGTTCGCATTGGCGACCGAGAGTAGCCACGGTAGGAATGCGGCTGCTCACCACTGTGCTCGCGTCTAAACAACAACAACACACCAAGGCACGGACATGGGCGTCGAGGACTTTTGGGGCGCTGGCTCCCTAGGTACATCACAGCTAAGACCTGCATGCAAGGCCGGGCGGGCGTGGAGAATCCAGCTGGAAGACGCAGAAGAAGTGGACGAACAAAAATGAGTAGGAAGAGGAAGAAGGGCCAAAGTAGCGGTGCGATGCGCAGGGATCATTCCTGTTCGCTGCAACCCTGATCGTCAACTGCCGCCAAGGGTCGGTGGTCGTGGCCGAAGGCCGGCTTCGAAGTGAGGGAACAGACTCGCGCTGGTGCTAACTCACAGACAGAGAGAAGAGAGAGTCAGGACACCGACGAGCGAGCGAACTAATCAAAGCAACGGCGCCAGTGGCCGGGCATGGCCGCCCTACCACGATGCCTTGCAATCTGGCTTTGGCAGCCATCTTCTCATCCTTCTCCGCCTCTTCGTCTCTGGTACAAGGACGGTTCTTCTCACCCGTCCAGATCTCTCATATATGACTTGACAAAAAGTCTCAACACCATCCATCCCCCTGCAAGCGCAAATGCATCCAAGTACTCACTCCCTTCGCACCCCCCCCCCCCAATGATCTATCTTTCACCCCCAACCCAATTATGTCATGCATCATGGCTTCAAAGTATCCTGGACCCTCTTGTAATTTTGATACCCGTCCCTTTGTCTCCACCGCCTCGGACAAGGCCTTATACTACCTTGCCCGTCCCGTGTTCGCTCACCGTCGCATTTGGCTTGTCACTCCCGGACTGTGGTGTCTAGCCAGATATATAGACGCTTCTCCATGCTGTTTGGAGCCACAGAGGTTCGCGCTTGCTGCCTGACCGAACAGCTCATTGCTCAAATATGCAGCTTTGGGTTCAAGTCCTTTTCTTCATATACTGACTGTCCTTACTACCTTTCCCTTGTCACATTGACTGTCAGAGTTGCTTTTCTTTCCGATCTTTCGAACCCTGCCTGTCTTCCTTGAAAGATCTTATGGCAACCAGAATCAAGATGAGTTCTTCATCATCTTCGCGCAAGTCGCGCAGAACGACGAGCATCTCCAACGTCATGTACACCAACGCCGTCTACTTCCCCAACGAACGGATATACCAAGGCGACACGCCGGGCGCCATGAACTATGGCTGCATCAACCATGTTTATTACGCCTTTGCAAATATCTCGCCTGACGGGGGTGTTTTTGTGAGTATACCAAATCCGCTGGTCGCATAGGTTGACTGACCAGACTTTCGATAAGCTGAGCGACGAGTGGGCCGATGCCCGCGCACCAGTCGATGGCGTCCAGGGTGGCCTAGGGTCTCTCATGCACCTCAAGCAGAAGCATCCGCATTTGCAAGTCGTTCTGTCCATCGGGGGCGGCAATTCCAGTGCCGTGTTCCCCGTGATAGCTGCGAATACACTATACAGAGACAACTTTGCCCGGTCTGCCAGAGGCCTGGTCGACGCGTCGGGCTTAGATGGTATTGATAGTGAGTTTTCTTGATTCCACTTGCCTCTGCATTAGTGGGCAGTTAGCTCACATGGTCGATCAGTTATGTGGGAGTATCCTTGTGATTCCCAGCAAGGCCACCATTTCCTCGCCCTGTTGGCAGCTGTTCGCCTTCATATGCCCGAAAGTCACTATCTCCTTACTGCTGCGCTGCCCGCGAGTCGAGCGATCTTACAATACATCGATCTGCAAAGAACGGCCGACTACGTCGACTACCTCAATCTCATGGCTTACGACTTTGCTGGCACATGGACACATAGGAGCGGCCACCATGCTCAATTGTATGCGATGAGCAAGGACGAACTTTCGGGCGCATCGACAGTGCAGTATCTAGTCTCGCAAGGCTTTCCCTCGCAGAAGATCCTACTCGGCATCCCCCTTTATGGTCGCAGCTTCCTTCATGCTACTGGGCCGGGACAGAAGTTCAAGGGAGGTGGCGGGAGCAATGGGACATTCGAGTACAATCAACTTCCCCGTCGAGGGACGAAAGAAGTCATTGACAAGAAGTCTATTGGAGCTCAATGCGTCGGAGGGGATGGCGGCTTCGTCACATACGACAACCCCGACACGGTGAAGATGAAGGCCGCATTTTGCAAACAGAAGAGCCTAGGAGTATGTTTTGCCCCAATGGTACTATCGAATGATACATGTGCTGATGACTCGGATAGGGATTATTCTACTGGAGCGGACCAGCAGACGCAAAGGAGAGCTCGCGGAGTCTCATAGCCACCGGATTCAGAGCTCTGCATAGCTCCTGAAGGGCTATCTTTCTCAGAATGGACCACCTAGGGTGCGTTCGAGACATTCAGCAACAGTCCGCCGACACGTGTCGGCAAACCTCGGCCTCACGGGCCGACGACGGTCAGTGACAGACAGACGATAATTGCATTTGCGCGGAGTAAGGGGATCGACAGCATCTGGTGGCGTTCTTTTTTTCAATTCGGCGACCTGCATCACGGACTTGTTTATTACTCGATTTTCGACATTTGCTCAGATTTCACGCATGATTCCCCCTTGAACCTATTTGATCGACGCATCACCGGGCGGCGGCGGCATGACTGGATTTTGGGGGCGGGGAAAGGACACCAAAAATTTGGGGCGGCTGATGATATCCCACGCGTGGAGCAAAGGGGGGGGGGGGGGGGGGGCGGTGTAGCTGACTTTGCATGGCATCATATGGCTTCTCACGATTTCTCTACCCTCACGACGGTTCTGCATCATGACTCATTATTATAGAAGAGAGCGAGACAAGGAGGGGTGGCATTGGGCGGGATATTTTCTGGTGGATGGAACAAATTTGTATTTCTTGGTAGGCGTCTGGGCGCGTGGAACGCCGTTGACTCGCGTGGGCGGCTCTGTCTCTCACGTCTATTACGATGGGAGCCGAAAGGGCCCGGAGCAACTCCAATGGAGCAAGCACAAAGACCTCTTGTTTTTTTTTTTTTTTGGTTCAGAATTTCTGCCCCTCCTTTCAACCCATCGTGAGATTTTTTGTGTGTGGTGGGCTGTGGGTTGCAGTGTTGCAGTGTTGCACCCACGCACGGCATGTAGCAGTGGGTGGTTGGTTCTTGGAGGGGCGCCTCGGATGGGCCTAGAGGGAATGGAAGGGTTTTGATGTACCCGTACTCCGTAGGTGTGTGGGTAAATTGTTTTTTTCTTATGCGGGCAACCCTGCGTGGGTGTGCGAGTGAGGCAACCCACGCAGATCGCGCGGGGCAATGATATTCTTACTGTATCCATACCGTTTTGATGCGATGCCGTGGGTGCCTCCTCCAAGTGGGAATGGGAGAAGTTGCTCCAAGTGGAAATGGGAAGGGCACAAGGGATACCTACATACATACTTGGAGGGGTTGGATTCATGGATGAGGGAGGGGGGGGGGGGGGGGGGGGGCATTTGAATTCCAGGTTTTTCGTCTCCTTATTCTTCTTCTGTCCTTTTTTGCCCGTGAAGCATGGTGACTTGTTCTATTTGCCCGGTTGTCGATGTCGACCAAGTAGGTATGCGTTGTACCTTACTAAAGTCGCAACCAGGGGCTGGGTTACAATACACTAGAAGAGAAAGTCCCATCGGTATTTTCCCAAAAAGTGACATTTAGCAATGCTGTTCCAACGCAACAGCTGAGATCTGACCAGAGACACACCTTAGTAGGTGATACAAAGACTGCGGGTTGCTGGATCGGGATGGTGTGTAATGGCTTGACAGGGGGAATGGATCACTTTCAGGTTCGGAATTTGGTTGCACAGCAGGCTCCGGATGGGATTCTTGGAAACGAAGGGGGGGTGACAGAGATGACGGCAGAAAGTGGGTGTGCTGCACACGTGGGTTCACATCACGGGAACAGGTACGGGGTCGTGGTGAGCGAGACAGCCTACGGTCGATGACGATGGTTCTCGCCTAGCAAATTCTTGGTCCCAAACAACATGGGTGTCGGTGAAGGGATAAGGTGAGATGAGGTGAGATTCCTCGACCCGAATGAATGTTGCGGTGTGTTTTGCGGTCTGGATCATGGTTCATGTTTGAAAGTTGTGGTGTGGTGTATTGGGACGGAGTCGGGACGCTGGGACATTTGGGGTGTCGGTGTGTGCTAATTAGTGTGCCTCGTGGGAAACTTGTTCGTGGCTCGGTTTCTGCTCTTAGTCACGGCTTCCGAGTCTTCAGAGTTGCTTCTAGCCCTTTGGGCCGGTCCCAGGCGCACTCGTCTTACGTGCTAGTTCGTCCATGGCGTCGTCTTAGGCCCAGGGGATTGAGGAGCCGTGACGACGACGGTGTGTTTGAGGCTCGATATAGCAATCGGGCTCTGACACGCGCCTCCGCCCGGGAAACTTGATCGAGGGACGCCTCGTTCTTGTCCGTCTTGCTTCCAGGCCCATTTGCCCGTATCGTCCAGGATAGCTTCCTTCAGCTCCTGACGCTCGCCTTCTTTTCGAGGCTGCCTGGCTTCTCCTTAGCCTCGACGAAAGCCACGCCCTGGAGTCATCAAGGGTAAGGTACCTAGCATGCTAGCCTAGCACGAGAGCAGGAAGCCGATGCGGCGCACTGACTCGAGAGAAGGCGGGTTAAGCTAGATGGCCTCGATTGTGTTTTGCTTTTTTCCACGTGGGAGAAGGGCGGGCCGCCTTGGTCTGGCAGCGGTGCAGAATCTCTGGTTTCTTTTTCTTCCCGAGATGCGACGGCGCCGTGTTGGAGAAAAGAACGGCGCACTTTTTTGGTTTGGTAGTATCGTGGGAGAAGTGGAGAGCGTCCGTCATGGCTGCCCGGCAGGCAAAGTGCGGTGTGTTGTAGAAAGTGGGCATCTTTTGGACGTCGGCCGATTGCGGGATGGCGGGGATGAAGGATGAGAGGAGGGGGGAGGATCTACGGTGCTTCTCGGGGTTACGAGGGTATGAGAGGCCCAAGAAAGAATGAGAGGGGGGCGAGGAGGGGCGGATTTGCCCAGATTTACATGACTCGGTTATCGGAGTTGAGCCTTGACGGGATGATGTGCTTTTTGCTGAAGAATTCCTCGGGAAGACCAACCCGGAATGCTTAAAACGACGTATGCGTGACGGGGACGTGGCAGGTGATATGGCAGGTGACAATAATGGGGCGATGTAGGACAGGGGAAATGCTGACTTGCGGCACAATGGGACGTGTTGGAGCAACAAGTCCATTGTCAGACTTGAGGAGCTAGATGCCTGCAACGAACTATGCCACGTCTGTTTTCCGAGTTCGCAGCAGGATGCGGGCGAGCCTGAGCGTGGAGGCCTTTCTCGATGATATCGGGAGGCTGGGCTACTCGGATTCGGAAGATACGTTTGCCGCAAAGACCGAGATGGTGTCGGAGTGATACGGAGTGCATGTGAACGTCGCGCCCTGACAGAGTTCTGACAAGTCAGACAAATGTGTTCGTCACCGGTCGTTCTAGGCTGGTGCCATAAGCGGCCGCATGAGCTGGTGTACCCAAACATCCTGCCTGGCTGACGACTCTAGCCTGGCGACAAAGTTGACGTTGGATGGGTAGTGCTGTCCGACTGTCATCCGTCGTCTGATGTTAGCCGTCGTGGTTGGTCAGTTATCAGATCGAGACATCCCTGAAATGGTGGGCAGAAACTTCGACTATCGGAACATGCTTTGGTCCGGTGTTTTGAGGTCCGTGGCTTGAGTCGGGATATCCAAGCAATACGACAAAAGACGGGCGGCGTTATCTTCTGGCTGTGGTCTCCAACCGATTTGTCTGGCAAGGAAGGGGTGCTGTGATTCATCGTCTTGGGTGTTGGCTATTCATGCAACTCGACAGTGATACGACACGAGCGTTTGCGAGTGTCCAGTGTGTTGGCAGAGTAGCACCCCTCCTCCAAGGACCCCCAAATATGGCAAGAGTTGTAAGTCGTGGCTAGCCACAGCCTGTCGAGGTCGCGGCGTTGCTTCCAGCAATACGGATTTCTGGTCGACAGGGTTCCATTTGCCCTTTGTCATAGTGACATGGAGGTACTTGCAATGGATTGACATGGGTTGCAGGCTGTCTTCGAAAAGTCTGTGGCGATATTGGCTTCCGAGTCTTCGGCTATTTGAGCGGTGACAATCGTCTGTTGAAAGTGTTTCCTCGTGTGAACCTTATCCGCAAGAGTAGACTAGAATGACGACAAGCTCATGGCAATGGTAATCGACGTGGCGCCAAAACAATGCGGATGAGTCTCGCCGTGGTTAAAATGAGCTTGAAGCATTTTGATGAAGCTGTGATACTGCCGCCTGTGTCAAGCCAACGCAATGATCCGCTTGGAGGTAGTGCAATCCCCCGTATGATGGTTTTCCATATTGTAGAAAGGCTCCAGGAACACATCAAGTCACGAATCTGGTGTAATTCTGAATGCTGAGAATGTGGGCTGTGGTGCAGGCATTTGTCGCATACCCGAGTTTGCTCTGGATGAACATTCCGAGGACGATTGCCGTAGCCGGTGCAGCTTAGAACCTATCGTGCTTGAAATTGAATGGGAATGGCGAGGCGGAGTGATTAATCGAGAATCGCATTCCATTCATCTGCCTAGGATGGCAAACGTTGCATACTAAATGCTGAAGGACGACAAGAAGTAAGATGTAGGAACCCCTTGGATCGAAGGTTGTAAGATGAAGTGTGAGCGATGAAGTTGTGTAGAAGAGATGGAAGTTGCTGCAGCCGTGGTTTCAAGCAATGCAATTGCACAATGTCAGGCATTATGCAAGGGGGAGGAGCGGTCCATGTTCGCCTTCCCGTAGTGGAACGTCGTCTTAAGGTTTTGCTTGAAGAAGGAAAGAAAGAAATCCATCCCTTGGACCCTTCCCCAGACTTTTTTCTCGAGGTGGGACGATCCAGAAAGTGCGGGACGGAATGGCGCACTGGCGCACTGGCGCCTGCTTCCAGAGCTCGAGGACCCTCTCGGAGCGCATTCCGATTGGCCACGACAGATCCCGTCGCAGATACCCCCTGCGTTCCGTCTTAACACGTGACGACATCTCGACTCGGAGCTCCCAAGACACGCAGCTCAACTCTTCAGGGAATCTGACACATGCAGCAACCTGTCCCGTCAAATCCCGCCAGATCACCATCTTCAACGCAGACCAAGTCTGTACCGTCTTTCAGCATGAACGGGTCATCAATTGGCGGGAAAACATCCCTCGATGCCGGTACGAATTCCACTCCCGCTAGGCGCAGCTCGTTTCTGACCCTGAGGCAGCCGACTACGATCCTATCGAACACCTAAACCACCTCTTCCCGCACCCCTCCACCGTAACCTCCATCAGCCGCGTCTCCGATACACTGCAGAACCATAAGAATGACCTCGCCGTCGAAATCTCCAGCCTCGAGGTCGCCCAGGCCTATGGTCCCGATTCGAGCCTCGAGCGCATGCAGTCAGCCCAAGCCGAACTCGCCCAGCTCTTCCGCAAGATCGAGACAGTACGGTCCCGGGCAATCCAGACCGAGCAGAACATCACTTCTATGACGGCCGATATAAAACGATTAGATGGCACGAAACGGAACCTCACCCTGAGCATGACGGCTCTCAAGCGGCTTCAGATGTTGACGACGGCGTACGAACAGCTGAGAGGCTTGGCCAAGACGAGGCAGTACAGAGACTGCGCGAGCCTACTACAAGCTGTGCTACAGCTTATGAAGCACTTCAACAGCTACAGGAGCATTGAACAGATTGCCACGCTGAGCAGAGGCGTCTCGGAGCTGCAGCGGGAACTGTTGGAGCAGGTCTGCGAAGACTTTGAGATTGCATTTGCCAAGGGAGAGGTCACACAGCGCAGGGGCACGCTGGTGGAGGCCTGTCTGGTTATGGATGCCTTGGGCGACATGGCTCGGACGCGACTGATGAACTGGTACGTCAACACAGAATTGCGCGAGTATCGCCAGGTGTTCAGGGGCAACGACGAGGCCGGGAACCTGGACAACATCGGCCGCAGGTACGCGTGGTTCAAACGCATGCTCAAGACTCACGAGGATGAGCACGCCGTCATCTTCCCGCCCCATTGGCGCGCGAATGAATTACTGGCCATGGCTTTCTGCGACGGCACTCGAGACGATTTCAAGGGCATTCTCGAAAGAAGTATGCGCAAGACGGATGGGCAGAAAATCGACGTCAACCTTCTCCTGAGCTGTTTACAGGAGACTTTGGACTTCGAACACGGTCTGGAAAGGCGATTTGCCAACGAACCACGCGCCAGCATAGACACCCTAAGCTCATCCGACGACAGAGCATCAAATTTCCACGGCTCTATATCAACCGCTTTCGAGCCTTATTTGAGTTTGTGGGTGGAGTCGCAAGACAAGCAGCTTGCTGCAATGATACCAAAGTACCGAAACCAGCCACTGCTGCCAGAAGACGAAGAATTTTCCACACAAGCTGTCATATCGTCGGCCATTGAGCTCTTCCACTTTTACAAACTCACGTTATCGCAATGCGCCAAACTGTCTACCAGCGATAGACTGTTGGATCTTTCAAAGACGTTGGCAAAGTATCTCGACGAATACGCACAGCAAGTTCTTTTGCATATTTTGCAAAGGGCTGGGCCTCAAGGGCCCCCGATCCAAGACGTCATTCTGGTATTGAACACAGCAGATTTCTGGTCTACAAATACCACTCAGTTGGAGGAGAATATAAAGAAGCGCATCGACAACGAGCTTGTTGGAAAAGTGGACCTGTCATCGCAGGCTGATGCCTTCCTTGGCGTAGCCAGCGCTGCCGTGCTGACATTAGTACGCAACGTTGAGATCGCCTGCGAGGGATCTTGGCGCGAGATGCGTAACACAGGCTGGAGCACCATGGAGACTGTGGGCGATCAAAGCTCATATGTTGGTGAGCTTCTATCTTCCGTGAATGGCAAGGCCGAGGAGATCCTAGGCCTTTTGGTCAAACAGCAATACGCCAGAGCGTTTTGCGATAACTTGGTGGACCATCTTGTAAATGCCTACATAAGCAACATTGTACAATGCCGCCCAGTTTCCGAGGTCGGCGCTGAACAGGTAGGATCGCACCATACTCAAGCCCTCACACACGTACTGATCCCATCATAGATGTTGCTTGACAAGTACGTCTTGACGAAAGCATTCGAGAATCTCCTGTCATATCACAACAAGTCATCGTCGACACCACACGCAGCACCAGCGGGCTATGTGAAGCGAGTGAACCAGACAATGAACCGCATAGACCCTCTGCTCAAGACGCTACAAGTCCGCCCTTCGCCGCCAGAGGGCTTGGTCCAAGCCTACCTGATCCATATTGCCGATCGCTCCGACACCAACTTTAGAAAGATTCTCGACCTCAAGGGCGTCCGCAAGGCCGACCAGGGCCACCTTGTGGAACTATTCGGCATTCACCGCGAGGGCAACCTCAGTGACAAGCTCGTCCAGCAGTCTCCACTGCTGACGCCATTGATGGCGACCACGGGACTTGGCAGCTCCAGTCTCGGAGCCATCAACGCGAGCACCGCTCTCACCAGCGCCAGCAGCGCCATGCCCGGGTTGCCAAGCAAGTTTGATGCGACTTCTTTGGGCGAGAAGCTTCTGAGCGCGGCGAGGGACCTTGGACAGGGAACCGGTCCAGGGGGCATCGCGGGTACGGAGAAGGCGACTATGAATGAGAACCTCAAGAACTTTGGCAAGTTCTTCCGGAGGGACATTGGAGGTTTCGGTGCCAGGTTCGGGAAGAGGGACGATAGTGCTGATGGGCAACGATGAGTCGGGGACTTGTGGTTTTAGTTTGACGGATCAGCAAGTAGGGTTGGATAGATGTTGAATAGAATGGTCCCAACTGCCACTGCCACTGCCACTGCCACTTTTTGAGGTCTTTTTAGTCGTGCCATTGACTCTCTACTTCCTTAGGGCAGACATTCCATTCTCATCATCACAACAACCCATTTCATCCATTCTTTCATCAGCCCCTCAAAGCACAAGTCCGTTCCTGCTTCCCCTACCAACAACCCTCAATCCACCCACTCACCTCATATAAATACCCCCTAACCTCACGCAGCCGTTCAAATGATCCCCAAGGCACCGATGATTAATGCCATCGACTCGCTTCCCTTATATCGAGATTTTTCCAGAAAACCTTTGTGCCCCGAGATCCCCTCCAAACAAACAGGTGTCTCTTTGCCTCGATGTGACCCAAAGTCTATACATCCAAACGACCCTCGTTATTAGTCACGCACGTTCATCGTGCAAACATCGCCGACGAATACGAGCGGGTCTACCAGATTCTAGAGATGACTGTTGTAAAAAAGACTGTCTAGAAATAATTAGAAGTCACTGTGCCCTACGACCCGAAGCGGCGGCGATTCCATCGAGAATAGCAATAGCGACCCCAATTTCGATAGCGACGAGTCTGGTAACGAGATACTAGTAATACCCAACAGTCCATCCCGTGATAGTTTTACGGGACGCTTCGTGTCTATTCCGAAGCTTAAGCGCACTAAGCCCGCCCGTTATGGTGCCCGATTCCAAGATTTTATATCCCAGATCTAGCTATAAGGATAGCCGTAAGATGTATGTCGCACCAGGCTTATCGCTGCGCTCAAATACATCGTGGTCATTAATGAACATCTCCTTGTCTGCATGTGACTTGAGGTCTATCATACACGAACAGGACCCCATCATCTATCATATATATAATTATTATCTAACCATTGTTGACGAAGGTGAGAGGTTCTCCCGAATCTGAAAATGAGTGGAAGTTACTGTGTCCTGAGATCCCCTCCCAAGAATAAACGTCTCCTTGTCTTTATATAACCCAAAGTCCGTCGGAAGTTCTTCATCTGGATATCATTAACTAATACGAGAGGGCAATAATCCATTCCATTCTATCCATCCTTTCTTCCCCTGACCCATTGGAGCACAAGGCCGCTCCCTCCTCCTCCTATAACCCTTAATTCACCTGACCTGACCTGCCTGATATAAATACCTCCCGGCCTCGCGCAGCCGTTCCATATGATTCCCAAGACAACCGGTGATTAATGCCATCGACTCCCTCGACATTGCTTGATCTCTGAAGTTCCAGGCTGCTGTGGAAATCATGAAACCTGTTCTCGCTACTCCCTAGGTAATAAATGTCTCTTTATCTTAATATAACAGCCTTTATCCATCACGCACTTTCATTGTGCAAATGTCGTGAACGAATACGAGCGGTGATACAAAATGCGACGAATGGCATGTTTTCTGTCAAAGCAATTCACCCCCTTCATCTAATCGCTGTGCGTCAGCAAGTCATGAGAGACTGATGGAGATGGAATTTAAAGGCCCGCTACCTTTCAATTCAGAACGCTCTCGAGGAGTCACATCGGCTAAGGAGTACCAAAGAACGTGTGGTGAATGTATATATCTCAGAATACAAACCGTGACGAGTGATCGTTGCTCCTCGAAGCAAGCTAACTCAACCATTCAATTACTTCCGTGTGGGCGAGTCATGCGAGACTTGCAAGGTATGGTTTGAGAGCCTCCTAGAGGAATGTTGTCTCTGAGAAGTTAACTTATCATCAGGTTGTTTGGCGGTATGCTTAAAGAAACGTGGGCAATGGAATAATGTCATGATGAAACCAGCCATTAAAAGCCCCCCCTCACACAGTTGACACACAAAACGATCACAGAGGCTGAGACTTGCAAGGTATATGAGAGAAGGGGTGTAGAGAGCCGCAGGCTCAACCACGATACAGCGCTGAATTACTATCATAATTATACGCTTAATCCAACGAGTAGTGATGTGGTAAGAGATCCGAGTGGAGTTCGTCAATCATAGATAGGCCTTTCAGAAACCGCTCTCGGCTTCACTCGCTGATACGGCCAGATGGCTCATCGTAGCCCCATCACCTAAGCGCATTCCTCGGTAGCCCAGAGTCGTCGGCTACGGCTAACATCAGCAGCCGGCAGGCTCGTTGGCTCCTACGCCTCATCGAGCATCTTGACTAGGGTTCATTTCTTGGAACGTTCTTTGTGAAGACACATCCCAATGGGAGAGACTCTAGCCAAAGCCAAGTCCTTCTAAGATGACTTCCAAACGTTGCTATCCAACTTCTCGTCGGGCACAGCAACAAAGTCTTGGTTTTCGTCGTTGTCGCTGCCATCGAGTGATCCATCATAAGAGCTCGTCTGCCACGCCGACAGCTCGTCCACGCGGCGGATGCCCATCATCCAGGAGACGAGACCGCGGGGCACCCAGCGGCCGACGAAGCCGTAGACGCTGGCGCCAAGGCCGACGCGGACGGTGCCGCTGGTGATGGACCCATCGATGACGTCAAAGACTGCGTTGTGGAGGTGACGGAGGGAGCTGCCCTTCAAACCACGGATGCGACCGGCCGAGATGGCAGAGGTGCTCTGCATGACAAAGTTGCGTCCGTAGGCGTGGCGGGCGTTCTCGGGCCACATGAGGGTCTCCGTGGCGTCGGCGTCGACACCGGGGCCGCCTTCGAGGAGACCTCTCTGGGAAGGATGAGTATGCTTCGCGGGCTGGAAGCCGGTGAAGTCGAATGTGCCCAGCTGCATGTGGGTCACGGGGATGCCGAGAGGTCGCAGTTCTGCCGTCAAGACCTCGGTGAAGGCTGATAGGGCGGAGGAGACCGTTGCCTCGGGGGCGTGGAAGGGGGGGTTGATGGAGGAGATGATGGAGGGAGTGAAGACGAGGACCTTTGGCGGCGTCCACTTCTCTCCGGGCGGGCTTAGGCGGGTTGTCAAGAGCGGCAGGAAGGCCTGGATGGTGAGGATGGGGTGGAGGAGGTGGGTGTTGAAGAGGTCTGCGAAGCTGGAGGGCGGGATCGTGGCGATGGGTGAAGTCTGATAGTTGAGCGACGGGATAAGGATGACGGACTTAAGCTGCAGATGGTTGGGCCTCGTCCGCGGTACCGGGGCGTGTGGTGATTGGAGGTACTGGGCGAAGCTGTCGATGGCTGCGCCAGCTCTGGGGGGCTACAAGATACGTCAGTGAAGGCCTAAACTGTACACCGACTCTACTACTCACATCCGTTGTGTCAATGGTCAAAGGCAGAATGTCCGGCCTTGCCAAGCTGTGCACCATGCTCTCATCCTCCTCAGCGTTGCAAACGATGTACACGATGAACCCTCTCCTCTCGAAATCGAGTGATAGCGATCTCGTCAAAGGTAGTGTCGGTGAGCCTGCGATAACGACAACCTCGAGACGGCCACCGTTCCTAGCCCGTTTCGCCCGGCGCGTCTTCTTGCAGAACCTGCTACTCCTGTACGATCGGTATGCCACGACGCCCACGACGGCGACGATGGCACCGGTCAACAGCTTGTGCTCCTTCACCCAGCCGTGCAGCCTCTCGTACCGGCTGATAGCTATCACCTCGATGGGAATGTGGCGGACGGGGGGCTTCGGCCGCACCGAGTCGGGCAGCCATTCTGAGGAGGAGAGCGTCTCTCGTACGGCCTGTGCAGCCTTGTCGACGGTGGGGTTGATAAGGTTTGCGAGGTCGTCAGAGTAGCCTCGGATCTTGTTGGGCAGCGAGGACAGCTGTGGGAGGAAAACGGCGGTGTCAGTAGAGCTCTCGTGATCACAAGCTTGGAGGTGTGATGTGGGGGCGGATGATACTTACAACGTCCAGAAACTGCTGGTCGTCGGCTGACATCTTGTCGGTTTCAACCAGTTGTCAAGCCAAGAAGTGCTACTGAAGAGGGAGTGTTTGAAAGCTCCGGATCTTTGACGTCGAACAGCTTCTTGGGAGATGGGTGGTCAGGTAGCTCGACTCTCAAGACGAGGTAAGATAGGTCAGAAAGTGGACTCGCGTGGGCGGCAAAGGAAAAAAGGTCAGCGACAGACCGCAAAGAGGCAAAGCACTCGAGACCAGTGCTTTCTTTCCTCCAAAAACGGCGTGGGGAAAAGCCTCCGCCGTGTGGGTCCACCCGTTGGCGTTTCACTGGCTGCAGCAGCACCGAAGGGTCCGGGCTTGATCCGGCCGTCAGCGGTGATTGGTCGACGTCATCGCCGAGTCCACCCGTTATCGACCGGCACCGGGTACGTACTTTGAGCTTTGTTTTGCTTCCCGCCGGCTTGCAACGTCACTGCCGATGCCGTCAACAATAGAAGTAGTGCATGAAATCCCATTTCAATATCAATACCCATCTCCAAGCAATCCCCCCCTTTACGCCCCTTTGCAAATCGATGCATAACAACGACACAGCCCCTCAATTCTATTGCGAAAGAATTGATTCACGGTTGCAATAACTGTCCAGATTTTGTACCGACTTCAATTATGCATTCATCATTTGCTTCATACGTCCTTCTCATCAACCACATCCGGTGTTCGCCGACTTGGCTTAGTTGACCAAGTGATACACAGTCCATGAAATAAAACATCCCTTTGCCAGAGCTCAGCCACCTGTAGCTCTTAGAATACGAGACCCTTAGTCTGCTTCATCTCCTTCAAGTTGTAGTTCTTGATCATGAATATAGCAATGAAGCCAAACACCATCACCGAGGTTCCAGCGGCAAGCATCCGCGTCTGTGCATACCCGTACGCGTTCTGGATAGCAAGTCGCTCATCACTGCCCACAGGATAGCTCAGCTGCGTATCGAGATCCGCGTAGATATCCGCCAGACTCTCCAACGCAGACTCGGGCAAATTTCGCTCCAAAGCCTTTTCAAACGTGTTGGTCCAGATGGCCGCAGAGATCGTGTTTCCCACAGAGCCGCCAATGTTACCACAGACGCTCAGCAGCGCGAGCGCGGCAGCGACGTGCTGGTGGTCCACGGCCGCGAGGATGGCAACTTGCATGCACAGAATGAAGACGCTGCCGCCAATCGACGTGAAGATCTGGCACATGACCAAGTACCCGACACTCTGGCCCGGCTGGCGGAAGTAAATCATGAGACCCTGGCCGAACGTGTACAGCGGCACGCCGACCATCAGGAGCCAGCGGAAGCGGCCCGTCTTGGCGATGGAGAAGCCGACGATGAAGAGGAGCACGCCCGAGACGACGTCAAAAGTGTTGCCGACGTAGCCCGCGTTGGACACGGAAAGGTCGTTGACGACCTGCAAAAAGGAGGTGAAATAGCTGTTCCAGCAGTAGTAGGCGACCTGGTACGTGATGTCGAGGACGCAGACGCCAATGACGGTTCTGTCGGAGAAGAACTCGAACTTGAGGAAGGGCTTGGGTGCAAGGTAGAGCTCGTTGAGGAGGAAGAGGGCGAGCAGCACGACGAAGCCGGTGACGATCATGGCGATGATGTAGGCTGATTTCCAGCCGTCTGGGGCGGTGCTCGCGAGGGAGAAGGGGAGAAGAAAGGTGACGAGGCCGCAGGCGAAGAGGACGATTCCAAGGACTGTAGTCAAGACGGTCAGCAATTCCCCGAGTCTTGAGCAATGGCGAAGAGAGTCCATTGAGTGGGAAGAAAGAACATACCATCAAACTCTATCAGACCCCACCAGACATTCTGAACAAAACTACGGCCGCTGGGCTCGCGCACCAGAGTGCCTCGCTTCTTGGCCTTGTGGATGTTCCACTTCAGAATGCTGTACATGGGCACAGCGACGACAGGCAGAACGATGGAGAAGCAGCCAAAGCCCCAGCGCCAGCTAACGTTGTTGAGGAAGCCCTCAGCGGCCTTGGGACCGGCAAACGCAGTGATGATGTAGGGTGAAGAGGTGAAGGCGAACGCCAGTCCTCGGTTCTTGACGTGGGTCGAGTCCGCCGTGATCACGTCGATGCTGTACGTCAAACCGGACCAGCCGACTTGCCAAAAGACCTAGGGATTTCTCAAGCGTGAGCATTTGGTCGTTTTGCGTGATTGTCGATCAAATGCGGCAAAGGTTCAAACTTACCGTAGCGGCACAATACGTGGCGAGGTTCTGGCTGGCGGCCAACATAATCATGCCCAGCGTTGCGAAGAGCACCATGAGCAAGAACCCCTCCGCTCGACCCCAGAGATCCAGAATCTTGGCCAGCGGGATGTACACCGAAGCCGTCATGGCGCTGGACACAATGTCGATGACGGGGAGCAGTGAGTGCGACTCAAAGTCGCTGGCCGCAAACGGCGTCAAGCTGTACAGCACGGAACTCTGGAACCCGTTGGTGAGGTACAGAAACCACATGCTACAAACAGTGTCGACCATCAATCACATCGCTCTTCAAGTTACGAGAGATCCGACAAGGAGTCCTTACAAGATGAAGATGGCAATCAGCGAGTTCTTGCCCCACGTCAAAGTCAAAGCCTGCGCCAACTTGACACCATGCTGGACCTCCTGGCTGACCCTCTGCTCCTCGCCCGGCTTCTCGTCGTCGGGCGGGATCTCACCCAGTTCCTTGTCGTCGTTGTTGTTGGCGGCACCCGGCGCCGTGGTGAGGGTTATGGGAGCATCGTCAACTGGGGCCTGCTTGCGGCCGAGGGCCTCACGTAGCTGCGAAATCACTGCCATGATCGGCTTTACACCAGAGACACGAAAGTGCAGAAAAGACAAATGAGCAAGGCTGGGAACACAGCCGGCGATGGGGGGGGGGGGGGGTTCGCTCGTAGTTAAAGACCTTTCAGAGGACGCAAATATGTGCCGCCCTTCTAGCGTGCCACTTATTGGTGACCTCGCTAAGTTCTAAACCATCCCATCACGAACTTAGCGGCCGGAAGGATTCAACTTGACCCACGCACAGGACGTCACCTTCCAACAACAGGCTATGATCTGATAAGATGCGGATATTCGACTCGCCCACGCTCGCATAGTCTACAGTCAAAAAGTACGAACACAAACCCACGCGCAGGAGACCGAAGTCGGGCTACTACCTCACTAGTACGTTGCTCGCGCCCAGGAACCGAGAGGTCGGGAAGCGACCCCATCATGGTGTCGGATGAGGGGCCAAATTATAGGATGGTGTTGAGAGAGAAGACAGACGAGACGGAAGAAGAGCCCTGGGGACTTTTTGCGAAGGATCCTGCGAAAGCACATGGGGACAGAGCTTGGCATAAAAGAGACCCGTAGTGCCGGGTTCCCGAACCTTTTCAGTGGGATGGCGGGCGAAGATGCTCGGGATGGTGTTATCTGATTGATTAGATTAGATGGGCCAGACTGCAGACTTGGCCAGGCTTGGCCGGACTTGGCTTTGCGGGCCGGGGCGCTATCGCGGAAGTGGTCTGGCGCGGGGGGAAGCTATTGGTAAGAGGAATCCGAGCAGAGGCAACAGAAATTTTGTGTCCGATCTATGGTTTTGCGTGGTTTGTTCGGTGAGCCGTTCCTAGAGGCTAGAGGGGGAGCTGACTGCTGGGTCTTTTCCGAGGTTAGCTTTAGACATTCTACCAATAGCATCTCTTCTTCTCGATGCTTTGTGTTGTCGCCTTCGCATTCACATGCGGCTTGTATCCCGGTCTCGGCCTCTCGACTTGGGGCTGAAGCAAAATATCTACCCGGAGAAAGGTTTCCGGAGAGAGACTTCTGGCACCGCATCGTGGACCCTCAGGAGCTTTCCCTAAATGCGGAAACCTGCGCCCTGGTCCTGTCTTGATGAACTCTTGGCTTCCCAGCCCTACGGGCTTTCGGTCCGCCAGCTCTTGCATGGCAACCCAAGCTTCTTGGGGAATTGGATCACAGTAACGCCGCCACAATTGAAAAGAAGTCTTTCGAGAGGCACTTCAAAAGAGTCTCGAGTGGCAGCAGAGAAGCGCGGAAGATTACGGACTCACGAGAAATGGGCCGCCAGCGGGTCCTGCTCCAAGCGAACGCGATACTTCTTTCTAGTAGACACCCATTACGTAGTACGTCCGAAGAGCAATCCCCTAGTCGCGCTCTATACTGAGACCGGCCATGAAGAGTTTTACCTCTTCAGAGCGCCGGTCGGTGTATTCGGCGTTCCCTTCCAATGTTTAAGGCCCAGGAAGATGCGTAAACGGCCAAGTCAACTTTTGTTCTCGCCACGCAACAGTCTACCAAGGAGAATAGCCGGTTGAAGTTTGGTTTACTTGTTGAATTGGTCAATGAATCAGATGCTAGGTCTTCTTCGGAACGTGGAGTTTGTGATCCCGTCCAGGTGGCGTGATCTAGTCGTTTGGTGGTGCTCTAGGATTCCGCTCCTTCAAGAATGTCAGCTTTCACCACTTCTGAGTCAACAAAGCCAGAGTGGAGGCTACAGAGTTCTCACCTACAAGTAGCACCGAGTTTGGAGATCCGTACAGAAAGTTAAAGTACGCGAAGTCGAGGTAGAGTATGGGCTAGCTTTATCTCCCGTCTGAGATGGGAGACCCCTTTCAAGTCTGAGATTTTAGATCCTGTTAAACCGTTATATTTAGCAATCAAAGAGAATAGAGATCCGTCAGATGCACGTTAACAATCGATGTTCTCACGAATGACTCGATTTAAACCGTCTCTATACCGTAGGATGCTAACCCGAAGGCTGAATGCAGGCTATAAGGGGACGGAACGAGCCGACAATATGTTCTAGTATGTATGCTCAGTCTGTACTCCTTCCTAATTTCATTGGCTCTCGGAAATATGTAGATTTCATTTGGATTTAGGCCTTGATATTCCAGCGAAAACTCATCAACAAGGTAGGGATGTCATATCTGGAGGGAAACGACACAATTCTCCAACTTCAAAGGCAACATCCAAATAACTACCCTATCCTCAGCCATCAACCAGGTTTTCCCGTGGCAAATAGTTAAGAGATCTGAGGGGATGATTGAGGTAAGCATGAAATAACACAGAGTCAGACAGATATCCGACATTTCATCAAGTCCGGCTCCGGAGGTCGAGGTCGAGACTCACCGTCTACAAACGAGGTGTCGAGACATCCAGGTTTACACCCCTTTTCAGACATGGTTAACTTTCGCTTCGTGGCGAGTCTTGTTGCAGGGACAAAGCCTCGTTCATTCTAGTCAGTCTTCCAAAGTCATGTTCAGTCTACCTGGTAGAAACTCTCCTATGGCCCGGCTCCGGGGTCGTCACGGTCGCCTTTCAACGACCAAAAGATTCGCTTTATCAGGTTTGCGGAGCGATCACCGCTCGAACCGTCGGAAACTCCTATCGCAGTTGGCTCGCTCACAATTGAATATCAACCTCGGCGGGTGAACTCTTGCGCCAGGAGTCGTTGACTCTCGACATCTAAACATGCTTTTCTGCCAAAGTGATCTGTTGGTATCCCTATCACAGGGAAGTTGGTTCGAACCGTAGGGTCCTGGGGGTGACGAAGTATCAATATCTCTGTATTGATTGATTCTGGTGCGTAAGGAGTAGAGGGGAGATTCCAACCGGAGGTTAGGTGGACCGTCGAGGTGTAATTGTACCCTCTCGAGGTGGCCCCTGCTCTACCCTTACTCACGGTCGAATTGGGCTTCCAATCCGACAGATCACTGCCCTTGTGACCTGATCGCGACTGTACGATATATACAAGTAAGCCTCAAGTTTAGATCATAATTCATGCCCTGAGGGTCTTGTCACTAGCCGGAATATGAGGTACTGGCTTTCCTAGATACTGAAGACCTAGTTGAAGAAAACTCCCTCTCGCCTTCGACGTGCTCACATATAATGCGATGTACTGGTCGCTGGCGCAGCTCCACAGCCCTCGATTACCTAGGCAGGGTTTGCCAAGTATACAATCTATCAAATCCCTTCAAATCCAATCTTTAAAGATCTGATTTTTTTTCAATCAATCCAATTTAAAGGTTAACGCCCTTATACTAAAGCTACGCGATGCTGTTTCTCGTAGACATCCTTGGAGGCTTTTCTGTCAGCTTCTATCAGGGCATCAAGCTGTCACGCAAACACAGGGCGGTCCGCTGCTGCTATCCATCAAAGAATGCTCAACAGATACGTCTATAGCAGCATACGGAAGAGACCGATGGGGCCATTGCCCAGTTACGAGATAATTAGCGACAAATCGCTCAGCACTTGACAATGACGTAACTCAACAGCAACATGTACCCTTGCTGAACGGTAGAGCTGAGAACTTTGACTACATAGCTTTGACAACCCGCGGAATGAAAATATACTTCAAAGTAAGGCGTGATAGAATCAACTCAACCGACGAGATTTGCTTTTGAAGCTCTTGCATGCGTCCAAACCAGTCCTTGTAGCATCGCATCCAAGTATGAGAAAAACGAACAGAAAAAAGTCATCGCTAGGACGTACAAAAGCAGACGTACGTCGCCTAGTGTAGTTAGTTTCCAAGTACTCAGTCGGTGCATACTCTACTCTTCAACGCCGTATATATACCTTGATACATGGCAGACAAGCGTAGTCCCGTTGAGAAGGCTCACAATTCGGCTTATTCGCTTTCCTTCCGTGGGCCGTCCTTCTCCCAGTTGACCTAGACACTTTAGAAACAGCTGACCATGGCCCAAAGACTTTCTGAATCCAAGACTGCCTCTGTGGTAGGTCTGCCATCTGCTTGAACAATCTCGACTTGTCAAGCACACTGCGTCGAAGACGCCAACGCCGCCTCTCCGCCGTCAAGACACCGTCCATCACATTGCCCCCCCCCCCCCCCCCCGCATCTTGATCCATCACCGACGAGGGCATCTTCTTTGATCATCGCATTGGGTTCCTCTCTTCGACGTCCGCCTAATGCCTGATCTCGAAGACTTACTTTTAGACCATCGTACTTGTTCTTATCAATATACCTCTCCCCCGCCCAACCTCGTGATTCTCAGGCAGAGAAAGATACAACGATTGTCACTGACTGATACTTCTCGCCACCATTCTCAAAAACTCGTCCTCCTCCTTCCAACACCGTGACCAGTATCTCAAGCCGCTTAACCCCTCCCCCGGACTCCCGAACCCATCTCAAAATGCATCAGGCCCCATCCGACAGTGCCGAAGACAACAAAGGAAGGCCACTCGTAGAACGCGTAGGCAGTGAGCTCAACGTCTACGCACAGCCCAAAGTTACATTTGCATTCACCTTTCTACGCAAACATACTCACAAGACCATCAACGTATGACCTAACGGCGAACGCAAGCCGCCCGAATCCCACGTGCCTCCAAGCTCCCAACATCGGAAATTGCTCGACACTCTTCAAGCAGACATCGCGCGCAAAGTCATCTACCTACACACCCCGGGGCCGTCCTTCATGCGCTTACAATATCCCCCATCCGAAATCTCGATCCCTCCAACATCGAATTCTCAAAACCCGGAATCCAAACCCTCCCCTTATCCCTTCCTCCCCATCATCCATGCATACGAAGCCATGTACAAATCACAAAACACCCTTCCCAGCGAGGACAACATAATCAAAAATCCGGGATGACCCCGGCTTTCACAAGCAATAGCATAAAACTCCAAAAATCCAATAAGATCAGACGAACCACCAACCGTTTGACGCGTACGGGAGATGAGATGATGTGTACTTCACACATGGTCAAAAGGCCAGCACGATCCCTGCCCTGTGCCGACACAGACCAATAAATATCCTCGTTCATCAACATACATACACAATATCAACCACAACGTCTATCAACCTCTCAAAGATCCAAGGCCCCAACTCCAAAGGACCAACTTTGAAAAAAGCATGGTCCGGGCCCCCTAACCATCCCGCCGTGACGCTCCGGCCGCCCCGGGTGGATTTCTTGTGAGGAGGGATCTCGCATCATGCCCCCCCCCCCCCCCCCCCCCCCCCCCCCATGATTCCCGAATGTGACTCACCGTCAACCCAGACCGAAACCCAAATATCGCCACCAATACTCCGTATTCAAGACGCAAATCCAAGCCGTTCATCCACAACCAAAGAGGTAATCAATGAGAGCCCGAGCTGATACCTAGTAATCCGAATGCGCGCACATCCCGCCACATGGCCAACGCATCGAAAGCTCAAAGTTCCCCCCTTGCTTCAACCCCCAACCCCCGTCGCATAAAAGCCGTCAATGCGCAAACGAAAATCCCCCTTGTAACAAGGCAACCCCCGACGAGCAAGAAAATAGGAGAGGTTGGAACATCAAGATGCATCAATAGCATTGTAGACTCTGGCAAACTCATCTGCCAACAGTGGTGTATGATGGGTAGAATAGTTACGACAATACGGAGCACTAGAACAGTATTTTGGATTCAATTGCAATAATCCTTTGACTTTGTAGGGCACATCCCAAGGCCTTTGTTCAATCCTCGAGCAACCTTTCCAAAAAAAAAAAAAAAAAAAAAGAAGCACTCACCGACAAAAATCCGCCCTGAGACATACGCAACTACACCGTTCGTTACACAAAAGGGAGAAAACACCACCACCACCATCCATCTCCATGAACCAACGTCAGTCCTCGAATCCTACGCATCCCAAGTTCCCAAGTTCCCAACCTCCCTCCTCAAAATCTCACCTAAAATCCGGCTCAAAATAAGGACACTCGGCAACATCTCACGGACACAGAACCTGGAAAACCATGCAATGCACAGCTCACATCCCGGCTCCCCCCCCCCCCGAGCTTACAAGTACGAGGTACCTCCCGTCCGTATCTTTCATTTCCCTGCATCGAATAGCTTACATAACCCAACTAATTCTCTCCCATCTCCACTCCCTAAAGAGGCTCAGCCTATCTCTCGTCATGTCACTCCCCAAGCGGAATTGTGTCTGTCATGTCACTGCGAATTTTCAGACGAAAAGATCAAACCCTCCATCAAGCTTTCCAGTGTTCAGATGAAGACTTCGTGCACTTCATGGTGTTTTAAACCCCTCACATGGGAATCCCAAGGGCATCCAAACATTTGTACGGTAGTGATTCACAGACGCGGCTCATGTCGAATTTTTCTTCTTCTTTTTTTTCTACCATTTCGCGTGTGTCCTGCGCAAACCCATTGCACCTCAGCCAACTGAGAAAGACTTCCAACCAGCACGAGAAGCTCATTCGAAAATCACTCGCATAGCATAAGATAGTGACATGCATACCCTTATCCAGCGCATAAACCTACCCGACATCATCAAAAAAGTCCAATAGTAGGCCTCCTGCCGCTCCATCCCGCGTGTAGCGGGAAAAACCACTAATGCAACAGCTATGATTAGCCCGCGCAGCCCACGCTTCCAAGCACCGGGGGGAGGAGGCGGGCAGGGGGATGAAAGGAAGGAAGGTGGACAATTCATTTCCCATGTGGGCTTTCAAGGAGCTCGACCCTCCCCCCTTGTGTGTGACCATCGCCGACCCCGTCCGTCACACACATGGAGGCCCAGCACCAGCCAAACCATATTCATCATTGAGAGACATCACCACAGAGCACAAACACAGAGACATGGCACACAAAAGTCGAGGGAACTAGAGAATGTGATCGAAAAAGTAGCAGAGAATTTTTACTCTTTTTTTGTGCCTTTGTACAACTACCTTACACCTAAGGGAGTCCAAATGCGGGTTATACGAAAGTCTCGAGGGCTCTCGCCCCGGCTGGGTAGGGGGACACCGTATCATGGTCGTCCCTTTTTTCCCTTCTCTCCATCCAGAAATTTCTTCTGGTCATCGAAAGAGAACAAATCCAGCCTTGTCTCCAAAAGTAACGTGTGGACCAGAAACCGATTCCCCGGGTATCCCTTTGTATCCATTGTCGGCCAATTAGGGGATATCCGGCCTTCAATGGTCAAAGTAGAGGGAAAACAATCTGTCCACCACTCTCGAAATGGTTGATTCCAAGGTGCGAAAAAAGTAAACCGGCCAGGAGGAATTCGTGTGCTCAATGGCCGCATGTTTCCCTTCCTTGAAAGAGGCCAAGAGTTCTCTTCCCATCTGGTCAAAGTCTATCGAGGCCCCGCCGATCCGTCGAAAAAAATCCATTTTGCTTCTTTTTCTTCCTCCTTCAAGAATTTCCATTCGGGTCGAATCTCGTCGTGAGACCCTACAATCTGACCTTCGCTGGCGTCCCTTCATTGGCGTGTTGGTGAATGGGTCGGGGGTGTCGATATCTCGTCGCCCGGATCCAACTTCAATTACCGGGAAGGATGACCGCTGTGATTTCAATCCTTCACCCTTCCTGGGGTGACCATCTCGCGAACGTAAAAACTCTTCGTTGGGATGTGTATTGTGTATGTAATAAAAAGCCGCTGAATGCTGTTGAGAAAAAAATAACTCGGGGGTTGTTGGGGTATGATCCGTATTCCTTTTTTTGGGACACTTCTGCTGAGTGAAAATGGACTTTGTTGCATTAAAACAAATCGCTCGATGCCATGACGTGTGAAATAAAAAAAAACCCATTCTGTATGCATGCGGCAAACAAATCTTTTTTTTTTTCCTTTTTAATCCACTTCCTGGGATGTCGCTCAATTGCCCTGCCACGGGTAGAATGAGGGAAAAGCTTCGATTGCCCGTATCGTAGCGTAGCGTTGGTTCGCTGTGTGGGACTCCGCGGGGCGGACCGACAAGTCGGTCTGCTGGGATCGACTCGTGTTAGTCGACGTTTAGGCCAGATGGTGGCCCGTCGTGTGTTGGTGTACAAAGGGGGCGTATTGCTGCTGCACTTGTTGTTGCGCGTATGCCGCTGTGTTGGGTTGCGGCGTCGGGGTGACCGGGCATCTCGGGGGAATGGAGTATGGGTCCTTGTTGACGGTTCCGTACGCGGCGCCATCAGGGGTGATTGGCGGGGTCATGTATCCTTCCACTACTCCTGCGACAGCTCCGTGGCCCTTGTGGGGGGTGCTGTAGATGTTTGAGTGTTTTGAGGCGGACTCAGAAGGCGGACTCGGAGGGACCCCCGACTGCGCTCGCGCAATGCTGGCTTGGTGAGCCATGAAGGACGCAAGCTTCTTCGCGACGCCAGAGTAGTGTGATGATGAGTACTTTCTGGCGAGGGCGACGGAGGGGCTGTGCAGGTGTTGAGAGAGGGTCAGCAGGGTGACGTTCTCGACGTGGTCCCACTCTCCATCATTGATCTCGGGCTCGCCAAGGATCGCTCTTGCCAAGGCGAGAGATGAGCGAGCCATGATGGAAGGCTTGGTAGAGACGAAGTCGCGGTGGTACAGGGCAATCTCGCAGATGTAGGCAGCCATGTGCTCAACCTCAACGTTGTCGTGCTCCTCAGCGACGATGAGCTGGGTGAAGAAGTCGACGGTGGGGTGGCCGATGGTCCACTCAAGAGTGTTGAGGACGTGCATCTCCATCTGGGTGAACATGCCGGCGTCGTACAAGCCACAGCACATGTTGTTGAGCTCGTGGATCTGGGGCACGCGGTCCTTCTTGTCACCGTACTTGGCAGCAATCAGTAGAGCGGCGCAACCGACGAGCTGGTAGTGTTGCTTGTAGACGACACGCTTTGAGCAGTACCGGTCGAGGAGGTTGACGGTGAGGAAAAGAGTCTCGGGGAGGAGGGCGAAGGCGGCATGGGCTTCGATGAGAAAGTCGATGAGGTAGGGTCTCATATACCATTGGATCTCTCGTTGCATATCGATGAGATTGGCATCAGGCATCGTCTCATCCTGAAGCTAGGTGTCAGTAAACCCGACCCACATTGAGACAGTCCGCTCCTTCCTCGTGTTCTTACCTCCATGTGCCTCATGTGCTTCATGATATCCTCCAAGTACTCATCACCAGCTATCCGGGAAAGCTCGCTGGCGATAATCTCCTGCCGTTGCCTCGCAATCATCTTGGCGGCGTCCCGAGTGCCCATTCGTGGCCTTTGGGGTTCGTCGTGGTCCTCTGTGAAGAAAGCAGGGTCGGAGTGCTGCTGTTGTTGTTGGTAGTACGCCATTTTGGATTGTGATGTGGTGAGTCGAGGGCGTGTGTAAGGGGGGGAGGGGTTGGCTGACGAGTCGAAGTTCCGAAACGGGAAAGAATGACGATGAAGTTCTCCAGGAAGCTTTTTTTGGTGGTCGGAGACGGAAAGACGTGAAAAAAGAAACGGTAAAAAAAAAAAAGTCTTCAAAATCGGTGCTGTGAAAGAGTGGAATAGTGCAACCGAGGGATTAGAATATTAGTATTAGAAGGAGCGTGTTGAAAGAGAACAGGGTCCGGCAAAAGAGTGACTGTGGCTGGATGAGAAGCCGAAAATGATGCGAGACCGAGTTCCTCGTGTGAGATTGACGGACGGACGGAAAGGTGGCCGGGAAACTTGGCCGTTTATGAGAGAAGGTCGAGTGGATGGCTCTACAAAAAGAGAGAAGATTGGGTTAGCTCGCGGTTCGTTTAGACGATTGCAGGTGCTCGAGTAAGCCTAGAGCAGTGGACAAAGTGAGGCAGGCAGCTGTTCAAAGATCGACAACGGGGCGCGGTGAAGGAGCAACCGGCTTCTGTAAATACCGCTTGGTGCCGATCCAAAGGGGGCAGATCTCCAACTCAGATAGCGTCGCCCTGATTCGACCAGTGGATGGATGGTGGGGAGATGGATTGGCACGAGGGGAGATGGGGGAATCATCCAGATTGGCGTCTCTTGACTGTGGGCTAGGCAATGAGAGGATCGAAGGGGCGGAAGGGGGCGAGCAGAGGGCAAGGTTGAGGGACTGTGTGGGGGAAAGGGCAAGAGTGAAGTGATGGCGAGGCTTACCGCCACAGTGTGCAACTTTGACTGTCAAGACAGACGAAATTGAGACAATTCCTGAGGGTTGGATTGGGGGAGCGACGAACGAACGTATCCCCTCGAGCTATCCTGACCTCGGACTGGTGGTGGTTTGGTTGATTGGCGAATGTGGGGGGAAACTTGTGGACGTGGATCGTTGAGTAAAAATACCAACGGCACGCAAAAGCTGTGAGGGAGGAAAGAGGTAGAGTTTAGAAACCGACTTTTGACAAGATACGGTAACGTAATGGGGATGAGTGCTTGAAGTGGAAATGGTAGTAAAGGTGGTGGTGAACGGAGGAAGCTCTGGGTAGGGGGAGGTTTGGAAGATGGAGATGAAGGTTCATCCCGTCGTCAGGCTGGAACTGAGCAGGGCGGGTTGAAAGGTGATGATTAGGCAGGACAGGCGCACCACATCTTCATCTAAATTGCATTGTTGCAGTAAAAAAAAAAAAAAAAACGTACCTTTTCACAGACGGTGCCCGAAGTACAAAAAGGGATGATCTATACTATAATCCTGATGGGATCATGTATGAAGTATTCTCGACGGTCTGACAAGCTTTGAAAGAAAGCAATGGATTTCTTTCCTTGTCCAGGGAACCTGGGACTGGCAATCCACGGGGACGAAGAATCGGGCTTCTGGAGACGGGAGTTGCTCGAGAAGGGTTGGGCCGACACAATCCAAGATCGCAAAGGGGCTCTTGGAAGGAATGAGGGCGGGATGGCAGGCCGGCGGAACGAAAGGGAGTTTCGTGGTAGTCGTCGGAGGGCCGAAGATGGGTGTGTGGGTTTTGTTGCTGTCGTGGGAGTTGCACGTCTGAGTCGAGTCGAGTTCCTTTGGGTCGTCGTCGTCGTCGAGGCGAGGAATCCTTCAGGGGGTGTGGGGTTGGATTTGGTCGTCGCGGGAAGGGCGGACGGTCGGGAGAGGGATGCAAGGAACGGGAGGGACGTGGGATCTTTCTTGTCTTGTGTGATGAAAAAAAGAGTGTAGAAAATACCAATCAAGGTCTTCTTCACTATATCTTTAAATCGAGTGCCAGTCTCTTTCTCTTTGTTGCGTGTCCTGCTGCTCTCTTGTGGCTTTTCCGGTCACACTCTGCAAGCTCGAAAACTTGGGAATTGGCGAACCGTTTCCAAATGTCGAGGATTGTCGGGGAGTTGATGGGAGTGTGAGGGGGGCGTGTGCAAGACGAAGCTGGTTCGACCTTGACAGCTTTGGGCGTGGTTGGTGTGGTGTGGGTGAGTTGGGAGTCGAGGGAGACGAGTCGGTTCAGTCAGGGAAGGGACGTCGCCAGATTAAGTCTTCTCTCTTTCTCCTACCTTCCTCTTTTTTCCTATTCTCTGTAGGGGGGGGGGGGGGGAGAGGATTAGAGAATGGAAAGACCCTTTATTCGTTTTCGGCGAGCAAAGGAGTCAGGAAGGACTGTCTTCGGGGAGAGGAAGAGGAGGGAATGAATGGATGGGGAGGGACGAGGAGGAGGAGAGAAGGGGGAGGAGAGGGTAGGTAAAGGGTTGGGGAGGAGGGCCGAGGTGTTTTAACAGGCCCGGCCGGTCGAGTCTCTCTCTCAGTCTCTCGGTCTCTCTGCCACTCCCCTTCTCCTGCGAGGAGAGAAAAAGGTACTTTGGGGCCCGCTGACGGCTGGGTACAAGGACCAAGTAGCTACGTAAAGGTGCAGCTTTGGCCCTTTTTCTGAGAATGTGTGTGTGTGTGCGGGCAGGTGGGAATGATGGGGTGTCGTAAGTGTGTATTTCGTGCCTGTTCCCTGATGATTATTACTTTCCGTAGGTGTCCATGTGTGAGAGAGACAAGACAGAGAAGGAGAAGAGGGGCCCGGGATGAACGAGGGAGAGAGGAGAAGGAGGAACGGGAAGAAGAGTGAGTGGTGGAGAGGGGAGAGAGTGTGAAGGAAGGGGAGGGGTGTGCAAGAGAACAAGTGCGAATGAGCTGGTGGTGCCGGTACGAATGCTTGGTACATATTCCGTAAGGAGTACGGAGTACATGCACCTGGGTCGGCACCAGCACCAGCACCAGCACCAACTTACCAAGTACAAAGTCCCCCCAGGTGGATTCCAAGAAACGGCACGGTACTTTCCACTGCCGCTGCTCTTGCATATAAACCCAAAGTATCTTGTTGTGATATCGACAGGGAAGAGCCTGGGCTGGACACAGGGCAAGGGGGGAGAGGGAACTGGGGGGAGAGGGGAAGTGACCAAGATGTAGTTCCACACACAATGCACGGCATAAAGATACATGGAACCGCTCCAAAGTTGAATTGTACGTACCTTCAAGACCGCCTATCCTGGCTTCCCAGCCAGCTTATGTGTACGAAGTATCGCCTGTGGTCTACCTGTCGAGGTTACTATTGCTGCTGGGCTGATGCGCCGATGCGCCGATGCAAATGTTGATGCTGGCTGACGGTCACAACCAGGAAATCAAGCAGACTACTACTGTACGAATACCTCAGGTCAGTTCTTGAGTTGGAAAGTGAGTGGTTGCGCTTCTCGTCTGTCTCGTCCTCTAGCATGTAGCGCGCCGCAGTAAGGTAGGTGGTATTATTTGCCTGTACGTTACGGATACCGAGGACTGGACGGGACTGGACTTACTCACTTTACTTGCAGTGAGCCGACCCTCTTTCTTCCTTGCAGATGTGCCCTGCAAGTGCAGCTGCGCGAAGCAGGCTGAGGACTGAGGTAAAGGTTCCTTGCCGAGCAGCAGCAACAATGCTGTCTCTGCCTCTCCTGTCTGTCGCCGTATTAATTGATGCCTACTCCGTAGGTCGTGAAGCCTGAAGCGAGGGATGAGGATGA